GTACGTGTCCCGTAAACTGTACCTTGTCGTGTTTTGCTTTTATTCTGCTGTTCCAAATAGTCTGTCTATATATAGCTACCGTCCTTGCTTTTTGCTCTAGGTCCGTCCTATCTCTTTGTATTGGGATTTTGTTTAGAGTTATGACTATATCTATATTGTAGGTCTCGTTTTTTATTATTTTGTTTTCTAGCGTCTTTTTCATGTTTTGTATGGTGGGGCATTCTAAATAGATGTGCGTTTCGGTTTCGGGTGTGTTTTGTCTGCATAGTGGGCAAAATGGTTTCTGTTGTTTTGCTAGGGGTGTTGAATTGTAGATGAGTCTGTAAGTTATTTCCCTGGCTTTGGGTGTGATGGTTTTGAGGTGTAGGTTTCTGAAGGTGTCCATTGTGTCTGTTAGAGCGTATTTCCTACACCATTGGATTCTGTTGTATAGTGGAGTTGAGAGCTTTTGCACTAACTTTTTGTAAATGTTTTGTGACTTTTTGTGGACAAGTTTTTCCTTGTTTTTTAATATTTGTAAACATTCTGTGTAAAAGGGACTGAGTTTTCCTCCTATGTAATGTGGAGTTGTATTATTGATTTTTGTAAGTTTGTTTAGCTGAATGCCTATATAGTAGTGAGCTAGAGGGTGAAAGTTTGGTTGGCTAATTATTCTGCTAATGTGTGTTAGTCTGAATGTATTGATTTTGGTCTGTATATCGTGCAGGTTTATTCCTCCATGAAGTTTGTTTTGTACTAAAGTGTTGTGGCTAATGTTTGAAATTGTGGTCTGAAATATGTACTCTCTAATGATTTTATTCAGATGTTTAATTGTTGGCTTTGGGATTGTTTTAGCCGTGGCTATATAGGTGATTTTTGGGATGACATACCTATTAATTATAGATGACCTAGCAAAAATTGTTGTTGAGCTAAATTTATAAAGTGCTATGGTGTTTTGGATTTTTCTTAAGACTTGTTTCCATTCATCATCGTTGTTGGTGTGTGGGTTACTATAGTGGGTTATGCCGTAAAGTTTTAGTTTGTTGGTACCTAGCATGTTTAGTGGGTAATTGGGTTTGTTGATCCACCGTCCAAGTCCCATAATTTTGGTTTTCATTAGGTTAATTTTTGACCCGCTACCCAGCCCAAAGTCAAGGAACATGTCTGTTATTAGTATGATAGATTTTTCGGTTTGGAGCATAAAAGCTGTATCATCAGCGTACGCTAGAATTTTTTTGTTTAATTGATTTGGGATGTCGATTCCTCTGATGTCTCTAGTGTTTCTAATGCATTCTAAAAGGGGTTCGAGTGTTAGTATATAAAGGATTGGAGATAGGGGACAGCCTTGTCTGACTGATTTCTTTATTCTAAAGTGTTTGGGAAATATTATGGTTTATCAGTAAGTGACTATGTGCATTAAAATAGATTATTTTTATCCATGTCGTAAAGTATTGTCCTAAATTGTTTGCTTCTAAGATTTTGTGAAGGTATTTGTGAGCTACCCGGTCGAAGGCTTTTTCTTGATCTAAACTGAGTATGCATGCTTGTGTGTTTTTCTCGTGTGTGTAGTGGATGATGTCTCTAATTAAGTGATTGTGATTTCGTATGTTCCTACCTGTGATGTTGCATTGTTGGTCTACATTTATAATTTTATGCAAGTGCGGTTCAATTTTGGAGACTAGAGCTTTGGATAGGATTTTGTAATCAGTGTTTAGGAGAGAAATAGGTCTATAGTTTTGGGTTTGTTTAGGATCGGTTTTGGGTTTGCGTATTAATGTTATGTATGATCTGTTGAAATTTTCGTGGCATTGTTCTAGCAGAAACATTTCTCTAAAGGTAGCTAAAAGGAGTGAAATTAGGTCGGTTGAAAAGGCTTTAAAAAATTCGCTTGTCAGGCCGTCCGGCCCTGGCGATTTATTTGAATTTAATTTCAGTATGGCTTTGGTTATGTCGACTGGCTGAAAGGGGGTGTCAATATTAATTTTGTCGCTGTCATGTAATGGTTTAATAAACTTAAGGTATTTGTCTTGTATGTCTGTGTTTGTCTCTTCGAACTTATACAGTTGCGTATAATAGTCTCTAAATATTGATTGAATTTTTCCAGGGTCAGTCGTCTCTTGGTTATTGTTGTCTATGAGATGTGTGATTTGTTTTGCCCTCTGAAAGCTTTGTTCTAAAATTAAAGTGTGGTGTGTGGGATTTTCCGAGCCTATTTGTTCGATTCTACTTCTAATTTGCGCGCCTCGATATTTGTGCTCTTGTATTTTGGAAAGTTCTGTTTCTGTTGCATCTATTTGTTCTTTGTTATTATTGATTCCTTTCAGTATACTTAGTTGTTTTTCTAATTTAGTTTCTATGTGGGCCCTTACGCTATTAATGCTACATGCATATTGGATAGACACCCGCTTAATGTCTTGTTTTAAATCTTCCCAATGTTGGATTTTGTTAAATTTTGGTGATGATTGCGTGTAAAATTTTATTAAGTCTTTTATAGTGTTAATGTAGCGCTCGTCTAGTAAGAGTGTATTATTGAATTTCCAATAAGTGTTGTGTTTTGGTTTGTTTTGTGTTTGTTCGTTTTTTAAAGTTGTCAGAACTGCTGTATGGTCGCTAAACTGTAGTGTTGAGAATAGGTGTTCTACTTTGTTGATTTTCATGTTCGATGGGGCGTAAATTCTGTCTAAACGGAATCTATTCCCAGATGTGTTACTTCCGTGGGTGGTTTGTATGGTGTGTGGATATTGCGCTCTGTATGTGTCGACTAAATTGAAATATGTTTTAATGTTGTTGATTGAGTTGGCGTGTGGTTTGTCTGCGGTTAAACGGTTTCGAATTATGTCTTTTGGTCCTAAAATGTCTAATCTGTCTTCCACGAAATTAAAGTCCCCGGCCAAAATGATGTCATGTTGGTTGTATCTGTTAGTTAATAAATGTTCCAGGTTTTCATAAAATTTACTGTCTTTTGGTCTATGTGGTCCGTGTACATTGACTATGCTTAGTTTTCCCTCTTGTCCCTCGATTGTAACTATTGCTAATTTTCCCTCAGAGTCGGCGTGCGTGTCTGTTATGTTGAACTTGTTTGATGTGTTAAAGATTGTTGACCCGCTTCCCGTGATTAGTGAGCTGTAGCTGTGGTGTGCTTGAGTTAACCCTAAGTTGTGAGTGAATTTGTCTGCTGTGTATTTATTTTTTAATATTTACGTTTTTAAATCTAATATATAAAGCTCAATTCTGTATGTAAAAATAAATATGTTTGTCATTGACATACTTCAATGGATTAAAGTGTTAGACTATTATCGTGCGCATTCGTCTAAATTTATGAGTTAAAAAATTACTATTGAAAGTGTTGGGAAATAATTTTCATTTTTCAAACTGATAGTAACAATTGTCGGCATGTTCATTAAACACAAGTTTAAAAAAAATATCATCTTTAACAAAAATTCTAATTATGTCTTTAAATAGTCCTATAGCACTTACTTCCCTTTGATAAATTAGGAAAACACAATTACTTCCCTTTATAAAACCATTGCATTAGTGGAAAAGAATTTACTTTTTATTACTTTGTTTTGGTGTTGGGAAAAAAAATAATTACATAATTAGCGGGGATTGATCAAGTGCAAATGTTGTAGGTATTTTATGGATAAGCTCGGAGTATTAAAATTGTTCATTAAATTGAAACAGGCGCGTTCGTTTAAGTGAGTGCAAAAGACTATGAATAAGTTGGGGTACTATAGTCGTTTATTAAGCTAAAACAGGCGATTCCGTTGGGTTTGCGTTAGTGGTTGCGGTTTGATTTGGTTCGTTTTTGTTCTTTCTTTTTTCGTTTTTGTTTTTTTTTCTTTGGGTTTGTATTTGTGTTTTTGGTTGGTTTTGCGTTTAGATTTGGTTTGTTTTAGTTTGCTTTTTCGTTTTTTTTTTTGTGCGTTGTTATTGGTTGGTATTGGTGTTTGTGGTTGTGTTTGTTGTTAGGTTTTTGTTTTCGTTTGCTTTTTTGTTTGTTTTTTCTTTGTGTTTGTATTGGTGTTTGTGGTTGTGGTTGGGTTTGTTGTTAGGTTTTTGTTTTCGTTTGTATTTGTAATTGTGTTAGCGTTATGTTTGCGTTTTGTTGTTTTGGTTTTGGTTGGTTGTGGTTTGGGTGGGCAAAGCCGGGTTTATGACGATTACTAAACACACAAGTGATGGTCTTTAACAGAAAGGTTTTTCACAGAAGCCAGAGCAGGGCCTGGCCGGGACGGCTAGTACAGAATAGAATCGACTAGGAAAAAAATACGCACCAGATGATCACCGAAAAAAACTGACTTTTGTGGACGCATATGGACTTTTATAAGGAAAAAAAAGTGGATTTTGTGGACGAGGGGGGGGGGGGGAGGTACAAAATCCCCAAAAAAATGTGGACGTCATAAATGGATGACCCCTTATTGCGATGTTGCGACAAAGCGACAGCGTCCAAAAACAACATGCGATGTCTATTGGGCTGTGTCAGGTTTGATAGCGACGCAACTGTTGTTGGCAGGCGCCACTATTTGACTTTTCGAGTAGTTGGTCTCTCAATATTCCACCGTTTGTAAGGTTTGGTACATTGGTTTTTTTTCATACCCAGTTGGAAAACGGCCATTGTTACACTGTTGTAACACAATATTAATTCCCACTTTGCCCATCCCACCCCTATACCCCCGGACTTCTCACTCAAAATAAGGGTCAATCATACTGTTATATAACGGGGGATGGCAACTCGGGATATAGTCATGAGTTTTAGTCCATTTTTAAAAATAGAATAGAATGTCGTAGGAAAAAAAAAGATTGCGTAACAAGTGAACGGCAAAAAATGTCTGTATAATAGTGCGGAATATTAGTACTTGATGATATTAGTTTTTTTTTAATTAAAAAAGCGTAAATTACTACTTCCGGTCAACGGAAATTACTCAAAATTTGACAAAAGGCACAGGATTAGATCGTTGCTTATATGTGTCATTTCGATTATCTATATGTGAATCAATTGAGAGAAAACTATAACAATTTACCTGTGAAGGTTTAGGCGTTGCAAAAGATGGCATGGAAATATTGCCGGAAATCGAACACAGTCTCCGGAAGTCGATTTGGTTAAGCGGCCCCTCGAAGTCCCTGCTTTGTTCTGACTTGCACTGGACACTGGGAGCCACGGAGCCGGGGAAGAAGTGGACGTACACAAACAGGTCCCGGCTCCTACAGCTGCAGCTGACGTTGGAGCTCTGAAAGAGAAACGAGAGCCGGCTGACGTGGTGTAGGTACATGAGAGCGGCGCCCTGGACATCCACGAAGCTGCTGTTGTTGATGAGCACTCGCTCCACGGCAACCAGACCGCTAAAGGCGTCTGCCTCTATGGTCCTGAAGGTCGAGCCTTTGATCGTCAGTCCTTTCACCTCAGGAATATCGCTCAAGAAATTTCTTTTTAAAAAATCTATATCTACATTATCAAAGATGATGTTGTTTACTTGAACGTTGCTGATGGCTTTAGTGTTCATATAATTCAAAAAAACATGTTCGAATTTGAGTTGTTGAAGATTAGAACAGTTGTTGAAGGCGCGTTCATGAACTGACTCGATACTTGTGTTGTTAATGAGAATATCAGCTCGGCTAGAGATGTTTCTGAAAGCCAGATAGTTGACATGGCCTATCTCAGAGTTGATGATGTGCAGAGACCTGAGTTTGCTGAGGTCGGTGAAAGTGTTGGTGGTGACGACGGTGAAGGAACACTGATCGACCAAGATCGTCTCCACGTTCCGTCCCGTGATGCTGGGCCCCAGGGTTTTGACGTAGCTGTTGGATATCTTCACCTCCACCACCGTGTCTGGAAACGGACCTAAGATGGAGTCGTACTCGATCACGTGATCACACAAGGCCCTGCGACCTGTACAAATGCACATTGCCGGGCACTGGATTTGCTGGGCGCATGCGCAGACCAAGACCAAACAATTGAGAAATATCCGCTGTGGGTGAAAATGTCAGAGAAAATGTTTTTAGTACATCACAAATTTGATGGATCATTACTATCAGCATGTTGTACATGAATGTCATGGGGAAAAACTTCACAATCAACAGCAAACGTATATTCACATCTTACAAGGCACGTTCATATTAAATATCACCTCAACCAAAACCATGTCTTGTTTTGTTGTTTATAATTTCATGTTATTTTTCTTACCAACTCACCATCACCTTTGACCCTTCCCCAATACCCTCCCCAACACCTTCCCAACACCCTCCCCCTTAACCTCCCCCTTAACCCCCTAACACCCTCTTTAAACTGTAACGAAATAAAAATGTGTTAACTTACCAACGTTGATCTGACACTGAACATGACGCTGACAGCCACAAGAAGTTAACAAAGGGAAGACGAGCGACTAGAAGCAGAAACTATCAACTGTGTCAGGACTGATCGTGTGTGAGTACACTATACCATGTGTGGCTCATCCACTCACGTGTGGATCATCCACTCACGTGTGGCTCACTCAACCACTCAGTTGTTGACATGAGATTTAAAATCACGGGCCTATTTTTGTAGCGTGTGCTCCATTTTGACAGACACTTAAGTGATGAGCGTCAGAGGCGGGTCCTGTTGTCTCCTAGAGAAGGGGAGGGGGGGGGGGTCACCGACATGCGATGTTTTGTTTTAACTTAACCATCCTTACATTCAGCTGTTCAACGAAAAGTAAACAACTAAAACATTAGCATAAGCGACCCCAGTAATGTAAAATAACAAAAGTAACTACACCAGTAACTGCAGCATACGCCAGCCATTGTGTCCACTATTCCACACTACAACATAACATGGTAACCAAGTACACTTTAGTATACCAGTAACAGCAGCAAACACCAGCCAATGTGTACACTACTCCACACTACAACATAACATGGTAACCAAGTACACTTTAGTACACCAGTAACTGCAGCAAACACCAGCCATTGTGTACACTACTCCACACTACAACATAACATGGTAACCAAGTACACTTTAGTACACCAGTAACTGCAGCAAACACCCGCCATTGTGTACACTACTCCACACTACAACATAACATGGTAACCAAGTACACTTTAGTACACCAGTAACTGCAGCAAACACCAGCCATTGTGTACACTACTCCACACTACAACATAACATGGTAACCAAGTACACTTTAGTACACCAGTAACTGCAGCAAACACCAGCCATTGTGTACACTACTCCACACTACAACATAACATGGTAACCAAGTACACTTTAGTACACCAGTAACTGCAGCAAACACCAGCCATTGTGTACACTACTCCACACTACAACATAACATGGTAACCAAATACACTTTAGTACACCAGTAACTGCAGCAAACACCAGCCATTGTGTACACCACTCCACACTACAACATAACATGGTAACCAAGTACACTTTAGTACACCAGTAACTGCAGCAAAACTACTCCACACTACAACATAACATGGTAACCAAGTACACTTTAGTACACCAGTAACTGCAGCAAACACCAGCCATTGTGTACACCACTCCACACTACAACATAACATGGTAACCAAGTACAATTTAGTACACCAGTAACTGCAGCAAAACTACTCCACACTACAACATAACATGGTAACCAAGTACACTTTAGTACACCAGTAACTGCAGCAAACACCAGCCAATGTGTACACTACTCCACACTACAACATAGCATGGTGGTTCAGATTGGTCAGGCCTGGATACATGCAGCGGTACAGCGGTGGTACAGCGGCGGTACAGTGGGGGTACAGCGGCGGTACAGCGGCGGTACAGTGGGGGTACAGCGGCGGTACAGCGGCGGTACAGTGGGGGTACAGCGGCGGTACAGCGGCGGTACAACGTTTAAAGTTAGCCTTCTAATGTCGTGTTACAGATATACTTGGGGTATATGAAGTAACGAATTTGATTTCTACCAGTCAACCCACCTGAAGATCCTCAGTTCTATACCTTCATGGATTTATATTCCATGAAAACTGTAACAATTCTGAAACAAATATTTTCGTAGTTGACTCAACTGCAAAAAAAAAAGTCAGTGTTTATAACTAAGTTTCTACTGTTTAGATTTTAGAACTTGTAGGATTTTTGTCCATGTGTCCTATCGGCCTCGGTGTGATGATGTGTTATGTAGAGCGACGTTTACGTGTGGTGTATGGCTTGGTTGATGTGTCGTGTACAACTTTGTATGATGATGTAGGACACGTGACACTGATGTTGGAGCACTAAGCCAGGCCCAGTGGAGTAGCTCGAGCGGAAACCGATCTTTGAGACAAGCGCGCGCATCAACGGGGTGGTGCCGCTCTACTTACACGTCAAGTGTGTAGTGTGCCAGCTCGTGTCAGTTTCTTAATGAGGCGGCCATCTTGGTTTTTGTTGGTTTTGTTTGCTACATTTTGTAAGATTTTTGTAAGTGTTAATGTTATTGTTGATTTCGTTGTCTGTCCGTCCGTCCGCCCGCCCGTCTGTCACTCTGTCTATCTGTCTGTCACTCTGTATTTCTGTCTGTATCTCTGTATGACTATTGTAGGCTCTCTAATTTGAGAGTACCAAGAATAAAATTATGTTTAATAGCTTCAAATAATGAAAATAAAGCCGGAGAGGATTCCCCTATACTTTCCAAGATAAATAAATTCTGATGTTTAATTGAAATAATTAGTTCACTTAGTTATAGAAGAAATTTCGTCCACCTAACTTAAGCGGTACTGAAGTTATCGGCTTTTGGGTAATGGAGGTATAGTAAGTACAACTTCCGGTTATAGGGAATCGCTATAAACTAGATACAGATCTACACAATAAGTGAAATAATATTCATACATAAAATTACTTTAACATAACTGAAATGGCACTCAAATTATCAAAAACACACAGTCCGACAGGCATAAATTTGCTAAATTATGTTTTTTTCCGACTCAGGGAAGTGTAAAAAGCAGAGATTTCCAACTTTGTGTGTGTGTGCATGATTACAACAATTCCTCTATACTTTGTATACGAGAAAGTACAAATTTATTGCAATTTATTTCTGTTATACTAAACTTTGCCATTGTATTTAGTGAAAAACTGAGTTAAATATTAATCTTGCAAATCCAAGTGTTATTTCTGCACTTATCTAATTTTCTCTTATTTCTTTTAATTCCCTTTTCGAAGCTGAAGGCCCATAGGGTCAGAACTATGCCCAGCCTCCTTTACGTTCCGTAAGGTGAGTAAGTTACTCACCAGAGTCGGGTAGACTCGGCGACAGACTTGTTTTACTGACTAGACCCGGATTTGAACCTCGAGACTCTCGGGTTAGCAGTCTAGCGCTCTATCGCTAGGCCACGCCGTACCATGTTTATTTCCTTTTCCGGCTCTTGACCTGCTGTTTTAGTGGCCTGCGCTTTTCTCAATGACATGTCAACTTCAAAACATCACAACTGCGTGCTATCACAAGGTGGGGGAACTACCTCAAAACATCCTTGATCTCATCTAAAATGTGTATTCATAACAAATATTATATTAAAAATGTGGTGTAGTCATAACAAATATTATATTTAAAAAATGGGGTAGTCATCAAAACATACATCAAACACTGTGTTAGGTGTTTATAACCAGTGTTTCTTCCAGACTTTTTTCTCCGGGGGGGGGGGGGACCTTGAAATTTTAGTGTTGGGGTGGGTGGGTGGGGCGGACACTGTTAAAAAGTATATGTTTACTATATAATAAATTCCATTTCGTTCGGGGGGGGGGGGGCAGTAGACTTTCTTCTCTGCCCCCCCCCTCCCCCCTCCCGTCGAAGATAAGAGATGCCTGGGAGAAACGCTGTTTATAACTGTTTATGATATTGCTTATGTTACTGCCTGTCTGCCTGTCTGTCTGTCTGCCTGCCTGTCCGTCTGTCTGTCTGCATGTCTGTCTGTATGTTTGTTTGCCTGCCTGTCTGCCTACCGGTCCGTCCGTCCGTCTGTCTCTCTGTCTGTCTGTCCGTCTATCCATCTGTCCGTCTGTCCGTCCGTCCGTCCGTCTGCCTGTCTGTCTGACTTCATGCCCGTCTTTGTTTCTGTCTGTCATCAATACTTTTAATTAGCCTTAAAACACTTGTATTTCAAACAGTAACTTAGTGGTCTGATAACACATATCTATCTATATATATAATTCTCTTCTTGGAGACGATAGACAACACCAAGCTGTAAGCGCGCTCCCTACCACCCCACCCCTACATGGTCTGGTGAGCTGTGGTTCACGCTAAATGTTTACAATCGTAGAGTCGTGTTTAGTGACGACTATTAGGGGCAGATAATTTAGTTTGAAACAATTTTAAACTTAGGGGAGGTAACTAAGAGAAGTTTACTTTCACGGGGGGGGGGGGGGAGGGGGTGTGGGGTAGGGGTTGGGGGAAAGGAGGGGGTTATCGTCCTTAACGAACTACTGATAGTGTTTTAAAGCAAATATTTTCAGTGGCAGCGTTGGTACTGTCGAATTCACAAATTATGAATTACTGAAAAGTAGAAAATAAAACAACTAAATAGCGGCGTATGATACGCCGCGGGTCGGCTCGTATACTTAATTTCTGAAAAAGGGCCAATTTTTATGAAGAGAGGTAATAGAGAATTCGAATTTGTTAGTAGCGTTTTTATCAGTCATCTCCCTTGAGTTCTTTTCACATGTAAAACAATAAGAGTTGGATTTGCGTGACTTTTGCACTGTTGTTTCATGTGTGGTTGGTTTGTGCCACGAGATTCAGATATTTTTTTTTAATCCTATTCTTTTTGTACTATGTTACCTACTTGATTAAAAAAGGAGGGGTAGGGGGAGGCCGTGTCAAGTCATAGAACCGTTATATACGCCTCTCTAGGGATGTGGGTGGTGGGTACTGACCGAAGAACGTCTGCCCAAAAGTAAACTTTTAAGGAACAAAATTCGTGTATAAAATGAAAAAAAAAATAGACCGCCCTCTTTTTTGCTTTGCTAGCGGTAACTGACAAAGTAAGAGTGCAATGTAAAAAGTCTAAAATATAATGTATGTGTCTTTGGGGCATTTTGTCGTGAACCCAGGTTGGTGGTGCATGTTTTTCTTACATACTGTTGCAAGGGGAAAGGTGGGTCCAGGTGTCATATTTTTGTTATACATCACGACCTTAGAGATGACAATACCATATGTGTGACTAGGTTCATACGGCAAGTAACCGATGACTGCCTGCTTCACACTTGTCCATTTTAAAATATCACTACATGAACGTACCGCGGCAACCTTACACCAACATCCACAATTACTTCGACCCCACAACCTGCCCCCCCCCCCCACACACCTGCACCCACACTTACCTACGATCACCACACCACCTGCCCACACACCCACACTTACCTTCTACCCCACCACCTGCCCCCACACACACCTGCACCCACACTTACCTACGATCACCACTCCACCTCCACCCACACTTACCTACAATCACCACACCACCTGCCCACACACCCACACTTACCTACGATCACCATACCACCTGTCCACACACCCACACTTACCTACGATCACCACTTCACCTACACCCACACTTACCTACGATCACCACTCCACCTGTCCACACACCCACACTTACCTACGATCACCACTTCACCTACACCCACACTTACCTACGATCACCACTTCACCTACACCCACACTTACCTACGATCACCACTCCACCTGTCCACACACCCACACTTACCTACGATCACCACTCCACCTGTCCACACACCCAAACTTACCTAGCGATCACCACACCACCTGCCCACACACCCACACTTACCTACGATCACCACTCCACCTGTCCACACACCCACACTTACCTACGATCACCACTTCACCTACACCCACACTTGCCTAGGATCACCACACCACCTGCCCACACATCTACCTGCACCCGCACCGGCTAATCTCACATGAGCAGTTGACAGTTTACTTTAAGCATCTCTAGGGGGGGGGGGTACTACTCAATTAACTTAACTAGGCTTAATAATAGTGAACACATCTTTTGCTTGGCGATGCACTTTTTATTATTATTATTCCTAATAAAGTACCGTGTAATATTTTGCCTATTAGAACATTTTATTTTTTTTAAAAAAACGTAATTGTGCCTAGTTAATTTTTTTTATTTCGTCATGTAATAACTTGTAGATCTAGTTAGATTTTGCCTAAATCTGCATTTATTTCTCACACTGTTTTGGTATTTTAGTCTTAGAACAAAAGCGTTACAAAAATGACATGAGCGATTAGGTGACCTTGAAATTATGGGACGTATTTACATTGAACTTAAAAGACATTTTAAATACCATTTATTTTTTTAAATTAATTTATTTTAACTCAAATAATTAAAGTACTTGTATTTTATCGCTTTAATTTCTATCAGTTGTGCAGAAAAATCTGTTATTTGTTAGTAAACAGAAATAATTTCCGTGTCACATGACTATAGTGTTTACGTCGCTACACGCGAGACAATCTAGAAAGCGACCAATCAGATGCAACTCGTACTGAAGATTGTAAACACGTTCCAGGTCTAACCAAGCGACTAGCACAATCTGTTACATTTTTTGTTTGAAAAGCTTATAGATTTTGTTGACCAGTGCACATACTTTTTGGATATACTATTTTTAATTTGACTTTATAATTTAGTGCAAGGGATTCGTATTATCTGCAAAAAATGTCTGCAGAAATGGAAGTGGTATCAGAATCTCTTCAAGATGGCGTTTCAGTGGACATGGTAAATGGTATTGACGATGAAAGCATTGACGGACTTCGTGAATTATCTAAAGATTTGTCATCACGTCCCATTAGGAAAGCTAAAAGACAATTGGGGAGACTTAGTCCCGGTAAAGAAGTAGGACCAGAAGGAGCAGCTGCTTTGGCTAAGAAGGCATTGCCTCTCGCTAAAAATAGTAGGAAATCTCGAGACGGAAGAGGCCGAGGTCTCCCGAAGAAAGGTTTATCGTCACGTGCTTTTTACGTTTGCTTTAAGCTCTAATCTAGACTCTCAATATTGAAATCAAATTAGATCTACAAGTTTCTTTAAGAGTCAAAGCTACCAACATTTGACCTAGCCCCCTTTTATTACAGATATTGATATTGAAATATTTTGTCATTTTTTAATAAAAAAAACCTTATCATTTATGTTAAGCCTAGCTAGAAAAACAATTAAATTAATAGGGCCTCCCCAGGGCCCCATATCAGACAAGTATCAGTAAAAAAGAGAGAGTAGACCCATTCATTATTTGTTATATTGCCTAAATATATTTAAATATTAAATAGGCCTATAGGCTAATAATAAAAATTAGGGAGTAGGTTCTAAATTATATTATACAGACTATGTCTAGGCATAGACTGCAAAAATAAGAAAGTGATCCAAGTCTTTAATAAATAGAAATGTAGCCAATAGCCTAAAGTATTTATTAAATGGCAATAAATAGCCATAAACTCAAAAAATTATTTTCAAGTTCTCTGGATTTGCAACTTTTATAACTTTGATTCTAAAAACATAAAATTTCTGAATTATTTTCATGCTTAAGCATTTAAAAAAAAATTTAAACATCTGTTTTGATGACTAAATCTTTAAAAAAAGCACAATTTTTGTCCATGTCATAAATATGATGTAGGCCTAATGATTCTTGTCAACTTGGTGAAGTTCATTATATTTTTTTGAACCACGTAACTTAGATATGCAGTGTTTATTTGCAATTTTGGTGATATAAATAAATAAAAGCAATTTGTTTGAGGTTCTTTTAAATTTTGTTTAGTTACCCAAGCTACTAAAATCATCAATTAGGCCTATAGGCTACCCAATCTTTAGTATAAGTGACAAAAACCTCACAAAAATGTTTTTTATACGCCACACACAATTTAAAAAAAAATAATGAGCTTGTTTACTTGTTTTAAGACTATTCTTGATGTTGTTTGTTTTAGGCTTAACACAGTCAATAAGAATAGGAATTAATTAGATGACGATACTACTAGTAGTACTCTAGAAATAGATCTTACCTTAACAACACATAGGACTACCAAACTAAATTCTTGTTTCAAGAATTTATGCTTGGTCTTTATTTTATACATTTTATTATGATTGTACTACTAAAAAAAATAATATATTACTTTGTAAATAGGTTCCCAAATAATCTATAAATCAAGGGTCTTTTATTTACAAAATGCACCTATAAAACCCCGACCCATAACAATGTGTGACATAAAAAATAATAATTCAATTAGACAATGGACCAGACGTAATAACATTTTATTCATAACAAATTTGTACTTACTGTAGGTGGAGCTGGAGGAAAAGGGGTGTGGGGGAAGCCTGGAGAGGAAGTCCAAGAAGATGGCCACTGCCAAGATTCACATGATCCAAATTATGATTCTGAAAGCGAGGTGAGCAGCTGGTGATTTCTTTTGTTAGCTGAGTACCATTAAATTTACCATTAGAGTATTTACATTAATTTAGCAACAGTATCAGTGACTGTCATCTCATGGATGTATAATATTTTCCTTCACATTTTCAGGAGGAGTATTTGATAGAAGAAATAGACCCTGAGGTTACACTAGAAGAGTTAGAAAAAGTTTTAGAGCCTGCAATATTAGAATATTATGAAAGTAACAACTCAACAGAATTCATTGTAAGTCCTAGTAATTTATATCAAGTTAATTAGAGTTTGTTAGCCGTGTGTTTGTACCTGAAATGATGTTTCATTTACATGTTTTGCTCATTATTTTATTAATTTTTTTTTTTTTTAAAGTTAAAAGATTTAATTAATTTATAAAGTTGTTAGTTGAAATAAATTTTCCTGACTTGACTTAGTTTTCTAATCTTGTTGATTAAAATTTTCAGAGTTCATTGACAGACCTAAATATTGGTGAAAAGAAGCCAAGAATAGTAGAGTATATGATAAGCAAAGCAATAGATCACAAGCCTGCACAATGTGAGATGACATCTGTTCTGCTGTCAGATCTCTATGGCCGTGTGCTGCAACACGAACACATTATTGAAGGCTTTAATGACATTCTTGACAAACTTTCAGATCTTGTTTTAGATGCTCCTCATGCACCAGAGGTTGGTTTTGCACTCTTAATAGTATTTTATTTTTAGAATCAATCACATAACTATAACTGGTTTGGTTCAGTAATAATGTAGTAAGTATTTCTATCAATCCATATACTGGAGTTAACTTGCATGACTGGATGGGGGTGATAGTTAACCCTAGAATCAGTTTTGGTGGTAATTCTTAAAGTATTACAACTTTGTCTTTCTCATGTAACAAGTTTAGTGTCATTAGCTGGGGTACCTAATGTATGATTTATCAGAGGGGCCCCGTATATTCATCCTCAGGTTGTTGGAAAGTTTTTGGCAAGAGCTGTTGCGGATGATTGCTTGCCCCCTAGATACATCCAGTCACACAAAGGAAAAGTAGACTGCAAAACAAGCCAGTAAGTGCTCGCATTATATTGTTTATTACTCTGATTATTTTCATCTAATCAGCTTCTATGATGTATTGTGAAATGTATTTTTCATGCTTTTTTTCCATTGCTTGATTGTTTAACAGTAGTTATATTGTTTTTAGAGAAGCATTGTTGAAAGCTGATACACTGCTTACACAGAAACATGGCATTGTCAGACTTGATAACATCTGGGGCACTGGTGGTGGATTACGTCCTGTTAAATATCTTGTCAAACAGGTATTTTCATGATTTCACATGCACCTTTTTCAAATTAAAAAAAACTTCTTTAATCCAACACAAATTTTCTATGGGGAAAATGTCACTCCAGATTATATTCAGTTAAAAAACTCCACCCTTTTATTTTTTAAAGTTCTTTTACAAAAGCTGAATTTTTATCAGTTATTTGCCTATGTATCTACTACATTTTACAGGTGCTACAATTTAAAATCTTTAAAAACCAGAATTATTTTTTCCTAAAGCATAATGACATCTAATGAGAAATTGATTTAAAACCCACGCATTATTGACATAAGCTAACCATACTTGAAAGTCCTGCACACGTAAGAATTAAAGTTATAATCTATTTATTTCTTATTCATTGATAATTAAAGTACAGTCATTTTTCTATTAAAATTATGAATTGGATTTGTATTCCAATAAATACTTTAATTTTGGTTATTTAATGTGCTGATGTAACTGTTTAGACACTGCAGATAATTTGCTTTGGGACCGATTTAATGAAAGTTTCTATGAAAATATGAGAAAACTAGAAAAAGTAAAAACAACTAAAAAAATAAGTGATAATATTAATTAGCTATGCGATTTAAATATTAGATTCAGCAAAACAAAGAATTAAATTGAGAAAATATTAAAGGCTAGACGAGTTGTTGGGTAATGCAGGCAGGCTGATTGAAAGCACTAATGAGTTACTCTGGTCTCAAAGATTTAATAAATATATAATTTTATGGCTACAGATGGTTGTGCTTATTTGTTTTAGCTTAAGTTACTAGATTGACTTAGGGTTGACACATTCTAAGTTATTGATGTATAGTTAGATGTTACATTAATTTATGACAAAGGTAATATAAATTAAAGAGAAACTTACAACTATGTGACACCTCATAAATACTAAAGGCTGTATAATTATTTTATTGTAAGCTTGTGCTGAAGGTTGTGTAGTATGAAAATTATCATTTTGAAATTTCAACCCCAAAAAATATGCACCATAAGGGTATTGGAGAAATTCTTTGGGTGATCAGCTACATGCATTATATATGTTTTTCAGTCTTAATGTTTTATTTATCCATCTTTGTTTTGAAATAGCTTTCATGCACACTAATAAATCTTTCTGCTTAAATATTGGTTAAACCAGCTGTTTTTGTCAATCATAAAATCCTACCACGTCCTTAATTCCTCCTATATTTTGTGTGTGTAGATGGTGATGCTTCTGAAAGAGTATCTGTCATCTGGGGACATAGATGAAGCCACTAGGTGTTTGACTGAATTAGATGTTCCCCACTTCCATCATGAGCTTGTGTATGAGGTAAGTTTCTGTCAAGTCTGGAATATTTGGGTGAAATAAACAAGATTTGTATTTATTTTACTGTTCATTTTTACTTTCTCGTATATACGTAGTATAGAGAAAGTATTGTAATCGTGCAAAAAAAAAAATCGAGATTTTTACAAATCTCGACGTTTTACACCTCACTGATACGGAAAAACATAATTTTGCAATCTTGTCCGTATGTCTGTGTGTGTGTCTGTGTGTCTGTCTGTGTGTAAACACGATAACTTGAGTACCGTTACAGCTAGGTTGATGAAATTTCATATATAAGTATTATATCAAAATCGTAGATCCGTATCAACTTTTGAGCGATTTCCGACAACCGGAAGTGGTACTTTTTCTACTTTGAATTTTTCAAAAGCCTATAACTTGAGTACTATTTCAGATAGATAAATGAAATTTCACATGTAAGTAAAAGATCTAATTCTCTACCTTCTGTTAAATTTTGAGTAATTTCCGTTGACCGGAAGTAGTAATTTACGCTACTTCCGATTTCTCAAAAAACTAATGTAAATTTTTAAAGTACTAATAATATTGCGCACTATTATGCACTTTTTTATTTAGCGTTCACTTGGAGTGCAACTCTTTTGTCTACGAGACTTTATTCTATTTTTAAAACTTTAAGTATTTAAAATAGATTAAAAATCATGTCTATAGCCCGAGTTCCCATCCCCTGTTGTTTTATATAAGAATATTCGAGAAAGTTTAGGGGAGATCACTCCCGGTTTATTTATACAGGCAGTAAATATGGTGTTTTACTAGGTTTTTTTCACTATCAAGACGGTAAATATGGTGTTTTACTGTTTTTTGTTCACTATCCAAGCAGTAAATACGGTGTTTTACGGTTTTTTTTCACTATACAGGCAGTAAATACGGTGTTTTACGGTTTTTTGTTCACTATCCAAGCAGTAAATACGGTGTTTTACGTTTTTTTTTCACTATACAGGCAGTAAATATGGTGTTTTACGGTTTTTTGTTCACTATCCAAGCAGTAAATACGGTGTTTTACGGTTTTTTTCACTATACAGGCAGTAAATATGGTGTTTTACTGTTTTTTTCACTATACAGGCAGTAAATTTGGTGTTTTACTGTTTTTTTCACTATACAGGCAGTAAATACTGTGTTTTACTGTTTTTTAGCGCAATTTCCATTCTGGAGAATTGCGTTTATTAACTCGTCATTTCTGGGAATGGATGGATGAATGAATGTATGGATGAATGTGTGTCCGGGCTTTAAGTCGTATCTCCTCCTCAACGAAGCAATAACGATGACTAGTTCCAAAAGCAATTATGTTAAGCAAGTTACGAGAATGAGCATAGGCCATAAAAATTCCGGGTTTCTTTCATGTATTTCCCTGAAAAGCCAAAAAACTTCGAAAAAAAGTCAGTTTTTGGCCCATATCTCGGCAACCAGACCACTTAGCGACTTGAAACATGTACCAATCGATTCCTGCCATAATTTAGAACAATATTGCCGAAGAAAGTTTTCAAAAATATCCTCTCGTTCGGTCACAAATTTTAAAATTACATAAACACCTACAAACCGATCGTTCTTCTAGCTAGAACGCACCCCAGCAATATACGTCAGAGCTATTTTTAGATAACATAAGGAAATTGCGCATAAATGTCACTAGACTTTTTTAATTAACTTGTTTCACTATACAGGCAGTAAATACGGTGTTTTACTGTTTTTTCACTATACAGGCAGTAAATATGGTGTTTTACTGTTTTTTTTCACTATACAGGCAGTAAATATGGTGTTTTACTGGTTTTTTTTTCACTATACAGGAAGTAAATACTGTGTTTTACTGTTTTTTTCACCATACAGGCAGTAAATACAGTGTTTTTCTGTTTTTTTCACTATACAGGCAGTAAATATGGTGTTTTACTTTTTTTTTCACTATCCAGGCAGTAAATATGGTGTTTTACTATTTTTTTCACTATCCAGGCAGTAAATATGGTGTTTTACTGTTTTTTTTTCACTATACAGGCAGTAAATATGGTGTTTTACTTTTTTTTTTCACTATACAGGCAGTAAATATGGTGTTTTACTGTTTTTTTTTCACTATACAAGCAGTAAATATGGTGTTTTACTGTTTTTTTTTCACTATACAGGCAGTAAATATGGTGTTTTACTGTTTTTTTTTCACTATACAGGCAGTAAATACGGTGTTTTACTGTTTTTTTTTCACTATACAGGCAGTAAATATGGTGTTTTACTGTTTTTTTTCACTATACAGGCAGTAAATATGGTGTTTTACTGTTTTTTGTTCACTACCCAATCAGTAAATACTGTGTTTTACTGTTTTTTTTCACTATCCAGGCAGTAAATATAGTTTTTTTTTCACTATCCAGGCAGTAAATATGGTGTTTTACTGTTGTTTTTCACTATACAGGCAGTAAATATGGTGTTTTACTGTTGTTTTTCACTATCCAGGCAGTAAATATGGTGTTGGAAAAATCAACGGACAGGGCAGCTGAGATGATGGCCAGACTTTTAAAATCCCTTGCTGAAGCTATTATCATAACACCTGACCAGCTCAACCAGGTATGTTTTCACCAAGACCTCTAACCACTTTTAAAATCCCTTGCTGAAGCTATTATCATAACACCTGACCAGCTCAACCAGGTATGTTTTCACCAAGACCTCTAACCACCTTTAGAGCAAGTTGTATGTTTTCATCACTATAGATACCCTTGTGTCTCTGCTCAAATGCAAGCCTCAACAGCAGAGAGCTGCAAACAGAAATAAAAGAAAGGATGGTTCAGTTTTAACATAAACATCTGTGTGTGTTTATCTGTGTAAAAATAGTTATTGAATGGAAGTTTTTATTTTCCTCAGGGCTTTCGTCGAATCTTTGAGAATGTGTCTGACATTTGCTTGGATGTTCCAAATGCCTATACTTTGCTTGACAAATTTGCTACAATCTGCCATAGAGATGGTATCATTGGCATTGATATTCTTAACGATGTTCCTCAGAGGTTGGTCATTACTTCAAAAAATATCTTATTTACATTGTTTTTCTACTGAAAATCTGTAGTCAAATTAACCCTTTTGCTACATACATTTGCCCAGTTGTTTTTTTAAGTGAATGATCAGTAAATGCCTGGTAAAAGGGTTAATAACTAGTCCAATGGTGGTTTTCAAACCATCCTAAATGAGAGCATTTTCTGTAAATTGTATTTTGATGTTAGCTCATAATTGTCTATTTCCAGGGGCCGCAAGCGTTTTGTGTCAGAAGGTGATGGTGGTAAGGTCAAAAGTTCATGAGTGACAGCCAAGTGTACAAGACTGACTGACCATTTCTTGGAATGAAGCTCAAGGGCATTTTTGTTTTGGGAGTGTTTGTTAACCCCAGTCTAACCACTGGGGGTGTTGTGTCAGTTATATGAGGTCACCAAAGTATTCTAGCAAGTTTAAATCCTGCTGGCAAAAGTTTGCCATTCATTGACCTAGAAAATATTTCTCAATTTATGCAAAGTCAACCTTTTAAGTGAATCTAAAATAAAAATGTTTGGTAACTAACCACAATGTTTTAATTGGTGTTATACCAGATTCAAGCAATTGTTAGACAAGGAAATTCCCTTTTTAAAAAAAATCTATATAGCTAAAGAGCTAGTGGAAGGTTAGTGGAATATGATGACACAGAAACCATAAGTGATTAAACAAGATGGAGTGTCCGTCCTTTGTTAAAATGTAATTATGGATTGAAAAAATTTTACTGTATCTTTTAAACCACATTGTAATCAATCAAAAAATTGTTCTCTTATTACTGTAGAACTAGAGTTTTTAGGTATGCTTAACTATGGGTGCTTGTTTTAAAATTTTCCTATAATTTAGAAGTCATTGATCTTATAATTTTACTCTCTTTCTTTGTTTTAAGCAAAGTATTTGAGAACGAGTGTGGTGGTTTTAACATATTCTATTGTTTGAAGTATCTGTCTCACACCTTCCCCTCCCAGTGGGCTAGCAAGTTTATCTGGAGATGTCCAGTCCTTTGTTTACTTTTAACCACATTGGTGTGACTACATTCTTTTGATGGTGATGGGAATAGTTCATTCAAATTTGAAAGAAAAAAAATATTACTGCATAATTTTGGTGATGAAGTTGCCCTTCCTAAAAAGTATTTTAAAATAATCGACAATGCATTGAGCGTACTTTGTTAGTTGATAAACTTTGAGTATTTCAAATGTTTTCTTCCAATAGTAGACCACAGTGATCTTGGTGTCTATTGCATCTGTGTATGTATAAAGTTCATTTTGTTTGAGGTTAGATGTTTGTATATAGTTGAGAGTAGATTTGATTTGACCTCTGGTTCCTCTCTCCTTGTCTTAGTACATTTTTTTCATCCTCTTGTTGGCTACATGTGCAAGCTTTTCTATTTTACTGTGTATGAAATCCTTTGCTCCATCACTTATGTTTCAAACATGTCTGATCAATTGGGTTGGAAACTGTTAGCATGTTTTAATGATGAATTAAGAGTGAGTTTTTTGAAAATAAATTGACCTCTGTGCTAGTTCATCATAATTTTTTTATGTAGTTGCAACACACTTATGTGAGCATGAAATTAGCATATTATATAATTCATAATAGCACAATTTTATTGTTATATTTTTTGGGTGTTTTTCAAGGACTTCTCTTTCATAATGTTTAACTTAGTTTTTTCGGAGTGATGGCCTCCTTCATTTTTTACCCACAGAATCAGTATTCAAGTTCTGTTTTAATTTTAGTGATATGAAAATGTATAAAATAGTTTTGTTGATAAAATTGTTGCTTCACCATTTTTAAAAATGTGTGGAAATGATGTTTATGTGTGGGTAATACACACTGTAAGCTTTAACTTTCCTAACTCAGTAACTGCCTCAGTTGTTCTAGATCACAAGTTTTATATAGATACAAATGCTATCTATGTAATATCTTATGTTTACTCCCAATTAACACTGGCTTTAGTAAATGTGACATTTAATGCCATAAAAGTGTGGTCCAAAGTTTAGTCGACTGAAATGTGGGTAAACAACAACAACGAGGAAACATGGCCAGTTGGTTAAACTGAAAATAGGCTCTCTGTTAAATTACTGTAGTGTTTTTTTTTTGTTCCAACAAATTATAGTTCCAAAAGGTTTCTATATGCAAACTGTGAGATGTTTTATTAGATGAATTCTAGTTGCTGTTACAGTGGAGGGTTGCTCAAGCTTACAAATCAGTAGTCATTCAACATTTGGGTATGGTCAAAATAACCTAATAGAAAAGCTCTAGACTATATTAGCATGAGATATTGTGCATATGGTAATGGCTGGAAGGTGACTTGAGAACTCTCCCAAATTAAAAGTAACTTTGTGTCATCATTTCTTTTAATACATATTCATTTTGGAGTTTGGTCATAAATAAAATGTGAGACAATTTGGGTTGTGTTTGCTTTGATATACATTTATTAATTTTTAATATGCATATATTTTACAAGAAACTTTACAGCAAACACATTTTCAATACTGTACACACAATAAGATTTTAGCTTTTCAAAAAGAATCCAGCAAATCCTGTCATTAACCACTATACTGCACATAAAAAAAGATTTCACCATAGACTGACATTACCACTATACTGGACATAAAAAAGATTTCAGCATTTACTGTCATTGACAACTATACTGGACATACAAAAAGAATCCATCAAATCCTGTCATTAACCACTATACTGGACATACAAAAAGAATCCAGCAAATCCTGTCATTAACCACTATACTGCACATACAAAAAAATTTCAGCATAGACTCTTTACCGCTATACTGGACATACAAAAAGATATCAGCATGTACTGTCTACCACTCAGAATTGCTGTTTCCAGAATAGCCTCTCCTCTCTGCACGGTGCTTCGCTTGTCTACAAAATAGAATTTAAGTTTCAAGTTGGATGCCTTAGTTAAAGATAAACAAGTAAAAGTTTATATAAGGATGTCAAAATGACTTATTTTTCCACCAATATTTTGTTATAGTGAAAATTATGTAACCTCCCCCCCACCTGTTTATGTGGAAACGATAAAAACCATAACCTCCCCACCTGCTTATGCTGTTGATAACTAAAGGCCCCCAGAAATGTGGATGAAAACTTTATGCCCTCACCTGTAGAAATGTGGATGAAAACAACATGCCCCCCACTTGTAGAAATGTGGATGAAAACTATATGCCCCCACCTGTTTATGTTGAAGGCCATCTGTTTGACAAACTCCATGGTAAGAAGAGTTTCTGTCTTCTCCTGGTCAGTTGACATTTCAGAATGTTCAGATCGTGCTAGAAAATGATTGGATGAATTATTTACAGCTGACATTTCAGAATGTTCAGACCGTGCTAGAAAATGATTGGATGAATTATTTACAGCTGACATTTCAGAATGTTCAGACCGTGCTAGAAAATGATTGGATGAATTATTTACAGCTGACATTTCAGAATGTTCAGACCATGCTAGAAAATGATTGGATGAATTATTTACAGCTGACTGAAGAAAGTGAACATTTTCTACACCAATTGGTAGTTCATAAGCTAGTTATTTTTTAAAAAGCAATAAAGAAATTACTGGCTGTAAGGCACATCAAATAGGTATCTGACATAAACCAATGATGTGTTTTACTTGCCTGTGTTGTTAGTTGCGCTCCTTGCTTCACCCATCTTTAAAGCTACATTTTCCTTCACCACTGAGGTCACTTGCTGAAGAGCCAAGTAGCCAGAAATTTCTTTCCATATAGGAAATATGTTGATAAAATCATTGATTTATACCTAAGGACTATGAATCTTCATGTTTATTAGGATCCTTAGCTAAAAAAAGTGCTTCAATCTGAACATAAATTATTTACATAGTATAACCAAAAATTCTAAACAATGTATTCTAAAAATCTGGTAGGTTTAGGATACGAGCTAACTTCATGATGGGGACAGCTTTAATGATGCCATCAGATTCAACAGCTTTCTCTGCTTGCAGATACAACCTCTGTCTCAGGCGCTCATTGGACAAGGGCATCAGGTTGTCTACAGCCTCTTTAAACTCTGCCTCGTTGAGCTGGCCGTTTTCACTTACTTGGTAGGCAACCAGTTTGTTTTCTAGCTACAGTGTCCAACAGGAAACATGAGTGTTACAAAAATGTTCACTGGCAGAAACAAATTTCCATTTTTTTAATCTTTTTTTTTGATTACTATAAATGTATAAAGCAAGTTAGTTGCCAAATAAAGCTACCTTTTAAAAATGGCGTAATCTGCATTAACTCTACATGACCTAGACCTGACCTGATTGTAAGCTAGCAGAAACTCACATCATGGAACCTTGGCTCTCTGTACTTGAGAATGATGTGAATTATAAAGGAGGCCACATGTCCCTTAGATATCTTGTTCTCACTGTACGATGTGTAGCTCATTTGTAAACTCTCAAAGTCATCTTCCTTAAAACACATTTAACTATATTGTAGTCTCACAAAGTCATCTTCCTTAAAACACATTTAACTATATTGTAGTCTTACAAAGTCACCTTCCTTAAAACACATTTATCATTGAAAACAAGTGACATCTGGTGGCAAGCAAAAGCTTACGATTGCTTAAATTAAGCTACACACACCTCAAATTTTTTACTTGGAAATTAGTCATGCTTAAAAAAAGACCTTGAATTTGTGTAAGAAAATTAAAATTACGGCAACGAAAATGTAGTAAAACAAAAACTTACATTGAGGAAAGGGTAGATGGCAGAGGCAAATGTCCGGAAGTCTTCAACTTCTCTCCACTCCACAGCAGAAATAAAATCACAGACCAAAAGAACATAGCGGAGACAGGATGCATCCAAGTTGCCAATTAACACATTGCTAAATAACTGTAGCATCTAAACAAATTCAAAAGCAAAATTTTAATTTAGCTTTTTATATAAGCTATTTGTTTTTCAAACCTTATTTCATTAAACAGAAAATTTACATCTACAAGAATTTTTCTATTATTATTGTCATTAATATTGTTTTAAATTATTATAAATGTAATTAAATGATAATTAACCTTATCTTCTGCTCCGTGTTGAACAACTGCAGACAGGAAGTCATGAGCTGCCATATACACAGCATCTTCCACAGTGTACCGCTCAAACATATACCCGTACAACAGATCCTGACAACAGCATACAACATTTTCTTAATGACCGCTCAAACATGTACCCGTACAACAGATCCTGACAACAGCATACAACATTTTCTTAATGACCGCTCAAACATGTACCCGTACAACAGATCCTGACAACAGCATACAACATTTTCTTAATGACCGCTCAAACATGTACCCGTACAAAAGATCCTGACAACAGCATACAACATTTTCTTAATGACTCATTGGCATCACTAATCTGCAATTTAGTGCTGTCCTCTATTTAATGCAATAATGTCACAATATTAATATGCCTTAAGCTCATGGCTCTAATTACCACTAGTCTACAATTTAGTGCTGTCCTCTATTTAATGCAATAATGGAGCAATATTATTATACCTTAAGCTCATGGCTCTAATTACCACTAGTCTACAATTTAGTGCTGTCCTCTATTTAATGGAATAATGTCACAATATTATTATGCCTTAAGCTCATGGCTCTAATTACCACTAGTCTACAATTTAGAGCTGTCCTCTATTTAATGCAATAATGTCACAATATTATTGTGCCTTAAGCTCATGGCTCTAATTACCACTAGTCTACAATATTATTGTGCCTTAAGCTCATGGCTCTAATTACCACTAGTCTACAATATTATTGTGCCTTAAGCTCATGGCTCTAATTACCAGAATGGAACCGCTGGCCTGCTGGTCAGTCAGATATTCATCTGTCCAGAGTAGAAAACCCAAAAACTGCTCCATCACCGACTTAGTTCTCTCCTAGAATGAAAATTATTTTCTTCTCATTTATTGCGTTTATTAAGAATAAAATGATAAATTAATAAAATATATTAATTACCACAGCAAACTGCTTTACACATGTGAGTTAAGGTTTTAACATACCAGAGTCAAGGTTCTGGGACTAGTTAATGTTTTTAACATACCAGAGTCAAGGTTCTGGGACTAGTTAATGTTTTTAACATTCCAGAGTCAAGGTTCTGGGACTAGTTAATGTTTTTAACATACCAGAGTCAAGGTTCTGGGACTAGTTAATGTTTTTAACATACCAGAGTCAAGGTTCTGGGACTAGTTAATGTTTTTAACATACCAGAGTCAAGGTTCTGGGACTAGTTAATGTTTTTAACATACCAGAGTCAAGGTTCTGGGACTAGTTAATGTTTTTAACATACCAGAGTCAAGGTTCTGGGACTAGTTAATGTTTTTAACATACCAGAGTCAGTGTTCTGGGGAATGTTCTTGGAGTCTTTGCCCTCTGACTGAAGTCATCCCATAATGTCTGAGCTGTGTGGACCTAATCAAATTGGATAAAGTTTCAATCACAATTTTCTACACATTTAGACAAATTGGTTCATGGCTAAAGTTTCAATCACAATTTACTACACATTTACACAAAAAGAATGGTATATTTTTTCCTGTAAATTTTCTAGTAAACTAAGATGTATTTGGCTGAATTAAAATGCAATACACTGAACAGAGATGTAACAAACTCAACTAATATGTAATCAGCCCAACTGGCTGAACTAATATGTAATAAACTCAATCAAGATGTTATCTAATGAACTTGCCCGAGGCAGCTTACCATGTACATTTCTGCAGTTCCTAAAGAAGAACTCTCTCTAGAAAAATCAGTCCCTGGGGTGGAAGGCAAATCTTTGCCTGAAGTCAAATCTGGATAAACTGCAGCAGAGCTTTGTGGATCTTCACTGCAGAAATCCAAGGGAAAATGTTATGGTGGAGCAGCCTGAACAAAAAACTGTTTCTAACATAGGTTATGGGATGTATGGCCTGGGGGTAGAGCACTCACAACAAACATGAAAGTCTCGAGTTTGGATCTCAGACTTGAGCTTGTAGGGTGTCTTAGGTCTACTCAGTTCTGATGGGCACCTGACTCACGTTAGGGAAAGGACAGACAGTTGGGCACTATCCTTCCATGTGCAATGGTCACAGAAATATTTGAACTCTATCTATCCTATTGGCTATCAGGCCAGAAAGGTAACTAACTTATGTGCAACAAGAAAATGTAAAGAGAGCTAAGACTGTTGGAACAGACAGAAGTATTTATACAGCAAACTCTACAGAGAAGAGCCAAACTGGCAGAAGTATTTACACAGCAACCTCTACAGAGAAGAGCCAGACTAGCAGAAGACAACTCACATAGAGGCTGGTTTGTTGATTCTCACTTTTGGCCTGGTCATTTTCACATGGGAGCAATTGTGGGGCAAAATAAAAATCTTTTCTGGCCCACTCAACTTGTGAGGACAAATGATTGTCTGAAGAAAGGATCAGAGATAAAAAAAAGTTATCATTAATAACCATAATTTTATTGGTTGTTGCATCTCATTAACATTGGGTCACAGAGACACTACAAAAAGGAAATGATAGGTATACACACAACAGACATAATTAAATCCTGAAATCTTTTTTTGTGTTCTACATTTTGTTTTTTTTAATAAACATGTATTCCATTTTTCCAAGAGATTTTTTATGAAAAATTCCAAAGTTATCTCTCAACTAACAACTTTTCAACAGTCAACACTGACATATAAAGTTTACATTTTTCTAAAATTATTTGATGTCAGATGAAATGAGAATTTTTAACAACCTTTTCCCCACAGCTGGCACAGAAGCTGGCATCTTTAAACTCCTCAAATGTCTTGCCATTGTTGTTGGATGTGTACAACATGGCAGCGTATTTACTAAACACACGCTCTTGGGGGATGAATGGATCAGCAAAAGGCTCAGAGGTTTCCCCTTCTTCTAGACCAGCTGAAAGTATGGAGTCTCCTGGAAAATATTTAAAACAAAAATTGATCAACCTTCACAAATTAATTAATAAAAGCTCAGAGGTTTTTCCTGACCAGCAGAAAGTGCTGAGTCTCCAGAGGACAAACATGTTTTAACTAATTCTTAACTACAATCTCCAATCATGTTCAGTTGATGTCTTTTTATGTAAAAAAAATATTTGCAATAAAAAGTGATTGACTTCAAGAAATGACTTGAAAAAATGTTGAAAAATGTTCAGTGCATTAATATTACATAACTTGCCTAAAATAATTTTTGTGCACGCAGACTAGATATAAACAAGACAACAATAACTACCTTTATTTTCATGAGTATGCCCTGTTTTCCTTTTTCTGAAAAAAAAAAGAAACACACAAACTTTATACTTTATAGCTGTTTTAAAACATAAATCAACAAAGAAAAAGAAACAATATTTCATTCAGTCTCCTCCCACTCTGTGATTTTATTTTTATGCTACTGTTTCAACAAGTTTTCCAAATATATTATGTCATTTTGATAATGGAGATTTATGAAATAAATCTAACTGCAGCATATATAATGGAGATTTATGAAATAAACCTAAATGCTGCAAATATAAAGGAGATTTATGAAATAAGCTAAATGCAGCATATATAATGGATATTTATGAAATAAACCTAAATATCTCATATATAGTGGAGATTTATGAAATAAACCTAAATGCAGCATACATAATGGAGATATATGAAATAAACCTAAATGCAGCATACATAATGGAGATATATGAAATAAACCTAAATGCAGCATACATAATGGAGATATATGAAATAAACCTAAATGCAGCATACATAATGGAGATATATGAAATAAACCTAAATGCAGCATACATAATGGAGATATATGAAATAAACCTAAATGCAGCATACATAATGGAGATATATGAAATAAACCTAAATGCAGCATACATAATGGAGATATATGAAATAAACCTAAATGCAGCATACATAATGGAGATTTATGAAATAAACCTAAATGCAGAAAAAAAAATCTTCTCTGACTAACATGGGTGGTGGTTTGGAATCCTCCAATATCTGCAGCTGTTCCTGAAGCATGTTGGTGTGCTGCTGTAGCAGACCCAACTCTGTCAACAAATTGTTGGCTGTGTTTTGAAATTTGGACTGAATAATCTCCAGCTGAGAAGCAAATAACACCATGTCAATATTTTACTTAACTAAAAACAAGGAGGGGCTGATTTGTAATATTTATTGTAGTTTCTTATTTACATGGGGGTGTTATACACATAATGTTTTACCAAATATCTATAATCATCAGTAATATCAATAACCATTTGTAATGCTTTAATTAAATAATTTATTTTTCAATTTGATGAATATCAAGCTTGGAGTTTCTAGGTTTTTGTTTTCACTGAATCATGCCAGATATTATGTCTGGGAAATGGATAAGGTCTAGTTAGTGGGTATGACCAGAGTTGTAGCTTTAGAGAAATGGAAAATCTGCTTGTGCTGTTGCTAAAGGGTTTAGAAATGCTCAGACAACAGAAAAAAACTTGAAAAAAAATTCAACAACTAAAAATTTAAAACAAAATTATGTGCATGATATTTGTAATGTATCATGCACCAGATTTTATCCAATGTATCAGATTACATGGACAGAGTGGTCTATCTCTATACCACTAACCCGTAAGTCTCAAGTTCGAATCCGGGTCAGTAGACCGTCCCAGCTCTGATGGGTACCTAACTCTAGTCAGGTAAATTAAAGCCGACTGGACATAGTGCTGACCACACAATCCCTCATATGCAGAGGTCAGAGAAACTGGTGAACTCTACTTCACTTGCCCCATCAGGTTTGGAAGGGGAACTTTATTATTATTACTATCAGATTACACTGAATATACATTATTAACTTTAAAAAGGTAATTAGCTTCTTTAATATTTTAAAAACTGAATCATAAAACCACTTCAGAATGTAATAATCTCAGTCTACAAATAGCTGTGTGGTCAGTGTTTAGGAAATTCAGTGTAGTTTTTGATCAGCTGTTTTGAGTGTGTTGAATTTTGAATGATTTTTATACTTACCTCTTGATCAGCATCAGCTATCTCTAGCTCCTGAATGTCTAATTCTGTCTCTGTCATTTCTTCAGTTACTGACTTTTCCCAAATATTTGATTTGTGGACATCAATAAACTTGTCATATTCTAAATTAAATACAATAAAATAAGAGCTTTTATAAATAATAATTTTTTACAAAGATATTAAAATTTATCATAGTTTTCACATTTTCAGCAATGGCTACGAAAACAATAAAAAAGCAAAAAAGTCAACCAATAAAAAGAACAAGGTTGCGCTGTAATGTAAATGGAAGCATTTAAGACAATTATAGAGACCATAAACTGCTCTAAAAATGTTATTACACTCAGAAATTAATTTCTCTATGACTTACCTTCAATAGCTATGTTTAAAACTGATAATAATTGTTCCTCCAATTTATGTGCAGAATGGATGCTATTCAATAAAGTGGCCTATGGAATGTTTATTTAAAAAAAATTATTTTTCAATAAAAAAAAAGTAAAAAATAGGATAAGCTACCAAACAATTGAGTCTGAGAGTGCAACTTAACTCTTTTTGTGGCTATGACTGAAGTTTTTTTCTTTCTGGAATCTTTCTCATTTACAGCAACAACAGTCTTGTCCATAAAAGCTGAAATTGTATTAAATTATTTTTCATAAAGAAATTGGCCAAACTTTTTATTGTTTACCTTGTTATTTATTCTCCCTATACATATCTGTTCCTAACTTTAACAACTATAAAAGCTAAAACAATTTTTCAATGAGATTAGCATTTCAACTATGATTAGTTACTTGAACCTAGAAATGCCTTTGTTAATTTAGGAAAAATATTTTACCTTGATAAACATTATCATAACTGTTTTTAAATTGGGATAGAAAGTTGATTTGGTTCTTTGCATCATTTAGTGCCTCCTATAAAAAAAGTGAATTAATTATAGTAGAAAGTTTAATGAAGAATAGTTTCAAATCATATAATTTAAAAAATGCACTTTCCACATGAAATCAAATTGGCTGACAAAATAAAAAGTAACAAACATATAACACAAAAAACTACCAGTTGCCAGTATTCTTAAAATGTGAACAGACATATAAACAATCAAATCCCTTATGAGTGACACATTAGTGTGACAGAAAAATGTAAGGAAATCTTTTCAATATTTATAATTTCTAAAGTCCTTTAAACTAACATAGCTTTAGATAAAAGTATCATTATTATTATTTCTAAAGTAATTTAGATACTGAGCTATTAAAGCTGGTCTTGTGGTCTTGACTTCAGAAAACAAATGTCGTTCCAATTATTACTAAAGTAATTTAGGTTTAGATACTCAACAACTGATGTAAAATCTGATCTTACTTTGAGATCAATAATATCACACTCCAGCTGGTGTTCCTTCATCTTAGCACTTGCCAGTTGCTCTTCAAGTTTATTTGTTAATCTGTCATTTTAGGAAACAAAATTAATCATTTAATCAAATTAAACAATCAGACCTTATTTTATTTGCCATGATTGCCACCGTTAAATAGTTTGAAAGGATATTTAAATATAAATAAATTGGGGTTTTATTGTCATAAAATTCTTTAAACTGTAGTTGAAGTGGATCTTTAAAGTTCTTTAAGAAGTAACTAAACTAATTTTAATGTTACTTTCACAGATTTGGTTAGGACTTTCCTTAATGAACAGTATGGTCCTTGCAAAAGTGGATTTGTAAATTCTATTAATGAAAATAAAAGTGTGTTGACTTACTCTTCTGTCTCTTTCTCTTTTGTATCAATCGTCAAATGTAACTGTTTTGTGGAGGCACTAAGCATGTTAATCTCCTCATCTTTACTTGCCAAACTCTGTAAGACTTCTTCGAGTTGTTTGTGTTTATCAAATAATCTATTCAAGATTTTAAAATATTTTTTTAAGACAGTACCAAGGTTATAATTATAACGCTTCTTGTAAAATATCATCTAAAATATAACGACTGTGTCTTTAAAATTGATCAAGAACCTTTTTTTCAGAATTTCCACTTGTTCTGTTAACTTGTCAGTCTGTTCATGTCTTTGATTGTATACCTGCTTTACCAGGGTGAAGTATGGCAGTTTTTGGATGAACTGATCTGGCTTATCCACAGCACCCGTGAGCTCATCACTGTACACAGCCTCTGAAAATAAATTAACATCATGATCAAACGTATACACAAACTTGATTGTGTTAAGTTAATATTTTTTAAACCATATATTAAAAGAGCTAACAACACTTTTTATTATACAAGTAATTTAGCTTAAATTTTAATGTCCTAAGATTTTGGATTCAGATTATATAGTGGTAGTCAATGAAAAGGGAGGTAAAAATCATGACAGATCACACATTTGCTTTTGCACACAGTAAAGTTATAGGTCCACCTGTTTCCAGTACTGTTCAAAATAATCTCAAAACTACTGTTAAGAGCAATAGACAGTGTTGGCATTCTTTGTGATTACAAAATTTGGTCAAGCAGTCATATATACAAGTGAAGCTAGGGCCCATGGAATCACGCAGGGCCTTCTGTACAGCTTGACATGCCACCCCATTATCTAACCATAACAAAATCAAATTTGGGTCCATGATTATAATAATGGGTACCATATGGTGTGGCTTAGAGAACTACTTTTAAAGGCTAGTTAGCTTAAAATTTAAAGCTCACAATTCCAAAAATAACCATAATGCTAACAACAATTGGGTCTTTTCATCCTTATAAAATACAAACTATAAACTGTCATATTTGTTAAAACTCCTTCATTCACCAAAGCATGTTATCATCACAAAAGTCTAACTCCCCCTCCCCAATATATACAAGGTGTGTCATATTTATATACGCCTTTCAGGATTGGAATTCTTCAGAAAGCTCTCTTTAGGCTTTCTATGAGGCTTAAACTATATATTGAAGAATATTACCAAATAAATCCTGTCTTAATCTCTGGAAAATCCGTGAGTAAACTCCCAGGTTAGGAATTAATTCATCTAGTGCTTGAAATGCTAGGAAAATATGCTCCTCGTTTAAGCCACTTGTGTGCTTTTCAAGTGTTAATACTTCATATTTATTCACTGAAAAGAAAGTGATTTTATTATTTTTACTGACATTATTTTAGCTGATAGTAAGTAAAAATGTGTTGATTAAATACTTTAGTGGGCATCCTTAATTAATTATACATCAAGGCTTAAATTTCAATTTTAGGCCTACTAAACTTAAATTTTATGAAATATAATTTTTAATAATTTGTAAAATATTAAGAAACTAGAGTTATAATTTTTTTAGTGAATATTATTGATTGACACTAATTGTCAAACAATTGAATAAGTATAGCGAAATTTTATTTGATTACAGATGTCACTTCTGACACACAGCAACTAGATCTAAAACTAAATTTTATAATTTAATGTAGCTAAAAGATATTACATTATTATTCATTATTCTAACATTATTTTTATTATTATTCTTATAATTTATTAATTAACGTTATAATTTATATTCTATTTGCATAGGTCTCTAAGGACTAGGTCTAGCTATAGTCTAGAGCAGGGGTTCCCAACCTTTTTTTACTCTAGAGCACATTCTAAAATATCGGTAGGATGGTGGGCACCACCTATTTTAAATCGACAAACTCCTTCCAGAGGCGTAGCGACCCTTCTCGTCACCCGGGGACAAAACTTTCGATTTGCACCCCCCAATCAAACTTTCGATTTGCACCCCCCCTCAAACTTTTGATTTGCACCCCCCCTCAAACTTTTGATTTGCACCCCCCCCCTCAAATTTTCGATTTCCATCCCCTTCAACCTTTCAATAATGTTTATGAAAAAAATTCTGACTCTGTCGAATAGTGAGAGGCGGGCACATACGAATCATTCGGCTGGCGCCATGGCGCCCGCGGGCACAGGGTTGGGAACCCCTGGTCTATAGAGTCTAACTAAGTCTAGACTCTAGACTCTAGAGTCTATCTATAACATTAACCAGAGCCAGAGGCGAGGGCTAGACTATAATTTATTTATTTTAAATTTTAGTAGGCCTATTTATTTTCTATTTGATTTTAATTTTATTAAATTTTAATAATTTATTATTTATTTATAACAGTAAGTCTACAAACTCTACAGTCTCACAGTGTGACAGTAGTACAGAAGAATAAAAACTACAGAACACTCGATACTCGGATACTCATACTGAACTGAGTCATTACCAGGGGAATTAACATCAAATGTCTTTTTTATCCGACTACTCTTCTCAACAGCCATGTTTCTGTATATTCCTGAAAAGTTTAAGCATTTATTTATATTGTTATAAATTAATGATTGATCAAATTCTAAATTGACATTTCTGAGAATAGTGAGTGATAGTATATACTTTATATAGCCTTACTTCTGCTGTTGCTAGGACGCTCAAATTTTACGGATACGGAAAAAGATCTCGATCCAATTTTTTAATCGTCCTCGGAAACGATTCGGCAATTTTCGATAAGCTCCGTTTAGAAGGCACTTCAGGAAGTAATCGTTTTATTTAGCAGTGACTACCAAAAGGCAGATCGGCGGAGGGACAATTTATATTTACTTGTAGCTGCAATGTCATTATTATCATTAGATATCCGTACAATATTTTAGTGTCAAGTACATTTTAACTTATTGCTTAATGTTATAGTATTTAAAGAAATGGCGGCTTTGATCCGCTTTTTAAGTAGGCGTCGCACTCGCCGAACTCAACAACCAACTTCAGGTGTTGGAGGCCAACAACAGCCGATTAAAAAGAAAAATGCACTTATTTGCACCATAATGTTGTTGGATGGTACTGACATTACTGTTGATGTTAATGTAAGTAGACTAATATAAATACAATCTTAGCTAATCATATTAAAAAAAAACTGTCTCCGGCCCTTATGCTAAATCCATAGTACATTAAATTTAAATTTTAAAATTACACTATTACACACAGTACTCTTCTGAGTTCTGACTCTACTGACTAGACTAGAATCTAGATCTAGAATCTAGATATCTTGTACTAGGCCTAGGGCCTATTATTCATTAATAATAAGTAACCTAATATTGCTCTTTTTCTTTTCAGAAAAAAGCCAATGGAGCCACACTTATTGAACAAGTATTTTATCATTTGGATATAATAGAAAAAGATTATTTTGGCTTGCAGTATACAGACCATTACAATGTTAATGTAAGTTTCTTAGACTAGATCTGGATCTATATGTCAATTCACACAATTTATTAGGTTATTTAGTTTTAAAATTTAAACGAATTTTTAAAAAGTTGATGTTATTAGGCCCCTAAATCCTTTTATTTTAGCACTGGTTGGATCCTACAAAGCAAGTCAGAAAACAAGTTAAAAGTAAGTAAACTGCCTACACGCTTATCTGCGTTGCCAAGTTCTTTTACAAATGTAATCAAGTTATGTTAAACTTTTAAATTAACACTATAACTTTTTATCATTGCAGTTGGCCCTCCTTACACATTTCGCTTTCGAGTAAAGTTCTATTCATCAGAACCTAATAACTTACATGAAGAACTGACTAGGTAACTTAATTTATTCATCATATTAAATACATTTATCATGCTAAACAGAGGCTGAAATAAAAAAAAAAAATTATCCCAGTATCTTTTGCATCATTGCTGGTGTCGAGGATTTTATCTGCATGTTTCGATCAAGCTTCCTAACTCAGTTATTCATACTTAGAAATAAATCTTTTAAAAATATCTCATTCATGCATGGATCTGTCATTTAATTACAGTTTACTAAAGTGTAGAATTTAACTCTTACACAATTGTAATTAAGGTTTCTTAAAAATTATTTAAATATCAATTAGTAACTGTCATACAATGGCATGGCCAGTAACAGCTGTGATTCTTTTATGGTTATCATATTTGTTTTTCACAGGTATCAGTTCTTCCTTCAACTGAAGCAAGATATTTACACTGGCAGATTACCATGTCCATATGAGACCTTGACTGAGCTTTGTGCTTTGGCCTTACAATGTAAGTCATGTTTTGGTTTGAATTAGGACTGTTTTACACAATTTGACCTTTCCTCAACAAAATGGCCCCAGTTACAGTATGCTTTTAACACAAGCAAGTCATCAGTGATCATCTATACCAGGGGTCTCCAAACTACGACCAGCGGGCCGGATGCGGCGAGCGAGGTCCTCTCATCCGGCCCGCGGAGATCTTTTTGTCCACGGAAAAAACGTTTGTTGGTGATGGCTGAGGAACTTTGCCCAGAATAATCAAAGACATGTTTGGAACTAACTGGCTCCCGAACTGAAATTTGATAGATAATGCCGCCCTCGGACTGTAAAGTTTGGAGACCCCTGATCTATAGCATTGCTAGAAAGGATTTGATAAACATGATGCTCTTAAACAGAGGAAACTTGTTTATACAGATGTTGTATTAAATTTTATGAAAACATATTTAAAAGGCTAAATGAATTTAGTAGTATATCTTTTGTTTTTATTGTGACACCATTTAGTTGTATCATTTTGAAGTGTGCATAGTCTAAGGTTTATTTCAGTGTTATCTTAGTTTCTTAAGGCTAGTACACAATGGGATGGCTGGTAGACTGACTATGTGCTGTTGATATGTAATGTTTTCTTGATGTCAGGGAAGCAATGCAGACATTAGTGCATACATCTGTTCATACCAATTATTATTCTGTGCTCCAACTCTCACCCATTTATTGTTGTATTTCCCATGTGCAGGTAGATTTTATTTTCTATTAAAATTGCATCACATCATTATGGCCATTAGCTTCTTAGCCTTGATTAAATTTCTTCCATTAAGCTGACCCACTGAAAGTGATCTTCATCCGTACAGTGTATGACAAAGGGCCCTGGTCAATAAGTTTTTATGCAGGGGGGTGGGGGCATCATCTATAAAGATATGTATGGGTCCTTAGAACCACACTAGATCCAACAATGTAAGCAAATGCACCAATTTTTACTATCTAAATCATACATTTAAAAAAAATATTTTTATGGGGAATATCATATGAGGATGCCTAGCACATTTTAATGGACATAACCAACAAACAAAACATGTTGGCAAACAGTGCACTAAACATACTACACCTTGTACAAGTACAGTGTCCCTATCCATACTGTCATTCCTGTTCTGTATCAGGTGTTGCTGTAATGTAGTTGATACAGTTATTGTAGGTAAAGATTTAGTTCATTGCTGGGGTAGCTAACAGCATAGGTGGATGGCAACTTTGTTTCTAAAATAACATGTTTAAAGCAAAAATACATTTTCTTTTACATGTATTTTGGATAAACTTTACTTAGTCTTCAAATGTAGTTCAAACAAGACTGTTTAACAATCTCATAAATTCTTTTCTAAATCTACCTCAACTATCAACAAGTAAGTATCTAGTCCCATATGTAAAAAGAACAAATTGTTTTTGTCTCTAGTACCATATGACTTAGAGCAGTTGTATGCAACAATTAGACCAAATGCAAATAAGAAATTGTTGTCTCTAGTCCAACATTTGGCTTAGAGAAGTTGTATGCAACAATTAGACCAAGTACAAATAAAATTGTTCTGTCCTGCTATTTTCTCTAGTCCCGAGCAGTCAGTAATTACGATGTTGACACTTTGTCTTTGCCTGTTAGCAGCTAGCCTGTTGTCAACATATTGACAGGTAAAGGCTTTGTCTGGCCCAACTTTCCTCGCTTGTTGCTGACATTATTGACTTGTGGTAGTCTCCTGCATAAGTGTAAATACTTGGCCTGTGGCTGACTCAAAACAAAGTGATCTAGTTTTAGTGGAACCACTACTTCATTAGATCCTTCATGCTTTTCTTTCTCCAACAGTAGACTTATGTTGACATATGCTCTGTATTGGCTCCAACATGCTGTCTCACCACTCCTACACGCTCTGCTGTCTCACCACTCCTACATGCTCTGCTGTCTCACCACTCCTACATGCTCTGCTGTCTCACCACTCCTACACGCTCTGCTGTCTCACCACTCCTACATGCTCTGCTGTCTCACCACTCCTACACGCTCTGCTGTCTCACCACTCCTACATGCTCTGCTGTCTCACCACTCCTACACGCTCTGCTGTCTCACCACTCCTACACACTCTGCTGTCCCACCACTCCTGGATGCTCAGCTGTCTCACCACTCCTACACTCAATGCTGTCTCACCACTCCTACACGCTCTGCTGTCTCACCACTCCTACATGCTCTGCTGTCTCACCACTCCTACATGCTCTGCTGTCTCACCACTCCTACATTCTCTGCTGTCTCACCACTCTTACATGCTCTGCTGTCTCACCACTCCTACACTCAATGCTGTCTCACCACTCCTACACTCAATGCTGTCTCACCACTCCTACACTCAATGCTGTCTCACCACTCCTACACGCTCTGCTGTCTCACCACTCCTACACGCTCTGCTGTCTCACCACTCCTACATGCTCTGCTGTCTCACCACTCCTACATTCTCTGCTGTCTCACCACTCCTACATGCTCTGCTGTCTCACCACTCATACACTCAATGCTGTCTCACCACTCATACACTCAATGCTGTCTCACCACTCCTACACTCAATGCTGTCTCACCACTCCTACATGCTCTGCTGTCTCACCACTCTTACACTCAATGCTGTCTCACCACTCCTACATGCTCTGCTGTCTCACCACTCATACACTCAATGCTGTCTCACCACTCCTTCACTCAATGCTGTCTCACCACTCCTACATGCTCTGCTGTCTCACCACTCTTACACTCAATGCTGTCTCACCACTCCTACATGCTCTGCTGTCTTACCACTCATACACTCAATGCTGTCTCACCACTCCTTCACTCAATGCTGTCTCACCACTCATACACTCAATGCTGTCTCGCCACTCCTTCACTTAATGCTGTCTCACCACTCCTACATGCTCTGCTGTCTCACCACTCATACACTCAATGCTGTCTCACCACTCCTAATCTCAATGCTGTCTCACCACTCCTACACTCAATGCTGTCTTACCACTCCTACACTCAATGCTGTCTTACCACTCCTACACTTAATGCTGTCTCACCACTCCTTCACTTAATGCTGTCTCACCACTCCTACATGCTCTGCTGTCTCACCACTCCTACAGGCTCTGCTGTCTCACCACTCATACACTCAATGCTGTCTCACCACTCCTTCACTCAATGCTGTCTCACCACTCCTGCATGCTCTGCTGTCTCACCACTCCTACATGCTCTGCTGTCTCACCACTCATACACTCAATGCTGTCTCACCACTCATACACTCAATGCTGTCTCACCACTCCTACACTCAATGCTGTCTCACCACTCCTACATGCTCTGCTGTCTCACCACTCTTACACTCAATGCTGTCTCACCACTCCTACATACTCTGCTGTCTCACCACTCCTACACTCACTACTGTCTCACCACTCCTACACTCAATGCTGTCTCACCACTCCTTCACTCAATGCTGTCTCACCACTCCTACATGCTCTGCTGTCTCACCACTCCTACATGCTCTGCTGTCTCACCACTCATACACTCAATGCTGTCTCACCACTCCTTCACTCAATGCTGTCTCGCCACTCCTACATGCTCTGCTGTCTCACCACTCCTACATGCTCTGCTGTCTCACCACTCATACACTCAATTCTGTCTCACCACTCCTACATGCTCTGCTGTCTCACCACTCCTACATGCTCTGCTGTCTCACCACTCCTACATGCTCTGCTGTCTCACCACTCCTTCACTCAATGCTGTCTCACCACTCCTACATGCTCTGCTGTCTCACCACTCCTGCACTCAATGCTGTCTCACCACTCCTACATGCTCTGCTGTCTCACCGCTCCTACACGCTCTGCTGTCTCACCACTCCTACACGCTATGCTGTCTCACCACTCCTGCACTCACTACTGTCTCACCACTCCTACACTCTCTGCTGTCTCACCAATCCTACATGCTCTGCTGTCTCACCACTCCTTCACTCAATGCTGTCTCACCACTCCTACATGCTCTGCTGTCTCACCACTCCTACACACTCTGCTGTCTCACCACTCCTTCACTTAATGCTGTCTCACCACTCCTACACACTCTGCTGTCTCACCACTCCTACATGCTCTGCTGTCTCACCACTCCTACACGCTCTGCTGTCTCGCCACTCCTACACGCTTTGCTGTCTCACCACTCCTTCACGCTCTTCTGTCTCACCACTCCTACATGCTCTGCTGTCTCACCACTCCTACACGCTCTGCTGTCTCACCACTCCTACATTCTCTGCTGTCTCACCACTCCTACATGCTCTGCTGTCTCACCACTCCTTCACTCAATGCTGTCTCACCACTCCTACATGCTCTGCTGTCTCACCATTCCTTCACTCAATGCTGTCTCACCACTCCTACATGCTCTGCTGTCTCACCACTCCTACATGCTCTGCTGTCTCACCACTCCTACACTTACTACTGTCTCACCACTCCTACAGTCAATGCTGTCTCACCACTCCTACATGCTCTGCTGTCTCACCACTCCTACATGCTCTGCTGTCTCACCACTCCTACACTTACTACTGTCTCACCACTCCTACAGTCAATGCTGTCTCACCACTCCTACATGCTCTGCTGTCTCACCACTCCTACACAAACTATTGTCTCACCACTCCTTCACTTAATGCTGTCTCACCACTCCTACATTCTCTGCTGTCTCACCACTCCTACATGCTCTGCTGTCTCACCACTCCTACACTTACTGCTGTCTCACCACTCCTACACTCAATGCTCTCTCACCACTCCTACATGCTCTGCTCTCTCACCACTCCTACATGCTCTGCTGTCTCACCACTCCTACATGCTCTGCTGTCTCACCACTCCTACACTCACTACTGTCTCACCACTCCTACATGCTCTGCTGTCTCACCACTCCTACACAAACTATTGTCTCACCACTCCTTCACTTAATGCTGTCTCACCACTCCTACACGCTCTACTGTCTCACCACTCCTACACGCTCTGCTGTCTCACCACTCCTACATGCTCTGCTGTCTCACCACTCCTACACTTACTACTGTCTCACCACTCCCACACTTAATGCTGTCTCACCACTCCTACATGCTCTGCTGTCTCACCACTCCTACATGCTCTGCTGTCTTACCACTCCTACATGCTCTGCTGTCTCACCACTCCTACACTTACTACTGTCTCACCGCTCCTACACGCTCTGCTGTCTTACCACTCCTACACTTACTACTGTCTCACCACTCCTACACGCTCTGCTGTCTCACCACTCCTACATGCTCTGCTGTCTCACCACTCCTACACGCTCTGCTGTCTCACCACTCCTACATGCTCTGCTGTCTCACCACTCCTACACGCTCTGCTGTCTTACCACTCCTACACTTACTACTGTCTCACCACTCCTACACGCTCTGCTGTCTCACCACTCCTACACTTACTACTGTCTCACCGCTCCTACACTTACTACTGTCTCACCACTCCTACACGCTCTGCTGTCTCACCACTCCTACATGCTCTGCTGTCTCACCACTCCTACACGCTTTGCTGTCTCACCACTCCTACATGCTCTGCTGTCTCACCACTCCTACACGCTCTGCTGTCTCACCACTCCTACACTTACTACTGTCTCACCGCTCCTACACGCTCTGCTGTCTTACCACTCCTACACGCTCTGCTGTCTCACCACTCCTACACTCTCTACTGTGTCACCACTCCTACATGCTCTGCTGTCTCACCACTCCTACACGCTCTGCTGTCTCACCACTCCTACACTTACTACTGTCTCACCGCTCCTACACGCTCTGCTGTCTTACCACTCCTACACGCTCTGCTGTCTCACCACTCCTACACTCTCTACTGTGTCACCACTCCTACATGCTCTGCTGTCTCACCACTCCTACACGCTCTGCTGTCTCACCACTCCTACACTTACTACTGTCTCACCGCTCCTACACGCTCTGCTGTCTTACCACTCCTACACGCTCTGCTGTCTCACCACTCCTACACTCTCTACTGTGTCACCACTCCTACACGCTCAACTGTCTCACCTCTCCCACCGTTCCGCTTGACTGGTTTTATGATGACCTGTCTCTGGTGAAACAACTAGAACTGCTATACAGTTATGTGTAACAGCAGGAGTGAAATGTGTTGCACGGTTAGTCATACCCGCTGTTTTTATGTGACATCCGCACAAAGAAGCCAGCCAAATGTGAAAACTTTCTTGCAGTGGGTTACTTCATTCACCCTCACTAGCTTTAGTGGACCTCGTTAGTGACATGGCGTGGGTGCTCTACACACATATATATACATACACGCATATATATATATATATATATATACATGTGTGTGTGTATTTAATATAGTGCTAAGCCCCAAACTGGAAGGCTAGAAGCGCGTATGTTCACTAGGTATCCAGCGAGTGACGTTACCACTTGGTACTGTTTAAACACGACGTGAAGTGAAAAAGTGGCAGGATACCTTTGTCATTTTTTTACCATCTGTTACTTAGTTATTGGGTCACTTAAGTAGATAGCATTAAACTGCCCACTGTATAGTCTACGATACGATCGAATTGGTTATTAACTATACATCAATCAGCTTAAACAAATTGAATACGAAAAGCGGTCCATCTTTGGCATCATTCACCGATTAAGGATGAAGTTTAAATTTGGTGATGATTCATTGAGCCATTGACTAAACTGCATATGTCAAGTGATCCGACATTGTCAGTGGCGCACGGATCCGCTCCTGTATGTCTCGTGATCCGTCAGTGGCGCACGGATCCGCTCCTGTCTCGTGATCCGTCAGTGGCGCACGGATCCGCTCCTGTCTCGTGATCCGTCAGTGGCGCACGGATCCGCTCCTGTCTCGTGATCCGTCAGTGGCGCACGGATCCGCTCCTGCCTTATTTATTTGTGTGGCTCCAACACATTTTCTCTCTTTACTCTCGGCCTGACGCCGCTGTTTGCCCCTCCCCCACTGATTGATAGGCCGCTCATGGCCGCGGCGATGACTGACAAATATCCCCCCCCCCCACCCCGTCGGCCGTGTGATCGTGGAGACGTCAACAAAAGAGCTGGCCACGGCCGTGGGGACTTTTATGGCGGGTCATCGGAGAGAATGACGTCATTGTTTAGCGGCAGCTAGAAATCGTTGATCTCTCTCGGACAGTTTATTTACACACAATCTGTACAGCACACGACCTGCTTCGTTGGTCACATGTCAACTTAGTTGGTCACATGTTAACTACTACATAACCTGCTTATTTGGTCACATGTCAACTTAGTTGGTCACATGTCAACTACTACATAACCTGCTTTGTTGGTCACATGTCAACTTAGTTGGTCACATGTCAACTACTACATAACCTGCTTCGTTGGTCACATGTCAACTTAGTTGGTCACATGTCAACTACTACATAACCTGCTTAGTTGGTCACATGTCAACTACACAGTAGCCCACTGTACTGTAACAATTATTAGTTGTTACAGCATCCATCTGATTTGTTAGAAAAACATAAAAACATATTACCACATCTTTCCACCTGCAGTGAACTGCAATGAGCTGGTGATATTTATCTGACAAGTGTACTCTGGTCTCACATGTATGTTGCCTATCTCAAATTTTTTTATCAACTATCCTGTGCTGAAGCTTTGGTTGCTGTCACACTGATTGAGTATTGATGATGTAAGAATGGCTTCCTCAGGAACATCTTTTGTCATTTGTGATAATGCACTAAGTCAGTAGTGACTTGATCTTTGCAAGTTTTTTCTGATTGTTTGTTTGTGGTCAGACCTTGGGCAACTCACTTGAAACCTATTTCTGATAATGCAGTTTCTTTCAAACATTTGTAGAAATGCATCTTTGAATACTTTAATGACATGTGATATCTAAGTTCAAATATGTAAGAAATAGATAATCATTTAAAAGAACTTAATAATAACTTATTAAATGTACAAGTTAGACCATTTGTGCCCAACCAAACAGAACATGATTAAAATGTTGTATCTCTCTACAGCTGAACTTGGGGACTATGAACCAGAATCTCACTCCCCAGGCACAGTGTCAGAGTTTAGATTTGTGCCCAACCAAACAGAACAGATGGAGCTTGACATCTTTGAAAAGTACAAAGATTGTGTGTAAGTTTGCACCATATGTTTTGTACTACCTGCTGTTTTAGTATACTTTAAATTGCTGTTAGGCTAGCTCCTAGTTTAGTTGATTAAAGTGCAACAGTTCTGTTATGATAGTCTAGCTTCTAAGTTAGACAACTCAAATCTTATTAAAAGTAACAGTTCCATTATGTTAGGCTAGCTCCTAAGTTAGACAATTCAAATATTATTAAATGTAACACTTGTTTTGTTAGGCTAGTTCCTAAGTTAGACAATTCAAATATTATTAAATGTAACAGTTCTGTTTTGTTAGGCTGGCTCCTAGGTTAGATGATTTAAATCTTATGAAATATGTAACATCTCTGTCATGTTTTCTGTAGTGGTCAAACACCTGCTCAAGCTGAACTGTCTTTCTTACACAAGGCCAAGTGGCTGGAGCTTTATGGCGTTGATATGCACACTGTTATGGTCAGTCTGGTTATTTAGTATATTAATGTGAGCCAGGTCATTTAGAATGTTGATATGTACGTCTTGCCATTTAGAATGTTGATATGTACGTCTTGCCATTTAGAATGTTGATATGTGTGTCTTGCCATTTAGAATGTTGATATGTGTGTCTTGCCATTTAGAATGTTGATATGTGTGTCTTGCCATTTAGAATGTTATGTGTGTCTTGCCATTTAGAATGTTGATATGTGTGCCTGGCCATTTAGAATGTTGATATGTGTGTCTTGTCACTTAAAATGTTGATAAGTACGTATTGCCATTTAGAATGTTGATATGTGTGTCTTGCCATTTAGAATGTCATGTGTGTCTTGTCATTTAGAATGTTGATATGTGTATCTTGCCATTTAGACTTTTGATATGTGTGTCATGCCATTTAGAATGTTGATATGTGTGTCTTGCCATTTAGAATTTTGATATGTGTGTCATGCCATTTAGAATGTTGATATGTGTGTCTTGCCATTTAGAATGTTGATATGTGTGTCTGGCCATTTAGAATGTTGATATGTGTGTCTTGCCATTTAGAATTTTGATATGTGTGTCATGCCATTTAGAATTTTGATATGTGTGTCATGCCATTTAGAATGTTGATATGTGTATCTTGCCATTTAGAATTTTGATATGTGTGTCATGCCATTTAGAATGTTGATATGTGTGTCTTGCCATTTAGAATGTTGATATGTGTGTCTTGCTATTTAGAATGTTGATATGTGTGTCTTGCCATTTAGAATGTTGATATGTGTGTCTGGCCATTTAGAATGTTGATATGTGTGTCTGGCCATTTAGAATGTTGATATGTGTGTCTTGCCATTTAGAATGTTGATATGTGTGTCTTGCCATTTAGAATGTTATGTGTGCCTGGCCATTTAGAATGTTGATATGTGTGTCTTGTCACTTAAAATGTTGATAAGTACGTATTGCCATTTAGAATGTTGATATGTGAGCCTGTTCAGTAACTGTAATGTGATGTATAAAACTGAATGCTGATACCTATTAGTGTATAATGATGTCCCATTGATGTACATCAGGGTAGAGACCAGAACAGCTACAGCCTGGGACTGACTCCTACAGGTATACTGGTCTTTGAAGGGGCAGTCAAGATTGGCTTGTTCTTCTGGTGAGTTCTCCTAGTGACCTGTGGTACTGGACTTAATGCTTAGCCTACTGTTACACTACACTGACTTGTTCATGGGCTGCACACTTGTATTAAAATCTACTTCATTGTAAGATTAACACATAATCAATTGCGTAAATAAAGGTTTTTGAAATGATAACTTGTATGTTAAAATTTTTTTTTTTAAAAAGAAATATCCTTCACAAAGCTAGACATGACATTATTATTATAGAAAATGAAAGCATTAGTTGTTGAAATAAATGTATTGTGATAGATCTGTTGTTGACCTATTCTTACATTGACCAAATGTTTGACTTTCAGGCCAAAGATGACAAAGCTAGACTTTAAAGGAAAAAAGTTGATGTTGGTTGCTGTTGAAGATGATGACAATGTAAGCAGATGTTTTTTATAGAATTTCCCCACAGAATCAGGTAGTAAGGTATCACAACAAACACCACAGTAGCAGGTAGCCAGATATCAAACACTACGGTAGCAGGTAGCCAGATATCAAACACCACAGTAGCAGGTAGCCAGATATCAAACACTATGGTAGCAGGTAGCCAGATATCAAATACTATGGTAGCAGGTAGCCAGATATCAAACACCACAGTAGCAGGTAGCCAGATATCAAACACCACAGTAGCAGGTAGCCAGATATCAAACACCACAGTAGCAGGTAGCCAGATATCAAACACCACAGTAGCAGGTAGCCAGATATCAAACACCACAGTAGCAGGTAGCCAGATATCAAACACCACAGTAGCAGGTAGCCAGATATCAAACACCACAGTAGCAGGTAGCCAGATATCAAACACCACAGTAGCAGGTAGCCAGATATCAAACACCACAGTAGCAGGTAGCCAGATATCAAACACCACAGTAGCAGGTAGCCAGATATCAAACACCACAGTAGCAGGTAGCCAGATATCACAACAAACACCACAGCAGGTAGCCAGATATCAAATACTATGGTAGCAGGTAGCCAGATATCAAACACCACAGTAGCAGGTAGCCAGATATCAAACACCACAGTAGCAGGTAGCTGATATCACAACAAACCATGTCTTGCAGGGCCAGAGCCAGGACCATTCCTTCCAGTTTCGATGCACCACTGAGAAAGCCTGTAAACACCTCTGGAAGTGTGCTGTTGAGCACCACGCCTTCTTCCGTCTTAAGGGGCCAGTCAAAGGGCAGTCAGGTCGCCAGAACTTTTTCAGGATGGGTTCAAGGTTTAGATACAGGTACAAAAGATAATCTTTTTTAAACTAGGTTTGAATAAAAGTGAATTTTTAAAAAGAGTTTCTTCAGTATCATCATACTTGCATTACTCCTACGTCACTGAACCCAGGTACTCTGTAGTAGTTCTCCCCTGTATATCCCACTTACATTTAAGCTCCACTACATCACTGAACCTAGGTACTGCTATAGTTATTCTCCCCTTTTAAACCCCCTAAGTGTTGGACTAAACCAAAGTTTCACATATTTTATCATCTAGTGGTAGGACAGAGTACCAAACAGCCACCATGAACAGAGCACGGAGAAGTGTTAAGTTTGAGAGAAAGCCTAGTCATAGATACTCCAGAAGGCCAACTTTTGAGAGGAAGGAGAGAGAGGAAAGAATGAAGAGAGAGGCAGACATGAAGAGGAGAGCTGAGGAAGACAGAGAGAGGTAACCAACAGAAAAAAACTTCTGCCCTATAATACAAAATCTATAAGTTTTTAAAAAAACTTGATTGTTAAAGAATCACAAATATCCATTGTTTTGTTTACTTTTTAAAGGTTTGTGTCTTTTACTAATAAGCTTTTATCAAATTCATAGTATATGTTTTTTTTTGTGGGTTTGTGGCAAAGCTTATAACTCAATTTTGACCCACTTATAATGCAGCGATTTTGTTTCAGATAGGTTTGTCTGATGACAATGCAGTTTATTATTTTAATAAAAGCATTGGAAGATTATGAATTCTCTTATACATTATAGCGACCCATGCTTTTATTAAAGAATGCAAGTTCTTTTAAAAAAAATTATTTTTCAGTTCATTTAAAAGGTTATTTTTTAATGTGTAGCTTATCTTGAGATAATGTGCATGTTGTATCCAACAGGAGGGCTGTAGCTGCTGCCAACAAGGCTTCTGTAGACACCACCATAGATTGTGACATGTTTAGATAATGTGCATGTTGTATCCAACAGGAGGGCTGTAGCTGCTGCCAACAAGGCTTCTGTAGACACCACCATAGATTCCATCCCTGACAGCACAAGGGAGTCCATCAGGAGCAACTCTACCACCAGGTCCAGCGTCAGGACACCAGACTCTCCCCCTCCTAGGCCCCCTAAACCAGGCACATGGAAGGCAGCCAAAACGTCTGTCACATCTGAGGTACAGGAGGCCATAGTGCCTTCAGCATCAGCTATGGAAAGGTTAGACAACTTAATCAAATCTGCTGCCCTGGAGAAAGGGGACGCAACTGTGTTATCCAATGGGAGATTAGCCTCAACTTCTGACAATATTAATTTGAAAGGTGAGCATTAGCTGGACTACTTTAACTTATACTGTCATGCTAAGTTGTTCAATATCTAACTGTTAAACCCCTGGTCTTAAACTTAATCAAATTTAACCACTGTTTCTTGTGTCAATTACATATCCAAGAAATCCTACTACCAAACATTATGGCCAATGCATGCTTGTGTATCATGTTTAGACAAGTCACTAACTCCCATTACAAACTGAGTATACAGAAACTAAGAGAGAAATAATTGATGTAACAAGATGTAGAAGATGTTCTGTGTCCCATGTGAGTGTAGCTTGATGGAACTATGACATTCTCTCTTCTACCATCTGTTCTTCCTGTTTTTTCCTACAAGATGAGAGTGAGAAGGCCATAGCCAAGTTAAAGAACTTGGATGAGTCCGTGCCTCTGCCTGTGAAAAGAAAGGATGTCAACACCTTCCAGAACAATCAGCTGAAATTTTCAGGTGGTGCCACCAGCATTCCCCCAGAAAACATGAAATGTAATATCCTCAAAGCCAAACTGGAAGAAGACCAGCAGAAAGGTTCACTCTTACCATTCCTCCTTTTCCTGCCTCGGACACTCGCTTCTAGATTTTTATATTTAATCTCTCAAAAGCTCTGCTTCTAGATGTAGGGGCACAGCATTATTTTCAACTAAATTTGATATTTTCCTTTAACAACTACTAACAATATTCTTGGTGTTTCCAATGAGCACAAAACACTAATTAGCTGTTTTTAAAACATTAATTAGCTGTTTTTAAAACATTAGACCAGTCTAGTTTAATTAATCTTCAGGGCTACTATGCTCCATTACCTCCTATTTCAAGGCTACTGTCTAATTACATAAGATCACTAAAGGCCACTTTCTAATGACATAAGAACACTAAGAGCTACTGTCTAATTACATAGGAGATCTAATGGCCACTTTCTAATTACATAGCATCACTGAGGGCTATAACTTGAGAGAGTATTTGTAGAATATCCAAAATTTCTATAGGTTCTGGATGTCTCTCTATAGCGTCATAGCTTGGTACACATTTATCTGACTAATACTTTCTCTGGTTGAATTTCAGAGAGTTTAAACAAGCTTCTATGTCTAGAAGGTCTAGTTATTTTTACCTTTGCTTGAATGCTGCATGTCCAAACATTTGTTGGGATGTCTAAGGAGAATGTTTGCATGATTGTTGTTTAAATTTAAACGCTGTTAAAAATTGTCTTCAAAAACATTGTTTACATCCGTTTTGTAGACTTTTCTTTTCAGCTTTATGTCGGCTAATTTCTCAGTAACTTTCTGAGTAACTATTCTTTTGTCTGTAAACAATTCTTGTCTGTAAACAATTATTTGTTCTGTAAACAATTCTTTTTTTTCCCTGTAGAAACTATTTTTCTGTAAACAGTTATTTTATTCTTGTAATAATTATTTCTACTGTAAACTTTATTCTTCTTCGTAACCAAACAATCCTTTACTCTTTGAATAATTCTTTTTTCTTAACATATACACTTTACATTAAACATTACATTTTAAAATGTATTCTCATTATCTGTTTACTACTGTACACAATTTCAGTGCAAGTTTGTGTGTGAATCTTTTCTGTTAAGTGGCTTCTTTTTGCCTGACCTGTTGTTATTGCTTGTCAAAATCTGGCTACTTCCTGTTATCTCACCTTGTAGCCATTGCCTGTCTATTCAAACTTGTGTCTACTGTCTGTCTAAACCTGTGGCTACTAAATATTTTACCTCTGGTTTGTTGTTTTCTGCAAATAGTATCCATGCACTAGTAGTACAATGAGAGTTTTGTTAACATTAATGGTATCAATGTTGTCATATAGTACATCCTCAGTAGGTTTGCTAACATTAGAAAGCTTTAATTTACTAATGTTTCCTCGACTAAAAATAATTTTAACCAACCAGAAGGCTGAAATAGTTTATTTTGTAGCCTGGGAAAAAGTCAATGTTGCCATACTTAGTTGCCAATTTCTCATCTCAAATTAGACAAACCTATGCTGCACACTACCTGATCTAAGATTCTCCTATGATAGATGCTTGTTTGGTACATGTTTGCTATATGAATGTTGGGAATACATTCCCCTATGTTGCTAGACAAATGTTGGGAATACATTCCCCTATGTTGCTAGACAAATGTTGGGAACACATTCCCCTATGTTGCTAGACAAATGTTGGGAACACATTCCCCTACGATAGTTGCTTGTTTGGTATATGTTGCTATATGAATGTTGGGAATACATTCCCCTATGTTGCTAGACAAATGTTGGGAACACATTCCCCTATGTTGCTAGACAAATGTTGGGAACACATTCCCCTATGATAGATACTTGTTTGGTACATGTTGCTAGACAAATATTGGGAACACATTGTCCCCTATGTTGCTAGACAAATGTTGGGAACACATTCCCCTACGATAGTTGCTTGTTTGGTACATGTTGCTAGACAAATGTTGGGAACACATTCCTCTATGTTGCTAGACAAATGTTGGGAATACATTCCCCTATGTTGCTAGACAAATGTTGGGAACACATTCCCCTATGTTGCTAGACAAATGTTGGGAACACGTTCCCCTATGATAGTTGCTTGTTTGGTATATGTTGCTAGATAAATGGGAACACATTCCCCTATGATAGTTGCTTGTTTGGTATATGTTGCTAGACAAATGTTGGGAACACATTCCCCTATGTTGTTAGACAAATGTTAGGAACACATTCCCCTATGATAGTTGCTTGTTTGGTACATGTTGCTAGATAAATGGGAACACATTCCCCTATGTTGCTAGACAAATGTTGGGAACACATTCCCCATTTTCAGTGCATGTTAAATTATGCAACTTGGCTTTAATAATTAAATAACCTGAACCTTTTCATCATCCTACATTTGAAGAAAACTATAATTTACGTTCAATATTTAGTTTGTTTCCAATGACCCTTGTCTGAAGATAAAATCAACACACCTGCCACCCCATTAAGTTTGTTGTTTTATCTTTTCAGATTCTGATTCTGACAGATCACATGAAGAAAGGTACGACAAAGAATTTAATTTTTCAACGTTTACTTCACTCAGCAATCAAACGTTTCACTTCATACAAACATATTAAACGTCATTCACTAAAGATTTTAATCGTCAATTTAACCCAATTACTTAAAAATAGTTAGAATTTTAAAAATCTGGATAGATACCATTATTTCATCAATAATTTTTTTCCCCTTTATTACCCACAATCCTTCATCCTTTTTTTAAAACGAGTGGTCACTTTTGGTTTTTTTACCTTTTTTTTTGGGTTTTTATATTTGGCTTCTTTTATTATTATGCAACTTAGGAATGTCTGAAAAAAATTACTTCCAGCTAAGGTTTTCAAAAATATCAAAGTATTTCGCTACAAATAAAAAAATAATTAATGTTTTGTTAATTAGTGGTGAATTTTTGAAGTAAAAAAATTTACAATTTGAGTTTAGTAGAATTATCACATGTTCCTAAGTGAATTATTAAAATATTCTTTATTGTGCTATTGATATAGCAGTATTTATTTAAAACATCTTGACTAACCAAATCTGTAAAAGTAGGTTGTATTCAATATAGAGTTTGAGCTGATTATTTTTGCTTATATTACCCCTGCTAATTGCTCACTTGCTTGCAGTCAAAGTAGTAGCGAGGAGGAAAGTGAGTGTGTTGAGAAGAATTTACGCCCAGATCTCTCAGTCACTGTAGAGAGTCAAGCAGATGGTATCAATGACAGGTAGTTCTTTAATCTCCTACAACCAGACACCACCTTCTGTAGCACAGGTAGTTCTTTTATCTCCTACAACCAGACACCACCTTCTGTAGCACAGGTAGATCTTTCATCTCCTACAACCAGACACCACCTTCTGTAGTGCATCAATGACAGGTAGTTCTGTTATCTCCTACAACCAGACACCACCTTCTGTAGCACAGGTAGTTCTTTTATCTCCTACAACCAGACACCACCTTCTGTAGTACAGGTAGTTCTTTTATCTCCTACAACCAGACACCACCTTCTGTAGCACAGGTAGTTCTTTTATCTCCTACAACCAGACACCACCTTGTGTAGTATCAATGACAGGTAGTTCTTTTATCTCCTACAATGAGACACCACCTTCTGAAGCACAGGTAGTTCTTTTATCTCCTACAACCAGACACCACCTTCTGTAGCACAGGTAGTTCTTTTATCTCCTACAACCAGACACCACCTTCTGTAGCACAGGTAGTTCTTTTATCTCCTACAACCAGACACCACCTGTAGCAAGCCTTTATTGACCCTCATCCTTCATAAGTATATACGTATTTCTATTGAATTATGGCCACCATTTAAATTAAATATTAGGTCATTGAAATATGATATTAGCATGGCTTGAAATATTCAGCAGTTCCTATTTTTCTGGTAAATTTTAAAAACAACAGCATCTAGAGTTTCTCACAAAGTTGTCTGTGTTTGATCTTACTTGATACAAAGTTTGCTCTACATTTTAATATCCTTAAAGAAAGTATTTTTCATTTAAATTACCCCTATGCTGCATGACAAAATAAACTATTTTATTTAAGATCAATAACTATAATGTTTTATATTTTAATCAATTAAAGGCTGTTCTAGCTGTGTAAGTAGTTAGCACCAAGTGGGTAGCTCATGTAAATTTAATTGAATGCTGTGTTCTAATAATACATTTGGCAAACAGCTGGCAATCACATGTTAGTTTTGCTTTTATTTTCAGGTTGTTTTTTTTTAAAAATAGTTTCTTGCATGCTGGTGTTTGTTTTTTGGTTCAAATATTTTAGTTTTTTTTTTTTTCAATTACATTTTATCTATATTAATATTCAGCTGTAAGTTGAAAGCTTGAAATTTAGATCTTTGTGTATTTCAAGCTAAACTAACAATTCTATACAAATAATTACCATTCACTTTACAATAGTGGTATAAAAAAACACTTGAGTCATTCATTATTTCTTGTATATTGAGCTGAAGAGATAATTTGCTTCTACTAACTTTTCATGGACATTTTAATGTTGACATGTAACAGCTGATGTTATGTCTATAAATATCCATTTGATTCTAGTGTTGCTAGTGAAGTCATACGGCCTAGGAAAGAACGTCAGTCTTCAAAGACATCTAATCATTCAGTTAACAATGGGTAAGTTGGGACAGTCTTCAAAGACATCTAATCATTTAGTTAACAATGGGTAAGTTGGGACAGTCTTCAAAGACATCTAATCATTCAGTTAACAATGGGTAAGTTGGGACAGTCTTCAAAGACATCTAATCATTCAGCTAACAATGGGTAAGTTGGGACAGTCTTCAAAGACATCTAATCATTCAGTTAACAATGGGTAAGTTGGGACAGTCTTCAAAGACATCTAATCATTCAGTTAACAATGGGTAAGTTGGGACAGTCTTCACCAGTTTTATTTCTCTTGCTAATGTTATGTAGTTCAGATGTTCACCGATGTAGTTATAACAGCTTATCTAGGTAAACCATCTCCTCTCTACTTTTACCTTTATATTTCACCTGTGTAGGTATGACAGTTTATCTAGGAAAACTAGCTCCACCCTCAGTACAGAGAAAACTGCTGAGAGGGCTAACTCATCTAGTCGGGGAAGTAAAGTCAGCTTATCTATCAATGAGACTGGGAGTATAGACAGGAGGGGTCGAAGCACCGCCATTGATGAGCCATACATACCTGAGAAGCGCCCCCCATCCCGCAAGTCCCCTGCCCCCCAGCCTGAATACAACAGTATGGACAGGAAGTCCAGCCGGCAGCCAGTGGTCAGTCACAACAAGAGTTTTGATGTGTCTGATGTGCGCCACAGGAACTCCAGTCAGAGCAGCGATGTCTTTCTGCCCTCACTCCCCAACAAAGTGCTGGCCATTCACCAGGTAGGTGCCTCTAGCTCAGTCTCTCCGTCTTTAGTCAGGGTTTATTGCAAAACTTTCATAAACTTGTGGAAAAAATCAAATCAACTATAAGATAAAACTGCCATGAAAGAAACTAATCTTTGCAATAAACCTTCAGTGTCATGTGGAACCATATTTCTGTGCTTAGCATCCCACAATATTAGAAAGTATGCTTCAAATTCTGCCTCTTACACTCAGTCAATGAAATAAGTTTTAATCTAGTTTATAAATTGTTTATAATGATTCCCTTTTATGATTCATATTTTAAAAATACCTAAATGCTCAATTTTTCATACAATAAAGAAATAAAAATCAAAGAAAATTACAATAAACTACTTAACATAAGTGCATTCAGTACTAATTTCAACACTATAAAGAATTCTTTTAAAAAATGATCCCCAATGATATTACCTTTTAGACTGCTAACCACAGCAATTTTTGCTTGGGTTTGATTCAAGCTTCTCTAATCTTGGGGCAGTATTCTTCTGTAGTCTATGTGTTCACATTTTGCTTAGCCTTTAGCTGTTGTACTCATTTCAATTTGAGCTCACTAAATGTCATTGGTTATCATCCCCATAATTGCTTCCCCTACTTTACCTAGCTTTATTGCATCCCTTTAACTGCAGTATCTACCACAAAATTAACTTGGCCAAGTGTTAACCTGGGGAGTGGTGGATTTTTTGCTGAAATCTTCAAATGTTTATGTTTAATAACTAAAACATGAGTAAAAGTTAGGTATAAAAGTATTACTGTTTATGTGATAGTTGACTAACTAAAGCCTGATAAAGGCTAGGTATAAAAGTATTACTGTTTATATGATTGTTGACTCCATATCTAAACATCTGTCCTGAAATGAAAATATTTTTCCTGTGTTGCCTATGAATGTATCCCACTCCTCCAAATTTTAAAATATCAATTGTTTTTGTACACATTTTCTTCAGTAGATATTATATGCTTTCTACGTTGTAATTTAATGAATGTTTTGGTTATGATGTTCTTAGTTTTCTGAAATCTATTGTTAGTGAACATTAAAGTTTTTGTGTCACTGAAATGTATCCAACAGTTGTAGGTGTCAAGTCACCAACTTATTTTATTTTTCTTTTCTTTCCCCATCTCACTTCTGCCCTGTACATTGTCCCACACAAAGGATGACACTCCTCAACAGCCTTCATCCCCTCCAGGGGCTCCGCCATCTCCTGCACCATCCCCAGCCCCGTCCCCACCCACGTCCCGCAAATCTAAAGTTAATGTTGATGGTACTAGCCCGACGTCAGACAAGCCTGTTATCACACTGACTCGACCTAATCCACCACCCCGCCCCTCGGACTCCTCCAGCACGGCTCATAAGGCTGACCACACCAAGAATGAACAGGACAAAAATGAAAACACAGCTGAGCGTAAAAGTGCCCCTGTGAAGGTTTCACTGAATCCATTTTTACCTGAGCGCCCCTCCAACCCGCCCCCGCTCAGTTCAGCCAAGTCCAACTCCCTGCGGCTCAAGGCTGAGAAAAACCAGACTAATCCATTTCTGAAGCCAGACAAAGAAACAGAACCTAAGAGAAAATCTCTCAACCCATTCCTGTCTGATGATGAAGAAGAAGAAGATGCTCCTCCTGCTCCTAAAGAACTGACCAAGTCTACCAACCTTGAGAGTGAAGCCAAGACTACCGGCCCCACCCCCGCACCTGCTGGTAAAGAAGTGACCCCCAGCACTGAGGGTGAGGCCAACAGGAAGAGTGTGGGCCCCACCCCTGCACCAAGGTTCTACTCATCAGGGGGGATTTTACCACCTGCCACAGACACAAAACCCAAGGTGTCAGAAACTCCCTCAGAACCACCAGCTAAACCTTACCTGAGTTTAAAAAAGTCCCGCCCACCACCTCCACCGCCCTCCCCCACACCAAAGGAAGAGAGTGGTCAGGCGAGCAGCTCGTCCAGTGAGAAAAAGGCCAGCAGTAAAGTGACCGTTGTAGTAAGTTCCCCAGCATCTAATGTCTCCAACTAATCAATGTAACTTTGCTATGGTGCTTTCTACTAGCATCAGCCATGCTTGGCTTGTAGGGACTGCATGCTTTATGTATTGACTAGATAACACAGCAGTCAATGGCTTGAGACTAACACTTTCTCAGTTTGTTGTCCCCTTGTATCACTCACACATTATAAACTCATTCACACTTTCTCTCACATTCTCTACATTTTCACACGTCTTCAATTCTGTGCATGTTAACATCAGTTTTGTACTTTTATGCATGTTTTATACATATCGCTATTGTCACATTCACTTTTTGCATGAATTAATATTTTTCAATGTAATTTATATTTATATAATTTGTGGTGATTATCATTCTATCTGACTATCTTAATGACTGTAAGTTTGTAACCATAGCCTTGCTGAAGTCAGCCATAAGTTAATGTTTATCTAAGCCATGTTCTTCTTGCATTTATATTGAGATTTGTTTTTTTTTTTACCAAGCCCATTTGTTTCATCAACACGTGGATAAAATACAACTCATGTCAAACAATTAATTTCCCTAGCGAGGTTTTAATTATAAAATTGTTTGTTTAAACTTAGTTTTTCTCACCTAAATGAAAATGGCTTATTATAGACTTGGTTATTGGATTAGCTTCATCAAAACAATTTTGTTCACCTAAACTTACTCATCATTCATTATCTTTTTGTTTTTGCTTTTGGGAGACAATTTTAAACTTCTTACTTCTAGTGAAGTGCTGGCCATGAGAAATGGTCTTAAATCTGATGTTGTAATGTATAGCTAGTATTAAAAGTATCAGAACTAATGTGGATGTTGTAGGTGACAATAACAGCATGATGTTGCATGTGAACCTGGCTGTGGTGTAGGACCAGTCTGGTGGCCAAGATCTTTCAGTATTCTACAGTATTCTCATCACACACATCAGGCCTTACAGTTTCTTCTTCTTGTTCTACTCAAGCTCTTAGTTGGAACGCTCATGCTTGCTTCTCTTATTGATAATATGTTCTATTTGTTTATGTCTGTAGTTGGATCACTGGCTTATTGCCAACTGCTTTGTCCAAATGTGATCTCATCTTTGTGTAAAGCTTACAATAGCTTGCTAGTCTGGTGATCTTTACAAACCCTCTGTAAAAACATGCTCCTTTATTTAGATGTATCAATTTGAAATCAGTCTTACTACATTAGCCATCAGGTGTGTTTAGAACCAGTCTCACACCTTTTAAAACTAGCAACACAAACACAGGCTTAAACAGAGCTAAACCAAAATAACTCCATGTTAATTTTTTACTTTTGAACTGTAGGAAACATCTTTCACAAGAGGACATTTTTTAACTTTTGACATGTAGGAAACATCTTTCACAAGAACACAATTTTTTACTTTTAAACTGTAACTGTAGGAAACATCTTTCACAAGAACACAATTTTTTACTTTTGACCTGTAGGAAACATCTTTCACAAGAACACAATTTTTTACTTTTGACCTGTAGGAAACATCTTTCACAAGAACACAATTTTTTACTTTTGACCTGTAGGAAACATCTTTCACAAGAACAGAACCTGTGACAAGAAGAACGTCATCTACTGCCAAGATGACAGCTGTCAGTCATGTGATCACAATAGACCGGTCAAGGAGTGACAGCGCTCACAACACAAGCAACTCTCACATTTCTCCCTGGATGGTGTCCGACAAGAAGGTCGAGCGCAAGGTCACTCTCATGACAGAGCTGTAAGCCTCATCACCTCTGCTAGGCAGGGTTACACACTGTACATGTCCATAGAGTCACAGGATCTGTGAAGTAAGATCCTTTAAGTAAAAACAAGATGAGTCCTTGATGGCTGAACACTAATGATATGCCTGCTTGTTAATGGGAATGTCAGAAATGTTTACAAATAATGCAAGTGATTGAGACGACATCACTTCATTACTTAAACATTCACAGAATGCTAATCTATGGCAGAGGGAAGCAGTAGATTGCATCCTTACAGCTGTTGAAACAAGAAATCCTGCATCAAGACTGACAGGACTGCCTGCTTTATGAAATAGTTGCACAGTCAGCTTTTAAAATGATTCTTAGTAAACTCAGCTAAAAGTGGAAGATGTCAGGTGCGCCACATTAGAGCCTGTCCCTGCCTGTACAGGCCCTGTCTACAGGTGTCTTGTGTCCAGTGGTTGACAACTAGACTCTCACAGAATGCATTTATCAGAGTTCCTCATTGTAAGATAGTCCATACTTACCCATACACATCCCCTTCATACGCCAGCATCATATGGTGTTAGCTGTCCTTTCATACACTAATGGTGTCAGCTGCCCCTTCATACACCACCATGGTGTCAACTGGTGTTTCAATGACACTATTTTCACTTGCTTCTCATTTTTTAAAAACGTAAATGGTTGTGTTCTATTTATAGTCTCAGTTCAGTATACCATATCTAAATGAACAAATATTCAGAGAAATAAATTGTTCAGTTTTTAATAGCTTTTGCTTGCTTTTTGATAGGTTTTAATTTCCGAGATTAATCTCCCCTTATTGATTTTAATCAAGATTAAATTCTAGCTTTGTTCTCCTGTGCCCAACTAATCCAATTAAATTAACATTGTATAAACCTCCATCTTAGAGATAATAGTTTTATCATCCCTCAGAATTTTTACCCCGATATTTTTATCTGTTTGAATTTTTATCCAAAAGTTTTTATCATCTGTCAAAGTTTGTATGAGAATATTTGAAATGAGTTTCACAATCAGATCTGAATCAGACTGCCTCCATCTGCTAGGAGTTTCTTTATGCTGTACATACATGGCTAACAAAGGCAATAGATAGTTGAGCTCTTGTACAGGTTTTCTCTGGGTTGTGAGTCATCTTGTTTTATTTACACATTTTAAAGATGCCTTGTTCAAATCATACTTCACCAATGCTAATCCTTGAAAATTTTAGTTTACTAATGCTTTTTACAATATTTTAAAAACCTTTTATGCAGTTTACACTATTTTATAGATTTGTTTGCTTTCTCAATGTTGTGAAAATTGTCTATCAAGACCTATAGAGTTGTTTATAATTTGGTTACTTTATTGTTTAAAAGATTATTTTAAATTATTTAAAATGCAAAATGTAACATCAAGAATTTTTATGCCATGTGTTAAAGGGTAAACACTTTTTGTTATGAATGGTTTAAGTCATCTGATGTGCTATTTCTGAATGAATGGTTAAAGGTTAAATCATGTGATCTTACTATTTTCTGGTGTGTATGGTTAATTCATGTGATTTTGCTGTTTTCTGGTGTGAATGGTTAGTTCATGTGATTTTGCTGTTTTCTAGTGTGAATGGTTGTCAATTGGGGGGGGGGGGGGGCATTGAGTTTTTATATTGTCTTTGAATATTGATGTAAAGTGTGCTAAATGTATGCCATGGAGGCAACCTTTTGTTCATGTCATATCATTGAATCTTTAATCAAGACATATCTTTGTAGAGCTGATACTTATCAGATGCTTCTTAACACAGTCAAGATGAGCGCACATAGCAGATTTGCCATGAATTAACATTCCTTCACACAGCAAGAGCAGCTTCAATCTCTCTAGAGCACTGTTAACAGCTGTAGCTGGTACAGACTTTCTGATAGGCTTTTCTTCTTTCCATCCAACACTTCACACATTCCACACACATCCAGCGTGGCCTTAAGCATGGCTGTCTATAAGCCAGTTGGATTTAAAATTGCCTGAATCTATCAACAGCATGGCTGTTTATAAGCCAGTTGGATTTAAAATTGCCTGAATCTATCAACAGCATGGCTGTTTATAAGCCAGTTGGATTTAAAATTGCCTGAATCTATCAACAGCATGGCTGTTTATAAGCCAGTTGGATTTAAAATTGCCTGAATCTATCAACAGCATGGCTGTTTATAAGCCAGTTGGATTTAAAATTGCCTGAATCTATCAACAGCATGGCTGTTTATAAGCCAGTTGGATTTAAAATTGCCTGAATCTATCAACAGCATGGCTGTTTATAAGCCAGTTGGATTTAAAATTGCCTGAATCTATCAACAGCATGGCTGTTTATAAGCCAGTTGGATTTAAGATTGCCTGAATCTATCAATGTTTAAGAATACAACTAGTTTAGGCTGAGTGCTAGCTTCATGAATGTAACTTCACCTAACTTGTGATGCAGCATTAACCTGCTGTAAGTTTTATTGTGTAACATCCTACTATTAGCCCTACTAAATTACTAATCATCCAATATACAGTGAATATATTATAAATGTATGAACTATGTAAATGAGTGTAGTAGTCCATGAACAATGCAGATGTATCCTCTCTCTGTGAATACCATTGAGGCTCTGTTCTAGCTAGTGGTGAGATATAACTGTGTAATGGCTACTGTTTCGTCTTTCATCACAACCTCATAGCTCTTATGCTAGTTCTTTAAATGGCCTTTCAACATATGCTTAACACTACACTTTTTAAAAACACCTTTTTTTTAAAAAAAAAAAAATCTCTAATTTCTATGATCATGTATTTTGATTGGGGTACACTTTAAAATTTTTCTCTCTCTTAAACCTAATGGAAGTTAACGCATGATTTGATTTCTTGCACTAATTGACCCTGCACTGTATTGCATGACATGTTCAGCTCAGTCACCTCATGATTTGAGCTGAACTTCTCTGTTCAGTCATCTCATGATTTTAGCTGAACTGGTACAACTCTGTCCAGTCACCTCATGATTTGAGCTGAACTTCTCTGTTCAGTCACCTCATGATTTGACCTGAACTTCTCTGTTCAGTCACCTCATGACTTGACCTGAACTTCTCTGTTCAGTCACCTCATGATTTGAGCTGAACTTCTGTGTCCAGTCACATCATGATTTGAGCTGAACTTCTCTGTCCAGTCACCTCATGATTTGAGCTGAAGTTCTCTGTTCAGTCACCTCATGATTTGAGCTGAACTGTTAGGACTTAAAGCTGAGGGAAAGCAATATTTATTTTTATAACTTGATTTACATAAAAACGTTTTAATAATTCATGTACATTACTTTTGAATACATGTTAGGGAGACAAAGAATTAAATGCACTGTAAATATTGAGAGCTGACCAGAACATATTTTGTTATTTAATGAGCAGAACATGGTGGCCTTGTGAAGCACAATGTGGGACTAGATTTTATTGTTGAGACTTGACATGGTAGACAGGATACAGGGGTTTTTAGAGTTTTTTTTTGTTAGCACATATCACGTCATGTTTGTTAGCACATGTCTGGATATGGTACTGTGTTGGTACACCTCAGTACTGTTGATTTAGTGTGATCTCAGTCATAACTCAAGCTGACTGCAGTCATGTCAGTTGATTAAGTCAGTCAATATCTGATCCACTGACACTCCAGGATGTTTGATTCAACAAAACTGTCTTCAGGATTTTTATAGGGACCTGCTAGTTATCCTAACATGACTGTCTCCAGGGTTTTTATAGGGAAATGCTAGTTATCCTAACATTACTGTCCAGGGTTTTTATAGGGACATGCAAGTTATCCTAATATTACTGTCCAGGGTTTTTATAGGGACATGCAAGTTATCCTAATATTACTGTCCAGGGTTTTTATAGGGACATGCAAGTTATCCTAATATTACTGTCCAGGGTTTTTATAGGGACATGCAAGTTATCCTAATATAACTGTCCAGGGTTTTTATAGGGACATGCAAGTTATCCTAATATTACTGTCCAGGGTTTTTATAGGGACATGCAAGTTATCCTAACGTGACTCCAGTCACACTGACTTGACTCCAGTCACACTGACGTGACTCCAGTCACACTGACGTGACTCCAGTCACACTGACGTGACTCCAGTCACACTGACGTGACTCCAGTCCTACCAATGCCAACACACGTACCATTGTCTAAATCTTATGTCTGCCTTACTCTGAGTTTTATCATGTATGAGCTTGTCAAATCTCTATTCTCTATAATTAAGTTTAAAGATGTTGTGTTTCAAAGTGGAGCAAGAAAAGGCAATGTATTCACACTTCACACACTCATTAGCCCAAGTTTTTTGTGTGCCACACTCCTCATACAGCCATGTACCCTAACTAGTTATGTTAGTTGTTAGGTTTTTCAAAGTTTTGTTATTCATATTTAGTATTTAAAAAATGTATGATGTCCATAGAAATATTAAATTATTCCAGTGATTATTTTTTTTTAATTTGCCAAGAATATTTTAGGCATGGCTTTATTATGAATGTTAAGCTGATCCATTTAAGAAGAGAGTTAATCCATTTAGTAAAAGATAAATATTTCATTTGTGGTTAGCTCTGGCCCCATTCTCCACTTGAAACCAACATTTGTATACTGGATGAATAAAGAACATTTGTATAAATCTACTTTTGTTTCTGTGTTATACATTTGGTGTGCTGAGTGATGTATAAATCTGTTAACCTTTGGTGTGCTGAGTGATGTATAAATCTGTTAACCTTTGGTGTGCTGAGTGATATATAAAGCTGCCAGTGTTATACGTTTGGTGTGCTGAGTGAGGTATAAATCTGCTAGTGTTATAAGTTTGGTGTGCTGAGTGATACGTAAATCTGCTAATGTTATACATTTGTTTCAGTGAGAGATGTGAACACAGCACACATGACAATACTAATGACAGTACAGTTCCAACACATTAAGGAGGCTATTGGAGAAATTTTATTTCAACTAATCCTGTGTGTGTGTTTGTGTGCTGTTTCACTTGGAGTGTGGGTCAGAGTTTGTTAACATCTGCTGACCAATGTCCACCAGTTTCTCCAACCTGTTGGGGCCCTGCTGGAGATTAAACATGATTAGCCATATCAGCCAGCAATAGCTGTAGTCATAGAAATCAAATTGTGAACTAGCAAACATCTTAGAGAATAAACATTATTATTAAATTTTTGAAGTTATAAAAGTTAGTCATGTTAAAACATTAATGTTTTTAAAAAAAAATTAATAATAAAATGTTTTTATTCTCAACATTAATTACAGTAACAATCTCACCTGTAATGTTTTATCAACCACTGCAGGGAAAAGGGTAAATCATTTTAATGCTGGTTTTGTGAATATACATATACATACATTATACATGCAGTCATGTCAGTTGATTAAGTCAGTCAATTATGTACACAAAATATGTAAAAGTTTATATATGTATATATATATATGTATATGTATATATATATGTATATATATATGTATATATATATGTATATATATATGTATATATATATATGTATATATATATGTATATATATATGTATATATATATGTATATATATATGTATATATATATGTATATATATATGTATATATATATATGTATATATATATGTATATATATATATATGTATATATATATATATATGTATATATATATATATATGTATATATATATATATATGTATATATATATATATATGTATATATATATATGTATATATATATATATATATATATATATATATATATATATATATATATATATATATATATATATATATATATATATATATACTAGCCGGCCAGGCCCTGCACTGGTCTCTCTGAAAAACCTATCTGTAAAGGACCATGACTTGTGTGTTTAGTAATCAGCATATACCCGGCACTGGTGTTCAGGTTTAGGGAATATATTACATTTCGAATTAACCCTAACCACAACCAAACACACAAAAACGCAAATACAACGCAAACACAAATACAAACAAGAACACAAAAACGAATACAAACCGAACCACAAACTTAAAGAAAACACACAAAAAAATCAAACAAAAACAAATACAAACGCTAAACACAAACCCAACTGCAAACACAAAGAAAACAAACGCAAAAAAAAGTAAATACAAATAAAAACAACCCTAAACACAAACAATAACTCATAATAATGCAAATAAACGCAAACATAAACAAACTTAAATGCAAACATGAAAGCATACTGCTCATAGTCCTGCCCGGGGCGCCAAATTGCACCATGCTGGGGCGCCGGAGGACGCGCCTGATTCAATTTAGCTTATCCGCAAACGGAAATATAAAAGTAAACATAGAGGACGTTTAGGAGCGGCTTCTAAACTATTATTGACGTTCAAAAAATATTGCGGAGCAAAGCAATGTCATCTGATGGAAACTTTGAAGCTATAAAACATAAACATAGCTATTAAAAGAAATTGTTTCTTCGATCTTGCCTTTACAATCGAGAACGTGGTAAATGTACTGTTACAACGTCTGCTTAAAAAAAGGTACGCACTATGGTGAGGTAAAAAAAAAAAGACAACGTTCATCATGTTTGGTGCGACAGACAAAAACGAATTCCACTTAATTCGCAAAAAAAACCCCAGACAAAAACGAATTCCCCTTCGTGCGCAAAAAAAAAGACAGATAAAAACCTGCGGAAACTCTCGTTCCCCAATAAAGATGTCTTCGTTTTAACTTCAACTGTCTTTGATTAAAAATAACGAGCCGACCCGCGGCATATCATACGCCGCTATTTAGTTGTTTTATTTTCTACTTTTCAGTAATTCATAATTTGTGAATTTGACAGTACCAATGCTGCCACTGAAAATATTTGCTTTAAAACACTATCAGTGGGTCGTTAAGAACGATACTACCCCCACCCTCCTTTCCCCCAACCCCTACCCTACACCCCCCCCCCCCCCGTGAAAGCAGCCTCCTCTTAGTTACCTCCCCTAAGTTTAAAATAGTTTCAAACTAAATTATCTGCCCTAATAGCCGTCACTAAACCTGCTCTATGATTGTAAACATTTAGCGTGAACCACATCTCACCAGACCATGTAGGGGTGGGGTGGTAGGGAGCGCGCTTACAGCTTGTTTTCTAGCGTCTCCCAGAAGAGAATTATATATATAGATACTTAGTCAACAGTACGTTCAGTGTATAACGTAAATAAAAGGCAGTATTAAAAATACCCACAACATTGCACTTGATCAATCCCCGCTAATTATGTAAATGTTTTTTTCCCAATACCAAAACAAAGTAATAAAAAGTAAATCCCCCCCCCCCCCCTCCCCGAAGTAATGGGTTTTATAAAGGGAAATAATTGTGTTTTCCTAATTTATCAAGGGACGTAATGAGTGCTAAAGGACTAAAATGTAAATAATTTTCAGACATAGAATATTTGTGAAAGGTGATACATTTTCTTTCATTTTGTTCAATAGATATGCCGACAAATACTTTTTCAAGTTTAGAAATTGGAATGTGTTTTACAACACCTTCAATATTAATTTTTTAAATCATTAATTTAGATGATGAGCACTTTAGATGTATAATACTACGACGATGAAGTCTATTTCTTACATTCCTTTGTAATCATGGGTCAGTCCGCCACATGCATACATAACTGAAATTGAATTTTATAAATTATACTAGCGTACCCGTCCCCGATCGTTGCCGCGGGTATTAAAGAAAGTATGACGAAATATATAAGAAGGGTTTATGCATTATCGCATGAAAACCTTGAGAGTGCGTTAATCACTCACCGAAATAATGAGGTAGAACACACTTCGGTGACGGCCTGTGTGCCAGGGACATAGAGGGGCGCTCTCGGGAGCCCACCGATTAAACTACCGCAGAGGCGCCGCATACGGCCCCTGGCTCTTAAAACTAACATAGGCGCCATAGTGCTCACAGGATAACTCAGAGCGCCAAATAGCATCCTGAAACAATGATGCAGATTGCGTCATTCGCTAAGGTGTCACGAATCAACAGGATTTTTTAACACGTAGAATTTTTGTTATTTGACATGTTATATACATCAGTGTGCTTGATGCAATTTGTTATCGTTACTAATGGTGTATTATTAGAAGTTCGATTTCAATTTCTGATTGGATCGTCTAAAAATAGATGCTAATTGCATCATTCGCAAAGTGACGAAACTGTACAGAAGGAGTTCACCGCGTTACAAAGTTATTTTTAGAAGTGTAACTTTTATTTTTGATTTGTGTTGCCCTCTGAAACTTAATTTTTTACGTACATTTTCATTATCTCGAGAACTGTAGGCTTTTTGAATTGTTTGGATTCTTTTTTTTTACCGACAAAGGGAAACAACCCAGTTAATAATCTAACCTTTGTTAATTTTTCTGATTATTAAAAAAATGTATTACAGGGCTCTCAGCGGCCTTTAGGGTCCGAAACTGAAATTTTTGTTCGCAGCCAAATCGCACCTACCAGGCCAGGGCGCCGGCAGTCACGCCTGATTCAATTTAGTGAGCGACTGTAACGGCCCATCTTATCCATTGTCTACCACACTGTTTAAAAAGAACGTAGGCGCCATTGCGCTCGCAGGGTAGCCCGGGGCGCTTCGGGTCGTGCAATCTACGGGGCGCCGGCTGTTGCGCCTGTTGAAGTCTTAACGCTGATAAAGTAGTACCCCTTACCCGCTATGCAGGGCGCACGCTTAACGGATGCCAAGCGCTAACATAGCCGCTCTGGAACTCTGGACGCCAAACTGCGTATTGACGTAAATCGCACCCTTCACAGAAACCTTCTCGGGAGTATTTTCATCAATTCCCCGAAGTTTCATGGCACACGGATGAACAGTTTGGAACCGCATCCGACTTTTATTTATTATTTATCGTATATAGAGAAAAATCGCACCCTCCCGGGGCACCGCCCTTGCGAAATTAAAAAAAAAAAAGATTTTTTTTTTTTTTTGCAGAACCCTTCCCTGGAGTGTTCTAATCACTTCCCCAAAGTTTGATCGCGATCTGATGTACGGTGTCAAACCGCAATCGACTTTTATTTTTTTATACCGTATATTGAGAAAAAAAAATCGCGTCCTGACGGGGCGCCACCCTGCGAATTAAAAAAAAAAATTTTTCGCAGCGAGTATTCTTACCACCTTCCCAAAGTTTCACGGCGATGTGATGAAATGCATAAAAGACAGACACACACACACACAGAATACATTGATTATATATATATATATATATATATATATATATATATATATATATATATATATATATATATATATATATATATATATATATATATATATATATATATATATATATATATACATATATATATATACATATATATATATATATATACATATATATATATATATATATACATATATATATATATACATATATATATATATATATACATATATATATATATATATATATATATATATATATATATATATATACACACACACTAAAACATAAGTAAATTTAATTACATAGAGGCTACAGTTTTTTTTTTAAACTACAACAATCTTAAAGTAGTATTGAATCAAATAACTAGCCTAAAGAGTTGCATGCATTAAAAATTTGTAAAAAATTTGTAAAAAAAAATTATTTGAAAATTTTCTAGATGTTGAACATGCAAAGTGCAATGGAAAAAAAAAATTTACTATAAACTGAATGATCAATGTGTCTAATCTCAGTTGGTCAGTGAACCAGTTGTTCTGTAACTTGTGGTCAAATGTAAACCAATATTTCTTACTGCTATGTTTAAACTTTGATAGTAACAATTAACTGGGTTTGTGAAGAAATGGAAATGTTCCTCGCATATCATATCTGTAATGGATGAAACTGATAGCTTCTACTTAAGTTACTAATTGTCTTTAAAAATACTTGTACGAATTAAAATTTATTAAAATTATATCTCAAAATAAATAACAAATTTAAAATATAAAAAACTTGTGAAATGTTAAAAATTTATATTTTGACTTTAACTTTAAAAATAATAATTCCAAAATGAAATAATTCATCAAATAATGATAATGGATATTTTAAATTTTAAAATCCTGACTGTTTATTCTGACCCTTTGATATGCGACCAATGTTGTTGTTTTGATAAATTAAAAGATTTCAGATTTATAAGAATTTATTCACAGCAAGCAGTTTCTAAGGGGCAAAAAGTTCAATTGTTAGTTTAATCCCAACAGTTTTCTAAATGTAGTCTGCTCAAAAAACATAATGTACCCCAATGTCCCCACCCCTCGTTAAAAAAATCTAACATTTTATTTGAGCATACAGACAGAAATTTCCTTCTCATTTGTAAGCTGAGCCAATCAAGATAAAGAATATCGATTAATTTTTAATACAATTTCACAAAAAGTCTTTAACAAAGAGAACGTGACGCTAAGATTCAATGTAAAAATATATTTTAAACATTCAAATGTTTCACTCTTTCAGAACCCACCCGCTCATAAAATTGTCGACGCCTCCACACCCCTCCCCCCCTTGTCCTTAAGGGATGTGACGTATTCTATAGATGACACCTAACGCATGTAGGAAGGTCATATAGATCTACAAATATGTATAGGTGCAATCCAGAGGCATCCAATAAAAATCAACTAATATAAAATACATGAATGTATTCATATCAATCTATATCCAACACACAAGCAGATAGAAGTAAAATTAAAAAAAAATATAGTCTGAACGATCGTGGGAAAAATATTAGTTAAATTAAAAATGTCCCAGCTAAACCTGATGAACACATGCAGATGGCCAAAATAGTGCGAAAGTTTGCTTAAATATGTCCCATCTAAACCTGATAAACACATGCAGACGGCCAAAATAGTGTGAGCGTTCGCGTGCAAAGTGCTGTGAGAAATAAAGACATACGTATTGGCGTCAGATATGCCACCTCTGACAACTGCAGGAAAATATCCAGCTATTAACATATTGTGTATGGGGACAGTGTGGCTAGTGTGTATGGGGGAAGTGTGGATAGTGTGTATGGGGGCAGTGGGGCTAGTGTGTATAGGGGTAGTGTGGCTAGTGTGTATGGGGGCAGTGGGGCTAGTGTGTATGGGGGCAGTGTGGCTAGTGTGTATGGGGACAGTGTGGCTAGTGTGTATGGGGGCAGTGGGGCTAGTGTGTATGGGGACAGTGTGGCTAGTGTGTATGGGGGCAGTGTGGCTAGTGTGTATGGGGGCAGTGTGGCTAGTGTGTATGGGGGCAGTGGGGCTAGTGTGTATGGGGACAGTGTGGCTAGTGTGTATGGGGACAGTGTGGCTAGTGTGTATGGGGGCAGTGTGGCTATTGTGTATGGGGGCAGTGGGGCTAGTGTATTTTATGCTGGTGGTTCGTCATGAGGGCATATAGTAGAATGGTTCTTGCTATGGAATTGACATTAGGCGTAGAAGTAAGTTGATGTAAGGACAGTACATGTAAGTTGATGTAAGGACAGTACAAGTAAGTTGATGTAAGGATAGTAAAAGTACAAGTTGACGTAAGGACAGTACAAGTTGATGTAAGGACAGTACAAGTAATTTGATGTAAGGACAGTACAAATTGATGTAAGAACAGTACAAGTTGATGTAAGGACAGTACAAGTTGATGTAAGGACAGTACAAGCAATTTGATGTAAGGACAGTACAAGTAATTTGATGTAAGGACAGTACAAGTAATTTGATGTAAGGACAGTACAAGTAATTTGATGTAAGGACAGTACAAGTAATTTGATGTAAGGACAGTACAATTTGATGTAAGGACAGTACAAGTAATTTGATGTAAGGACAGTACAAGTTGATGTAAGGACAGTACAAGTAATTTGATGTAAGGACAGTACAAGTTGATGTAAGGACAGTACAAGTTGATGTAAGGAAAGTACAAGTAAGTTGATGTAAGGACAGTACAAGTTGATGTAAGGACAACACATTAAGTTGATGTAAGGACAGTACAAGTAATTTGATGTAAGGACAGTACAAGTAATTTGATGTAAGGACAGTACAATTTGATGTAAGGACAGTACAAGTAATTTGATGTAAGGACAGTACAAGTAATTTGATGTAAGGACAGTACAAGTTGATGTAAGGACAGTACACGTTGATGTAAGGACAGTACAAGTAAGTTGATGTAAGGACAGTACAAGTAAGTTGATGTAAGGACAGTACAAGTTGATGTAAGGACAGCACATTAAGTTGATGTAAGGACAGTACAAGTAAGTTGATGTAAGGACAGTACAAGTAAGTTGATGTAAGGACAGTACAAGTAAGTTGATGTAAGTACAAGCAGGTTGTATGTTAGTCTATCACTCAGTTAACAGATAGACTAACAGATAAGGAATGAAAATTCTTCATCATCCCAGATCTAGAATTTCTCTTGGTAATATTTCTTGAAACAATTAGCTAATGGTTTGACAAATATCAACTTTTTGTATCAGCTGAAATGAATCTAGACCTATACATATTTAAACTGTAGGGGAATATGACACGATGTTGTATTAAGTTGTCACGTGATGCTAAATCTTATTTTTTGGACAAGTGGGTCAGGTCACCAGAGGCTAGAATGACGTCGTGGTATGTTTAGTTCAGACACTCCGTATGTCTCTAGATTGTTTTTGTAATGGTCTACATTCTACTGGCTCGCACGTTAGATGAAGCAATAAATGACTATGTTCATAATTTGTTGCGTCTCCAACAGTAGAAACATAAAGATCGTCGTGTATTTTCCTTGTATTATTAAGAAACCAAACAAGAAAAAGGCCAGACTGGCAAGTTGGGAAGTTTTTACGTAGGACATAGGCCAGGAACTTATCGCAAGACAAACTAACTAGGCCCATTATGTTGTACTGCGTCGCTCCGTGCTAGATCTACCTGTTGGGTCTGTAGGTGTCATCGACGGGGATAAGTTACGACGGCTGTGGTGTACAACGGGTCTGTATTAAAAATTCATTGAGATATGATCATGTATGTGGTATTTAATATTCCCTCGGGCTTAAATTATTTGAGTTATTTCAGGGGAAAAATGAGAGCCGTGTTTGTGGGACCTTGTCGTTTGTTAAGAAGCAGAAACTTACGTGGATGATGGATAGTTTATGGATACAGGATACTCTATGGATACAGGATACTCTATGGATGCTGGACAACCGTGCTAGTCTACTTATGCCAGACAAAAATGTGACGCGTTTGTTGATGACATAAACAAAAGAGCTGGTGACCTACTTTTGACCCCGCGCCTGTTCATGGCCGAGTCCTTGGTATCTGCCGGCTCCTCCCAGAGTGGCTTCTCTTCGTGAAGGTTTGGGTCGCCACTTTCTTGGCCCGAACTAGAATTTTTAAAATCGAAATAAGCCATTTTGTTCAAATAAGTAAGGTTTGAAGAATCAAACAAAAGTATCCCGCTTGTATTATTAGAAAAAGACAGAGATGTATGAGAATAACCATCATATCAACAGGGGAGATGTGTTGGATTAATGTGAGCAGACGTGTTGAAGTTAGACCAGGCAGTAGTTGGGTGGAGAATCAAATAGAGCAGCAGCGTTAATGTAGGCAGTTGAGTTAGGATTAAAGCCAACTATGTATTAAGGGATTAGGGTTAACGCCAGCTACGTGTTAAGGGATTAGGATCAACGACAGCTACGTGTTAAAGGATTAGGATTAAAGTGTTAAAGTTAGTACCTGATTATGGCCTCAGACTCCCTTGGTTCTAGGTTCCCGTTGGATTCTTCTTCAATAAAAGATCTCAGGATGGTGGACAAGATCATGCTCTTTAGTCTCGTCATATCTGTCGAGCACATCAAGGGTTTATGACGTCTAAGGAGGACAGGCTGTCTGACATTCATGTTGCTGTCGTGTCTGACATTCATGTTGCTGTCTGACATTCATGTTGTTGTCTGACATTCATGTTGCTGTCTGACATTCATGTTGCTGTCTGACATTCATGTTGCTGTCTGACATTCATGTTGCTGTCTGACATTCATGTTGCTGTCTGACATTCATGTTGCTGTCTGACATTCATGTTGCTGTCGTGTCTGACATTCATGTTGCTGTCTGGCAGTCATGTTGTTGTCTGACATTCATGTTGCTGTCTGGCAGTCATGTTGTTGTCTAACATTCATGTTGCTGTCTGACATTTATGTTGTTGTCTGACATTCATGTTGCTGTCTGACGTTCATGTTGCTGTCTGACATTCATGTTGCTGTCTGACATTCATGTTGCTGTCTGACATTCATGTTGCTGTCGTGTCTGACATTCATGGTGCTGTCGTGTCTGACATTCATGTTGCTGTCTGACATTCATGTTGCTGTCTGACATTCATGTTGCTGTCTGACATTCATGTTGCTGTCGTGTCTGACATTCATGGTGCTGTCGTGTCTGACATTCATGTTGCTGTCGTGTCTGACATTCATGTTGCTGTCGTGTCTGACATTCATGTTGCTGTCTGACATTCATGTTGCTGTCGTGTCTGACATTCATGTTGCTGTCGTGTCTGACATTCATGTTGCTGTCGTGTCTGACATTCATGTTGCTGTCTGACATTCATGTTGCTGTCGTGTCTGACATTCATGGCGCTGTCGTGTCTGACATTCATGTTGCTGTCTGACATTCATGTTGCTGTCTGACATTCATGTTGCTGTCGTGTCTGACATTCATGTTGCTGTCGTGTCTGACATTCATGTTGCTGTCGTGTCTGACATTCATGTTGCTGTCGTGTCTGACATTCATGTTGCTGTCGTGTCTGACATTCATGTTGCTGTCGTGTCTGACATTCATGTTGCTGTCGTGTCTGACATTCATGTTGCTGTCGTGTCTGACATTCATGTTGCTGTCTGACATTCATGTTGCTGTCTGGCAGTCATGTTGCTGTCGTGTCTGACATTCATGTTGCTGTCTGACATTCATATTGCTGTCTGACATTCATGTTGCTGTCGTGTCTGACATTCATGTTGCTGTCTGACATTCATGTTGTTGTCTGACATTCATGTTGCTGTCGTGTCTGACATTCATGTTGCTGTCTGACATTCATGTTGCTGTCTGACATTCATGTTGCTGTCGTGTCTGACATTCACGTTGCTCTTGTGTCTGACATTCATGTTGCTGTCGTGTCTGACATTCATGTTGCTGTCTGACATTCATGTTGCTGTCTGACATTCACGTTGCTGTCGTGTCTGACATTCATGTTGCTGTCTGACATTCATGTTGCTGTCTGACATTCATGTTGCTGTCTGGCATTCATGTTGCTGTCTGACATTCATGTTGCTGTCTGACATTCATGTTGCTGTCTGGCAGTCATGTTGCTGTCTGACATTCATGTTGCTGTCGTGTCTGACATTCATGTTGCTGTCTGGCAGTCATGTTGCTGTCTGACATTCATGTTGCTGTTGTGTCTGACATTCATGTTGCTGTCTGACATTCACGTTGCTGTCGTGTCTGACATTCATGTTGCTGTCTGACATTCATGTTGCTGTCTGACATTCATGTTGCTGTCGTGTCTGACATTCATGTTGCTGTCTGACATTCATGTTGCTGTCGTGTCTGACATTCATGTTGCTGTTGTGTCTGACATTCATGTTGCTGTCTGACATTCATGTTGTTGTCTGACATTCATGGTGCTGTCGTGTCTGACATTCATGTTGCTGTCGTGTCTGACATTCATGTTGCTGTCTGACATTCATGTTGCTGTCTGACATTCATGTTGCTGTCTGACATTCATGTTGCTGTCTGACATTCATGTTGCTGTCTGACATTCATGTTGCTGTCTGACATTCATGTTGCTGTCTGACATTCATGTTGCTGTCTGACATTCATGTTGCTGTCTGACATTCATGTTGCTGTCTGACATTCATGTTGCTGTCGTGTCTGACATTCATGTTGCTGTCGTGTCTGACATTCAATTTGCTGTCTGACATTCATGTTGCTGTCTGACATTCATGTTGTTGTCTGACATTCATGTTGCCGTCGTGTCTGACATTCATGTTGCTGTCGTGTCTGACATCCATGTTGCTGTCGTGTCTGACATTCATGTTGCTGTCTGGCAGTCATGTTGCTGTCTGACATTCATGTTGCTGTCTGACATTCATGTTGCTGTCTGGCAGTCATGTTGCTGTCTTACATTCATGTTGCTGTCGTGTCTGACATTCATGTTGCTGTCGTGTCTGACATTCATGTTGCTGTCGTGTCTGACATTCAATTTGCTGTCTGACATTCATGTTGCTGTCTGACATTCATGTTGTTGTCTGACATTCATGTTGCTGTCGTGTCTGACATTCATGTTGCTGTCGTGTCTGACATCCATGTTGCTGTCGTGTCTGACATTCATGTTGCTGTCTGGCAGTCATGTTGCTGTCTGACATTCATGTTGCTGTCTGACATTCATGTTGCTGTCTGGCAGTCATGTTGCTGTCTGACATTCATGTTGCTGTCGTGTCTGACATTCATGTTGCTGTCGTGTCTGACATTCATGTTGCTGTCTGGCAGTCATGTTGCTGTCTGACATTCATGTTGCTGTCTGACATTCATGTTGCTGTCTGGCAGTCATGTTGCTGTCTGACATTCATGTTGCTGTCGTGTCTGACATTCATGTTGCTGTCGTGTCTGACATTCATGTTGCTGTCGTGTCTGACTATCACGTCATACGGCATTGGTGTATGTCAGCCGCGTCATGAATCTAAAGTCTTGCATTCATGGCGACGCCTGAGTTGAAAAATCTTAAGGATATTAAGTTGATGAGGTCAGCATTAATGACACGTTTGACCAGTGTGAGCTGATCTATGTCTCCAATCACTGACGTTATTAATTGATGTTGTCTTTCCCAACGTACGGTACCCACCAAACCTGTATGGGCTCAGTACTTACTACAGAATTGTGTCGTGGATCTCATCTGGAGACTTTTGAGTCAATGTCCACCCACAGGTACAAGACCCGTCAGTTAAAAACGTGGACATACAGCTACAAGACCCGTCTGTTAAAAACATGGACACAAGTGCAAGACCCGTCTTTTAAAAACGTAGACATACAGGTACAAGATAAGTCAGTTGAAAACGCGGACACACAGGTACAAGACCCGCCAGTGTCCACTTAAAAACGTGGACATACAGGTGCAAGACCTTGAGTGTCCAGTTAAAAACGTTGATAGAGTTGTACTCACCTATTGCTCTAAGTTGTACTCACCTATTGCTCTATCAGGGTCAAAACGTTTTGTCTGTTTCACTTGGGGTGGTCTCCTGTCAGATGAAATATCAACAATCACATGTCAATTAACATATACAATATGTCAATCAACATATACGACTTGTCAACATATACAACAGTCTATCAACACACACGACATGTCAATTAACATATACAATATGTCAATCAACATACACGACTTAAGCTATCAACATACACGACATAGGTTATCAACATATTTTCAAAAAATAATTATAAACATTTCAATTGATTCTTGGGGTTAGGTTTAGCTTTCGTGTACGTAGTGTGGGGGTTAGGTTTAGGTTTCGTGTGTGGTTAGGTTTGGGTTTCGTGTGGGTAGTGTGGTGTTAGGTTTAGATTTCGTGTGGGGTTAGGTTTAGGTTTCGTGTGGGTAGTGTGGTGTTAGGTTTAGGTTTCGTGTGGGTAGTGTGGGGTTAGGTTTAGGTTTCGTGTGTGGTTAGGTTTAGGTTTCGTGTGGTGTTAGGTTTAGGTTTCGTGTGGGTAGTGTGGGGGTTAGGTTTAGGTTTCGTGTGGGTAGTGTGGGGGTTAGGTTTAGGTTTCGTGTGTGGTTAGGTTTAGGTTTCGTGTGGGTAGTGTGGTGTTAGGTTTCGTGTGGTGTTAGGTTTAGGTTTCGTGTGGGTAGTGTGGGGTTAGGTTTAGGTTTCGTGTGTGGTTAGGTTTAGGTTTCGTGTGTGGTTAGGTTTAGGTTTCGTGTGGGTAGTGTGGTGTTAGGTTTCGTGTGGGGTTAGGTTTAGGTTTCGTGTGGGTAGTGTGGTGTTAGGTTTAGGTTTCGTGTGGGTAGTGTGGGGTTAGGTTTAGGTTTCGTGTGTGGTTAGGTTTAGGTTTCGTGTGTGGTTAGGTTTAGGTTTCGTGTGGGTAGTGTGGTGTTAGGTTTAGGTTTCGTGTGGGTAGTGTGGGGTTAGGTTTAGGTTTCGTGTGGGTAGTGTGGGGGTTAGGTTTAGGTTTCGTGTGGGTAGTGTGGGGGTTAGGTTTAGGTTTCGTGTGGGTAGTGTGGGGGTTAGGTTTAGGTTTCGTGTGGGTAGTGTGGTGTTAGGTTTAGGTTTCGTGTGGGGTTAGGTTTAGGTTTCGTGTGGTGTTAGGTTTAGGTTTCGTGTGGGTAGTGTGGTGTTAGGTTTAGGTTTCGTGTGGGTAGTGTGGGGGTTAGGTTTAGGTTTCGTGTGGGTAGTGTGGTGTTAGGTTTAGGTTTCGTGTGGGTAGTGTGGGGTTAGGTTTAGGTTTCGTGTGGGAAGAAACATGTAAGCTGTATTTTTAAATCTGATAGGAAAGAAACTCGGAATTAAATTTGAGCAATGAGGTTTTGTTTTCGATAGTTATGCGTGTTTAATTTTGGTTATTGCGTTTGTTATATTTAGCAGTTTTTTGTATTTTTTAAAATGAATCTTGTATTATTTATTCAACTTGTCTTTTATCGTTTTTCTACCCAAAAATCTTTCATGTCCATACTGTACTTATTATCACCTTATTAGGACGAGCTGACAGTAAAAAAAATCTTTCATGAAATATTCACGCAGTCTTTGTGTCGCTGATGTCTTTTGTTGGGTACTGGCAGTAGGGTGTGATGTTTCACTAATCTGTCGTCTAGTCATCACGTGATAACCATAATTATTCTCGGAAAAGACACCATTAATAATCCTAACAGTAAAGGGTAAGGAGGTGGTAGGCCTACATGGATAAGTGATTAAAAACTGCATTTGATTTTACTTTCTTTTCTTTAAATTAAGAATGTTTTGATGAATCTGCTGACGCACCACAAAGCCTTACGAGTGTTAGATACAGAGGTCTGACGCACGAGTTTTCTCTAGAACGATATGATGTTCAAGATTAATTTTAAAATCCACAGTTTTTGTACTTCATTCTGTCTTGGTTTACGGGCGGGGGGAATGGGGTGGGGGTTATTATGTGCTGGATCCCATTGTGGGTGGGCAGCCATTTGCAAATATTTTAGCGGGCCTTTATTTATAATATCCTAAGCCAACCTAACACGTTTGACAGTCTCAAAATGTCTGCGTGAGAAGGGAAACTCACAGGAGACAAACGTCACAAAATTAACGTCACAGAACAAAAGTTTTAGAACAAAAGTCACAGTAAAAAGGGACTTGCATTAACATTACCGAACAGAATTCAGAACAAATAATAATCATTAAAAAAGTTTTAAAAAACCCACGTTTTCTGATTGAACTAAAAAGTAGAAAATAAATGCTATAGGCCCTACATCACAATAATGCAAGCGATCACTCTACTATAAGCGAGCAAAAACGTGGGGCGCCGAAGTAAAAGTTATATTACTATTGATTAGATAATACTATTGACTTTTATTAGGGAGCTTGTAGAGAGTCAACAGTATTAGAAACTGTAAGAAAATCACGGCGCCCCACGTTTTTGCTCGCTTATAGTAGAGTGATCGCTTGCATTATTGTGATGTAGGGCCTATAGCATTTATTTTCTACTTTTTAGTTCAATCAGAAAACGTGGGTTTTTTAAAACTTTTTTAATGATTATTATTTTCTACTTTTTAGTCTTTGTCTGTTTGTTTGCATTAAAATCTTGCTATCGATTTTATCTTTTCATTTTTTTTGGGTAAACGAAGACAACTCGTAAAAAGACAACTCGTAAAAAGACAACTCGTAAAAAGACAACTCGTAAAAAACTCGTTGTTTGAATACGTTACTGACTAGAACACATAGATTTGAACCCGTGTCGAGTGGGATAGCAATCGTGTGCCCAACCACTCGACCATATCGTCTCCCCCAAACTGGCCTACCTCCTGTAAGTTTAAACTCGGTTCAAGCTAAATTCTCTGCCCCTAAGCCTGTGGCGACATGTGATCGTTCGCTTCACTGCGCGCGAGGTACGCGTCGCTGGTTTTTTTTCTAATGGCTAGCAGAGGAGAATTATATATATAGATTATATAGCGGTCTAAAATGCTCAATAAAATGTTTCCATTGATCAATTTAGTAATAATAACAATTGAATATTCAATGGTCATCCAAAAGAAAGCTTCCCTGAAAATTTCAGCGCGCTAGCTAACTGGGAAGTGCCAGAAATTTCGATCGCAAGATTTGATTGGAAAGACAAACACACAAACAGAGAAAGCAAGTTAAAGAAAACGTGGGAAAATCACAAGAAATGAACGAAAAACGACATTGCCACAGGTAACAAGAACTAAGCAAACTTCCATACAAATTATTAATGAAACATGGCTTTAAGAACTAAATGACACAGAAAGACAAAATTAGTGTACGTACGTAGGCGGGTGATTGCAGCATATAAGTCCACCTGAAAATATATCAGTTTGTTATATAGGGGTGGGGTGGGGCGGGGAGGATGACAGAACAAGTTGGATGAGATAAAAAAAAAAACAACAACAAAAGATGACACGACTTTGGTTGATGAATGGAGCAGACGATTGACAGCGACAGTAAAAAAAAAAATGTGGATTGGAATAATTTTAGTATTTTGGATCCTAGACAAAATTTTAAAAAATCAGCGTGACTCCTACGCTGCTGTCGGGATAAATTCAACGAGTCATTGTTCTAAGCTGCCGTGGGTTATTAAATTACAAGGGGATTAGGTGTGATGCGAGGGGCGTGGTGGATTAAATATTGGGGGTGGGGGGGGGGGTGGTGTGATGTAAGGGTAGTGGTGGATTAAATATTGGGGGGGGGAATGATGAGAGGGAAGTGGTGGATTAAATATTGGGGGGGGGGAATGATGAGAGGGAAGTGGTGGATTAAATATTGGGGGGGGGAATGATGAGAGGGAAGTGGTGGATTAAATATTGGGGGTGTGAGGGGAGTGGTGGATTAAATATTGGGGGAGATATTATGTTCTTCCACATTTTCTAGACAATTCTTTGAAAAAGTGGAAATTGTTTTATGTCATATCGTAAGTAATGCAACTAAAATTACCAAGGTTTAAAAATATTTCTTGGATCTTATCAGAGTCAATCATCTGCAAGCTCTAGACTGCTAGCTAATAGAGCCTTGTTCTAGATTACTGGCTCATACGTTAGAGACTAGTTCCAGAGTTTCTTCCAGGCCCCACCCCCCCCCCCCCCCCCGAAGACAGTCTACCGCCCCCCCCCCCCCCGAACGAGATGGAATTTATATAGTAAACATATACTTTTACTAGTGTTTTACTAGTTTCCGCCCCCTCCCCCCGGAAAATGTTGACCCCCCCCCCCCCGAAAATATCAAGTGCACCCCCCCCCCCCTGAGAAAAAAGTCTGGAAGAAACACTGACTAGTTCTAGACTGCTGGCTCATACGTAAAAGTGATATGAAATATTTGAATAGTCTGGCAGTTTTTGTGAACAGAGTTTCTTCCAGGCATCCCTTTGCCCCCCCCCCCCCCCCCCCGATATTTTTTTACCCCCCCCCCCCCCGAACGAAATGAAAATGAAATTTATATAATTTATATAGAAAATATATACTTTTAACAGTGTCCGCCCCCCCTCCCCCGAAGAAAATCTACCGCCCCCCCCCCCGAAAATTTCAAGTGCCCCCCCCCCCCGGAGAAAAAAGTCTGGAAGAAACACTGTTTGTGAAGTACTAGTATGTTGTTTGGTATGATAAAACTCTAGCACTTAAAGTTTTAGTTAGGTACTGGTATAATCTATGTCGTCTGGTATGATAAAACTCTAGCACTTATTAGTTAGGTACTGGTATGTTGTCTGGTATGATAAAACTCTAGCACTTAAAGTTTTAGTTAGGTACTGGTATAATCTATGTCGTCTGGTATGATAAAACTCTAGCACTTAAAGTTTTAGTTAGGTACTAGTATGTCGTCTGGTATGATAAAACTTTAGCACTTAAAGTTTTGTTAGGTACTGGTATGTCGTCTGGTATGATAAAACTCTAGCACTTAAAGTTTTAGTTAGGTACTGGTATGTCGTCTGGTATGATAAAACTCTAGCACTTAAAGTTTTAGTTAGGTACTGGTATAATCTATGTCGTCTGGTATGATAAAACTCTAGCACTTAAAGTTTTAGTTAGGTACTGGTATAATCTATGTCGTCTGGTATGATAAAACTCTAGCACTTAAAGTTTTAGTGAGGTACTGGTATAATCTATGTCGTCTGGTATGATAAAACTCTAGCACTTAAAGTTTTAGTGAGGTACTGGTATAATCTATGTTGTCTGGTATGATAAAACTCTAGCACTTAAAGTTTTAGTGAGGTACTGGTATAATCTATGTTGTCTGGTATGATAAAACTCTAGCACTTAAAGTTTTAGTGAGGTACTGGTATAATCTATGTCGTCTGGTATGATAAAACTCTAGCACTTAAAGTTTTAGTGAGGTACTGGTATAATCTATGTTGTCTGGTATGATAAAACTCTAGCACTTAAAGTTTTAGTGAGGTACTGGTATAATCTATGTCGTCTGGTATGATAAAACTCTAGCACTTAAAGTTTTAGTGAGGTACTGGTATAATCTATGTTGTCTGGTATGATAAAACTCTAGCACTTAAAGTTTTAGTGAGGTACTGGTATAATCTATGTTGTCTGGTATGATAAAACTCTAGCACTTAAAGTTTTAGTGAGGTACTGGTATAATCTATGTCGTCTGGTATGATAAAACTCTAGCACTTAAAGTTTTAGTGAGGTACTGGTATAATCTATGTTGTCTGGTATGATAAAACTCTAGCACTTAAAGTTTTAGTGAGGTACTGGTATAATCTATGTTGTCTGGTATGATAAAACTCTAGCACTTAAAGTTTTAGTGAGGTACTGGTATAATCTATGTTGTCTGGTATGATAAAACTCTAGCACTTAAAGTTTTAGTGAGGTACTGGTATAATCTATGTCGTCTGGTATGATAAAACTCTAGCACTTAAAGTTTTAGTGAGGTACTGGTATAATCTATGTTGTCTGGTATGATAAAACTCTAGCACTTAAAGTTTTAGTGAGGTACTGGTATAATCTATGTTGTCTGGTATGATAAAACTCTAGCACTTAAAGTTTTAGTGAGGTACTGGTATAATCTATGTCGTGTGGTATGATAAAACTCTAGCACTTAAAGTTTTAGTGAGGTACTGGTATAATCTATGTCGTCTGGTATGATAAAACTCTAGCACTTAAAGTTTTAGTGAGGTACTGGTATAATCTATGTCGTCTGGTATGATAAAACTCTAGCACTTAAAGTTTTAGTGAGGTACTGGTATAATCTATGTTGTCTGGTATGATAAAACTCTAGCACTTAAAGTTTTAGTGAGGTACTGGTATAATCTATGTCGTCTGGTATGATAAAACTCTAGCACTTAAAGTTTTAGTGAGGTACTGGTATAATCTATGTCGTCTGGTATGATAAAACTCTAGCACTTAAAGTTTTAGTGAGGTACTGGTATAATCTATGTTGTCTGGTATGATAAAACTCTAGCACTTAAAGTTTTAGTGAGGTACTGGTATAATCTATGTCGTCTGGTATGATAAAACTCTAGCACTTAAAGTTTTAGTGAGGTACTGGTATAATCTATGTTGTCTGGTATGATAAAACTCTAGCACTTAAAGTTTTAGTGAGGTACTGGTATAATCTATGTCGTCTGGTATGATAAAACTCTAGCACTTAAAGTTTTAGTGAGGTACTGGTATAATCTATGTTGTCTGGTATGATAAAACTCTAGCACTTAAAGTTTTAGTGAGGTACTGGTATAATCTATGTTGTCTGGTATGATAAAACTCTAGCACTTAAAGTTTTAGTGAGGTACTGGTATAATCTATGTCGTCTGGTATGATAAAACTCTAGCACTTAAAGTTTTAGTGAGGTACTGGTATAATCTATGTCGTCTGGTATGATAAAACTCTAGCACTTAAAGTTTTAGTGAGGTACTGGTATAATCTATGTCGTCTGGTATGATAAAACTCTAGCACTTAAAGTTTTAGTGAGGTACTGGTATAATCTATGTTGTCTGGTATGATAAAACTCTAGCACTTAAAGTTTTAGTGAGGTACTGGTATAATCTATGTTGTCTGGTATGATAAAACTCTAGCACTTAAAGTTTTAGTGAGGTACTGGTATAATCTATGTCGTCTGGTATGATAAAACTCTAGCACTTAAAGTTTTAGTGAGGTACTGGTATAATCTATGTCGTCTGGTATGATAAAACTCTAGCACTTAAAGTTTTAGTTAGGTACTAGTATGTCGTCTGGTATGATAAAACTCTAGCACTTAAAGTTTTAGTTAGGTACTGGTATAATCTATGTCGTCTGGTATGATAAAACTCTAGCACTTAAAGTTTTAGTGAGGTACTGGTATAATCTATGTTGTCTGGTATGATAAAACTCTAGCACTTAAAGTTTTAGTGAGGTACTGGTATAATCTATGTCGTCTGGTATGATAAAACTCTAGCACTTAAAGTTTTAGTGAGGTACTGGTATAATCTATGTCGTCTGGTATGATAAAACTCTAGCACTTAAAGTTTTAGTGAGGTACTGGTATAATCTATGTCGTCTGGTATGATAAAACTCTAGCACTTAAAGTTTTAGTGAGGTACTGGTATAATCTATGTCGTCTGGTATGATAAAACTCTAGCACTTAAAGTTTTAGTGAGGTACTGGTATAATCTATGTCGTCTGGTATGATAAAACTCTAGCACTTAAAGTTTTAGTGAGGTACTGGTATAATCTATGTCGTCTGGTATGATAAAACTCTAGCACTTAAAGTTTTAGTGAGGTACTGGTATAATCTATGTTGTCTGGTATGATAAAACTCTAGCACTTAAAGTTTTAGTGAGGTACTGGTATAATCTATGTTGTCTGGTATGATAAAACTCTAGCACTTAAAGTTTTAGTGAGGTACTGGTATAATCTATGTCGTCTGGTATGATAAAACTCTAGCACTTAAAGTTTTAGTTAGGTACTGGTATAATCTATGTCGTCTGGTATGATAAAACTCTAGCACTTAAAGTTTTAGTGAGGTACTGGTATAATCTATGTTGTCTGGTATGATAAAACTCTAGCACTTAAAGTTTTAGTGAGGTACTGGTATAATCTATGTCGTCTGGTATGATAAAACTCTAGCACTTAAAGTTTTAGTGAGGTACTGGTATAATCTATGTCGTCTGGTATGATAAAACTCTAGCACTTAAAGTTTTAGTGAGGTACTGGTATAATCTATGTCGTCTGGTATGATAAAACTCTAGCACTTAAAGTTTTAGTGAGGTACTGGTATAATCTATGTCGTCTGGTATGATAAAACTCTAGCACTTAAAGTTTTAGTGAGGTACTGGTATAATCTATGTCGTCTGGTATGATAAAACTCTAGCACTTAAAGTTTTAGTGAGGTACTGGTATAATCTATGTTGTCTGGTATGATAAAACTCTAGCACTTAAAGTTTTAGTGAGGTACTGGTATAATCTATGTTGTCTGGTATGATAAAACTCTAGCACTTAAAGTTTTAGTGAGGTACTGGTATAATCTATGTCGTCTGGTATGATAAAACTCTAGCACTTAAAGTTTTAGTTAGGTACTGGTATAATCTATGTCGTCTGGTATGATAAAACTCTAGCACTTAAAGTTTTAGTGAGGTACTGGTATAATCTATGTTGTCTGGTATGATAAAACTCTAGCACTTAAAGTTTTAGTGAGGTACTGGTATAATCTATGTCGTCTGGTATGATAAAACTCTAGCACTTAAAGTTTTAGTGAGGTACTGGTATAATCTATGTCGTCTGGTATGATAAAACTCTAGCACTTAAAGTTTTAGTGAGGTACTGGTATAATCTATGTCGTCTGGTATGATAAAACTCTAGCACTTAAAGTTTTAGTGAGGTACTGGTATAATCTATGTCGTCTGGTATGATAAAACTCTAGCACTTAAAGTTTTAGTGAGGTACTGGTATAATCTATGTCGTCTGGTATGATAAAACTCTAGCACTTAAAGTTTTAGTGAGGTACTGGTATAATCTATGTTGTCTGGTAGCAAAAACACCTATTGATTTCACTTTTTTAATAACACATTGATAAGAGCACTATCATACACTCACACAGATATAAAAAATGTGAGTGGTTTTAGTCATCTATCGATGTAAATAAATAATTTCAAAAAATTAAGCTGCAACTATGTTGATATTCTAAAAAAAAGTATTTTAAAAGCCTGACTTAACTACATCTAATTAAACTTTAAAATAAATGGCCATTTGATCTAATAGCCAGCAACGATTCGATTGGATGCAGCTTTTTGACGGCTAATGTATTCTAGGTCAACGGCCGTGTATGATTTTAGGAACAAAATCATTTCTAGAATTTATGACGTCATCAGGGCACATCTACTCTGTTTTAGAATTGATTTAAATGTTTAATATTTTTTTCTTATGATTTCTTTTAATTTTCGTAAAATATAAGCTATTTCAGTTTTTTCCTACTTGCTATTTATATTGTATCCCTCTGCCTGTGTAATGTTCTCTGTTAAATTCAGTAATACGCTGCTAAGTCGATTATCAATTTTGAAAGAAAAAAAATGGAAATGAGAAAACTTGATTTTTTTTTAGTCTTATAATCTTTTAGATGACAGCTTTAAATATTAGGGGAAGGTTTTAAAGAAATTGCAAAAAGGATTGAGAAATTTTACTGACATAAATTCTTTACGTCGTTTACGCAAAAACAAGTTTCTGTAAATAAATCAGCTGAGATATTTTGATGACTGACGTGATATAAAGATGACGCAGTTGAGACATAAAGATGACGCAGTTGAGACATAAAGATGACGTAGTTGAGATATGAATATGAAATAGTTGAGACGTTAAGATGACGTAAATAAGACGTGAAGATGACGTAGCTGAGACAAAAATGACGCAGTTGAGACATAAAGATGACGTAGTTGAGACATAAAGATGACGAAGTTAAGACACGTAGATGATGTAAATGAACAAGGGCTGACGAGCAACTCACCAAAACCAAATCTTTTTGTTGTAGTTTTCCTGTCAGTTCCTGGTTGGCCAGTGGCTGGAAACAGACGCTTAAGTGCTGGGAGGAGAAAGGAAGGGTTTAGTTTTATCCTGGGATAGATGGGATAGTCGCGTCCTACCCTGAGTTCAGTGGGATAGTCGCGTTCTATCCTGAGTTAAGTGGGATAGTCGTGTTTTATCCTTGGGTAGATGGAGTCCAGTCGTGCTCTATTCTGGGATCGATGCAACTTAAAACTAGAATGCAAACATTTATTTACAGAACATATTTTGACGTCTGTAAGTATTAAAACTGTACATTTGACGTCTGCGTAATTTCACACTTCTACCAAAACGCAATGGAAAGGGTCAACTTCAGGCAATCATTAGCACGACAATCTACATATAATTTTCTGCTTTCGTCTCGTGTGGGCACAATAAATTCTAGTCAAAATCTCACGGCATATCAGAGATGAGGACAAGTCAGTGGCGGATCAAAGTGAGGGCTGAGAGGGCAGCAACACGGAGCCCTACATTATCTCTTACAAATCATAATAGCTTTCAGTTATTGTTTTTTACTAGAATAGTTAATGTTTGAATCAGTTGTCATCACAAAAAACTAAAAAATAAAAATACAACCAATGCGTATATGGTCTACATTGGGGTTTTGGATAGTCATATTTTTGGTCCACCTATCATCAGAGATTAAAAAAAAAGTCTCAACGGTCGAGACTTCAAAGCAGTATAATCGAAAACTAAAAAAAAATGTATATATAATATATATATATATATATATATATATATATATATATATATATATATATATATTTATTTATTTATACATGTATACACACACACACACACACACATATATATATATATATATATATATATATATATATATATATATATATATATATATATATATATATATAATAAAATAATGTACAAACTCATTAAACGACGCATACGTTACAAGATACTGATGGGTTATTGTTACTTATAGGTGGTTCGCCACGGATATATGAGATAGTCCTATTAGTTCTATAAGTGAATCGGTTTTAAGACTGGTCAGAAAGAGCAGTCATTTGGTAATGTACAATCTAGACTAAGAACAGCTACAAGTTTATCGTATGCACTCATCTCATTTAAAAAAACCTATCAACTGTTCTGAAATGATATTCAATAAGCAGCTTGTTGGCTATGTCCTACATATGTATGTTTAGACCAGATAGTTCTACAAATACTGTATGTGCAATCCAGATAGTTATACACATTCTGTGTCTTTAATCAAGATAGTTATACATATACAGTATGTTTAGACCAGATAATTCTACAAATACTGTGTGTTTAATCCAGATAGTTCTACATGTTCTGTAACTAGAAACGACTCGCTCATTTGATTTGAGAGAGTTGTGTTTATGACGTCACATAAGTCGTAATTCAGACTGAGGCTATAACTTAAAACTTGGACTTGACAGATTAATTCAACTAATAACGGAACAAAATAAAATCGATTTTATTTCTTGAAATTATAAACGTATAACGCAAAACTTAATATTTTTGATTAAATATCTAACCTCACAAAATCCTCTCTCTTACACACACACATATATACCGATAGCAAATTAATTTGTTAGACTCAGGTGGGGAAAAGTCAATGATGCAACCACAAGGTTGGGTATTGTTGAATGATCTAAACTGTGGAGTGGGTGGAAATGTTTTAGTGACGGTGGAGTGGGTGGAAATGTTTTAGTGACAGTGGAGTGGGTGGACATTTTTTAGTGACGGTGGAGTGGGTGGAAATGTTTTAGTGACGGTGGAGCGGGTGGAAATGTTTTAGTGACGGTGGAGTGGGTGGAAATGTTTTAGTGACGGTGGAGTGGGTGGAAATGTTTTAGTGACGGTGGAGTGGGTGGAAGTGTTTTAGTGACGGTGGAGTGGGTGGAAATTTTTTAGTGAGGTGGAGTGGGTGGAAATGTTTTAGTGACGGTGGAGTGGGTGGAAGTGTTTTAGTGACGGTGAAGTGGGTGGAAGTGTTTTAGTGACGGTGGAGTGGGTGAAAATGTTTTAGTGACAGTGGAGTGGGTGAAAATGTTTTAGTGACAGTGGAGTGGGTGGAAATGTTTTAGTGACAGTGGAGTGGGTGGAAATGTTTTAGTGACAGTGGAGTGGGTGGAAATGTTTTAGTGACAGTGAAGTGGGTGGAAGTGTTTTAGTGACGGTGGAGTGGGTGGAAATGTTTTAGTGACGGTGGAGTAGTGACGGTGGAGTGGGTGGGAATGTTTTAGTGACGGTGGAGTGAGTGGAAATGTTTTAGATTCGAGTACAATATCTGACCGTGATTTGATCTAATTATAAATTCAGTAAATGAGCCGTCTAAGTGGTTGCACTATAGACTCCGGCTATCCTTTTTATGTGGAGGGGACCTACCCCTCTCCCTACTGCCCAGGGTACCTACCCACCCTACTGCCCAGGGTACCTACCCACCCTACTGCCCAGGTACCTCCCCCCCCCCCCGCCTCTACTGTCCAGCATGAAATGGCTACAGTCTGGGAATACGAGCCACCCATTATCGTGGTCACGCGACTATCTTGTATGGCTCTACTCACACCCAGGCCCGCTAATGGCATGCATATTTCATGCCGTTTGGTCTTTTAATATTCGCAACAGTCGTTTTAAACTACCTTTTTTCTGATATCGTGTCGGCGTTTTCATCTCTGATGTTACATTATATCAGAAATGTTAATGTTACACGGTGTATCAGTAATGTATACGCTTTTATCCAGTCGTCAAATGGACAGAGACAAAAAACAAAACACGCTCTGACCTTAACGCGTCATTGTTTGAAGTTTCACATTGAAAGTGGAAACTTTTCAAATGTTGTTGTCACGTGTGTGGATGGAAGATTTAGACAAACACGATGATGAAGTGTGGTGTTGTTGATGTTGTGGTGTGGTTGGAGGTGATGATGAAGTGCGGTGTTGTTGATGTTTTGATGTGGATGGAGGTGATGATGAAGTGTGGTGTTGTTGTTTTGGTGTGAATGGTGGTGATGATGGACTGTGTTGTTGTTGATGTTGTGGTGTGGATGGTAGTGATGATGGACTGTGTGTGGATGGTGGTGATGATAGACTGTGGTGTTGTTGCTGTTTTGGTGTTGGTGTGGGTGGAGGTGATGATGAAGTGTGGTGTTGTTGATGTATTGGTGTGGATGGTGGTGATGATGGACTGTGGTGTTGTTGATGTTGTGATGCCTTTGATTTTACCATGTCCGACTTAAAGCCATTTTAGCTGTTTTTATTTTAGACGAGATAGTATGGATTTGACGCCACTCCCCCACCCCTAACTCGATTGCTCCACAGGTAACCCACTCCCTCCCCCCATCCCTACCGCGGTTTCTCGACAATCAACCACGCCCCCCACTCTTATTAAAAATAATAAAAAGCAAATTAGTTTTATTTTCTTATCTTCGGTGCATTTAAAGGCTTATCATTATAAAGGTTTTGATACTTGTTTGATAACAGCTTAGCGCGGTGATATTGACCCATTGCGCTCAGAAATGGCCGGCTGTTCAGTTTTATAGCGGACACCTCACACGTCAACGACAAAATCTTGTTTCAAAAATCCCCCCTGACCATTGAAACACATTCTACTGGCCCTTTATTTGACTCTTTAAAGAACTGTTATTGTCGCCTTCCTCATTCGGCTATTTAAAACTCCCCCCCCCCTCCTTTTTCCACGTCATATGCCGATGACACAGAAACAGGTGAATTCTACTTCACCTGCCCCGTGGATCAGGTTCAAAAAGGGAAATTCATTCAACTTATTGAACTTTTTAAAGGGGTGGTACAGGTCTCCGGTGTAAGTATTTTACAAGAATATGTGGTACTATTTTACCATTGCATTCAGCTTTGTGTACCTCTCTTCTCTCTCTGGCCATTTCTATGAGTGTTTTACGTTCATCAATTGACTATTTAAAGGAGCTTTATGTCGTCTCCACCCCCCCCCCCCCCCCCACATTCATTAAAGTAACTAAAGAAGATGAATAAGGTATGCAAGTAGTTTGAAATGTTTACACTATAGATCAAGTTTTTTTTTTAAACGGCACTATGAAGCGATGTATTACACTTCAGTACAACTTATATAACATTTCTTAGAGCGCTTCTATCTGTCATATACAGACACAGAGACACACGTACAGACACAGAGACACACGTACAGACACAGAGACACACGTACAGACACAGAGACACACGTACAGACACAGAGACACACGTACAGACACAGAGACACACGTACAGAACGAGACGGACACACCATCCGCGACACAATTCAGTACAACAACAACAACTCAGTGATCTCTTCATCAACATGAAGGTTGAGACCATCACGTGACATACACACCAAGCATTCAGAATTTGCTGGAAGAAAATAATGTGTGAATAGACCAGTTGTCACTGTTCACCCAACATTGCCAGTAGCAGAAACTGCTCACATAAGCATATATAATAACAAAGCCAATGTTCTATTAGAATCTTTCTACCCCGGTCGCCGGGAGGGGAGAGGGGATATTCAGTAATTTTTTTACAGGTTTACGAAAAATTCAGGAAAAAAAGTATAGATCGACCATAAACCTAACTGTAATGAAAGTTTAGTAAAGTAGTTATTGTAGGTTTAGGGCGTTTAACTGGATTTCCGCTGGAGTGGATTCGTTCAACTTTTGTGTTCTTGAGAACACAGTTATTCATCGCTCTGTCTTGGTAGTAACGCTCATCTTATCTAACTACACACACGAGTCGTGTGTACATGTGCTAAACGAATGGCTTTTTGTCATGTTTACATGTGTAAACCACAATCAGTAGGGACTGCTGACCCGTAAGTCTCGAGTTCGAATCCGGGTTCAAGTCAGTGGACCGTCCCTGAGTCCACCCAACTCTGATGGGTACCTAACTCAGTTTAGGGAAAGTAAAGGCGGCTGGGCATAGTGCTACCACACTATTCCTTCATATGCCGAGGTCACAGAAACAGATGAACACTAATTCACTTGCCTCATAGACCGTCAGGTTTGGAAGAGGAACTTTCCTGATAAATCATCATAAACGTGGTTTATATTGACATGGGCAAAGCACCATAACATGCGTGTCATATTTACCGTCTTCAACGAGCGTGTTACGGGTTGGCTCCTCCCCCAGGATGACGTAGTCCCAGAGTGGACTGTACTGGTCCCTGGGTGCCTCAGGCCTCTGTTTGTTCAGTGACGTCATCATGTTGTACATCCAGTCCTTGTCATCTGGGGAAGAGACGCATGACATCTAGAGGACTATACACTTGTCATTTAGGGAATAGACGCATGACATCTAGAGGACTATACACTTGTCATTTAGGGAATAGACGCATGACATCTAGAGGACTATACACTTGTCATTTAGGGAATAGACGCAAGACATCTAGAGGACTATACACTTGTCATTTAGGGAATAGACGCATGACATCTAGAGGACTATACACTTGTCATTTAAAGTAGTATATATGTGTCATGTACAGAACGACAAGAGTATACACATGTCACTTTGGGATTATATATATATATATATATATATATATATATATATATATATAATATATATATATAATTATATATAAGGAGCACCAATCTAGTTGTGAAGGGATGGTAGACACTAAATGTCATCATCAATTGCTTGAGAATAAAGTATGGGAGCAATTGGGGGGGGGGGGGGGTAAAAATAATAAAAGAACATTTCTCATTAGTTTGTCTTTATTGTTAGATAACCTGCTGTCCTTGAGGTATTTTAGACCGAGACGTTTATTTTTTTGTTCCCTACTTTTCTACATCAATTTGATTTGATGTTGGTAAAGACTTGTTTCGATTATTAATTGCGAAATGAGCTGTGTTATTACTTTCCAAATTAGATGTTTGTAATAATTAACTCGGCTGGCATTTACTGGTATTTTTATGGAAACCCAACTAGCAATATAAAATGCTACTTTTAAAAATTAAAAACTAAAAAACTTGAAACTAAAATGTGGTTCCAATTACTGAAGTACTGTCGAACCAATAAAAATATCAACACTAATTAAAAATACCCTAACAAGGAAAACTTCACTAACACAACAACAAAATACAACAACCGAGTCACGTGACCTAACGAAAGCTCACGTCACGTGACTAACACTGACCACAGCTTCTCGTGAGCCCTAAGTCAAAAATACTGACCGAGTGGTCAGTCGACTTATCTATCAGCTGCTGACCGCACGCACTCACAACTTACGCACACACAACTTACGCACAAAAAAAACGATTAGCTGCTACATTCAAACTGTCGCTAACTTGAAATACAACAAAGAAATGATTCTAGCAGCTAGGCTGACGAGATGTACCTTAGAGATTGTTTGACATAACCACCCCAACTATTGTCAGTTTCATACGGTTAAGGTCGCTAGGCCTTCTAAACGACCACAGTTTCTTTCAGGCATCTCTTCGGGGGTGGGGGTGCCTAGTCCCCTCCCCCCCACCTCCCGAATCAAGTCGCCCCCCCCCCCCGAACGATATGGAATTTATATAGAAAATATATACTTTAACAGTAGTCGCCCCCCCCCCCCCCCCCGGACATTTTAGTCCGCCACAAGAAAATTTCAAGCCCCCCCCCCCCCCCCCCCGGAGAAAAAAAATCTGGAAGAAACACTGTAAACGACGTGTAACTCAAAATACATGACTGATGACTGATGACTGATGACTGATGACTGATGACTGATGACTGATGACTCATGACTGATGACTCATGACTGATGACTCATGACTGATGACTCATGACTGATGACTCATGACTGATGACTCATGACTGATGAAAAGTCTAATAGCGTAACCCTCCCCCACCCCAACGGTAGTTCTAACGAAGAGAGGCTGCTGTCGTTACAGCGACAAGATTAAATTGTGTATTTCTATTTTATTGTCAGATTGGCATCGCTGTTAACTTTTTAAAGTCAGCCGTTAGAGATCAGTGTTATATTTTACACATTTCCCGTCAACAAATATCGCTTCATTATTGGGATCATCTCAAAGCAGAGTTTAAAGATTATCATAATTTTTGTCAATGTTAGTAAAGTATATGAAATCACAAAACCTGGCTATGCATTCTTGTTTCTCCTTCGAACAAAAATGTAGACTTTTGTTTTTGTTATTAATATTTGAGGTAACTAAACATAATTTTTTCTAAAATCGCGACACCGCTAAGACAATAACGAAATGAAGTTTAATTAATAAAAGCGCGCGCAAAATAAAAACTAAACATGAACGCAAATATTTTCAAAAGCTGAGTATTTTAAAACTAACAAGAAGATTGCAGTACATAGTGCTGATGATCTAGATTAAATAGCCAATTAAAGTTTATAATTGATAACACCACAAAATGTCAAAACTAAAGCTGGATTATCAAAAGCCAACATAATTATAACATTGCTGTAAACATAATTTTCAAGTTCACTCTATACGCTCAATATCCTACAGTAAAAGCGAGGAAAACTCTAAATCTATAGTTTTGGTACCTATGTTTTTAGGTGTAAGGCGATCTCAACAAACAACACAAGTTTTGTTATTGTTTAATAGCTATTGTTTTAATTAAAATGAAATGACTGAATTCCTTGTATTGTGATATTGAACAGTCTACCTGAGTGATAGTTCAAATAAAATAGACGAGCATATTTAAATCGATTGTTTAGTTACCGGCGCCCCTACCACAAACTAGGCAAAACCAGCTAGGCAAACCCAACTAGGCAAACCCAACTAGGCAAAACCAACTAGGCAAACCCAACTAGGGAAAACCGATTAGGCAAAATCAACTAGGAAATAACCAACTATGCCATACTTAATTAGGCACGCCAAAACAAATTTATTAGTTTTTTTTTATTAATTAACAATGACATAACTCACATAACATATAATCTATTTTTTTTTAAAATTTGAATTACGATGTGCTCAGTTGCGAAATGCAATAGCCCTCAACTGAGTAGAACCAAATTTCATTGTAAATATTATCGTAAGCTTTTGTTTTCTTTCACAATGCTTGTTTAAATTTATTGTTTGTAGTTTGCAGTAAATTTTGTAACTAATTTTGATACGCTTCTAATGCAGTTATTTCATTCTAATTTTTCAAATACATTCATCTCCAACGGCAACGTAAGGATATGGACATTGTAATCTAATTAGTAATTAGGCTAGTCACACAGTATGATTAATTTAACAACTAAATTTTAAAAATGGGAAGTAACAGGATTAAATACTAGCTATCTATCGATCATCGATTAAATACTATCTTTCTATCAGCTAAATGATCGATTAAATACTATCTTTCTATCAGCTAAATTATCGATTAAATACTATCTTTCTATCAGCTAAATGATCGATTAAATACTATCTTTCTATCAGCTAAATGATCGATTAAATACTATCTTTCTATCAGCTAAATGATCGATTAAATACTATCTTTCTATCAGCTAAATGATCGATTAAATACTATCTTTCTATCAGCTAAATGATCGATTAAATACTATCTTTCTATCAGCTAAATGATCGATTAAATACTATCTTTCTATCAGCTAAATGATCGATTAAATACTAGCTACCTATCGATCAGCTAACTTACGGCGGTGAACTGTCACCACTGGTTCAATTCTTGCTAAGTCGACCGTGGACTCTGAAGGGAGCAGATAATTATCTATTAGGGCTATTAAGCTACTGATTGGGTTTTAAAATTAAAGCAAATATTTTAGTCGTATTCTAGGGCAACTTCATTTAGTGCGATTTGTGTAAAAGTGAAAAATAAATAAAGCGTTGTTTGTTAAAATATGGAGATCTTATGAGCTGCCAGAAATTTTATTAAGCAGTTGTGTTCAGAGGCGTAGCGACCCTACCCGGCGCCCGGGGACAAACTTTCGATTTGCACCCCCCCTCGAACTTTGCATTTATACCCCCCTCAAACTTTCAATTTGGCGACCCCCCCCCCCCTAAGGTCGGCGCCAGGGGACATATGTCCCCCCGCCCCCCCCCCCCCCTCGCTACGCCTCTGGTTGTGTTTTATTTTCTTATTTTCAGTGCATACGTTTCTTTTATAATTGTTATTACTTTCTCGTATACAAAGTATAGAGAAAGTATTCTAATCGTGAAAAAAAAAAATCGAGATTTTCACAAATCTCGACGTTTTATACCTCCCTGAGTCGGAAAAACATAGTTTTGCAATATTGTCTGTATGTCGGTGTGTGTGTGTGTGTGTGTGTGTGTGTGTGTGTGTAAACACGATAACTCGAGTACCGTTACAGCTAGGTTGATGAAATTTTATATATAAGTATTATATCAAATTTGTAGATCCGTATCAACTTTTCAGCGATTTCCGATAACCGGAAGTGGAACGTTTTCTACTTTCAATTTTTCAAAAGACTATAACTTGAGTACTGTTTCAGGCCGATAAATGAAATGTCAAGTACAAGTAAAATATCTAATTCCCTGTCTTTTGTCAAATTTTGAGTAATATTCGTTTACCGGAAGTAGTAATTTACGCTATTTCCGATTTCTCAAAAAAAAAAACGCATGTGAATTTATAAACTACTGATAACTATCATGCACATTTTATTTGGCGTTCACTTGGTGTGCAATTCTTTTTTCTACGAGATTTTATTCTATTTTAAACAGTGTAAGTATTTAAAATGGATTAAAAATCATGTCTATATCCCGAGTTGCCATCTCCTGTTATTTCATATAAGAATATTCGAGAAAGTTTAGGGCAGATCACTCACGGTTAATTATTTGTTATATTTAAATACAACTATTTTTAAAGCAAACTTCTAAAACTAACTTTATTTTACCGTTTGTTAGGACAAAGTATCATCTACTCACATCTAATGTATCATCATACACATTGATACGCTCGTTCTTCTATTAGATGTAAGTGGATGTTGAATTGATTTCAATTCTATGTGTTCTAAATACAGATCTCTAGTCATAGAATGGGGTCGCGCCAAGGTGGCACCGGCCCAGGTGACCGTGATCCCTCACCCCTACCCCCTACTCCCCTGTAGTGACGTACCTGTTGAGGCGCCCCGCAGAAGTACGATGGAGGTGAGGAGAACAAGAGAAGACAACCAGACATCAGAGGTACCACTGGCCATTCTGGGGTTCCAAAAGTTGATGGCACTTTCTGTAGGAGATGGCGTCAATCTTTCAACTTTCTCAACTTTTTATTCACAAAAAATTAATTTATCCATTCGTGATTTTAAAAACTGGCAATTAAGGCTACAAGAACAATAAAATTGGCAATTAAGGCTACAAGAACAATAAATTTGGCAATTAAGGCTACAAGAACAATAAAACCGGCAATTAAGGTTACAAGAGCAATAAAACTGGCAATTAAGGCTACAAGAACAATAAAACTGGCAATTAAGACTACAAGAACAATAAATTTGGCAATTAAGTCTACAAGAACAATAAAAATGGCAATTAAGTCTACAAGAACAATAAAAATGGCAATTAAGGCTACAAAAACAATAAAACTGGCAACAAAGGCTACAAGAACAATAAAACTGGCAATTAAGGCTACAATAAAACTGGCAATTAAGTCTACAAGAACAATAAAATTGGCAATTAAGGCTACAAGAACAATAAAACTGGCAATTAAGGCTACAAGAACAATAAAACTGGCAATTAAGGCTACAAGAACAATAAAAATGGCAATTAAGGCTACAAGAACAATAAAACTGGCAATTAATGCTACAAGAACAATAAAACTGGCAATTAAGGCTACAAGAACAATAAAAATGGCAATTAAGGCTACAAGAACAATAAAACTGGCAATTAAGGCTACAAGAACAATAAAACTGGCAATTAAGGCTACAAGAACAATAAAACTGGCAATTAAGGCTACAAGAACAGTAACACTCACTGAAGCTCGATGGTTTTAAAAGAAAATTTTTATTTGAATCTATTTAGACAATAATTCTATAAAGATATTTTTTAAAATATATTTAGACAATAATTTTAAAAAGATATTGTTTTAATCTATTTCGACAATAAATCTATAAAGATATTTTTTGAATCTATTTAGACAATAAATCTATGAAGATATTTTTTTAATCTATTTCGACAGTAATTCAATAAAGATATGTTTTGAATCTATTGAGAATAATTCTATAAAGATATTTTAAGATAACTATGAACGTTTTTTTTAATTTAAAATATTGAAAAGTTCCAATTATTAAGACTAGTTGAATTAAGGATGCAGACAATAGTTACCTACCAAACAGCCTGATCTAAAAAAAAGAAAGAAAAGAATTAGAAATCTAACTGACGGATCAACACAAACGTTCACCGGTGCAGATTACTGGATTCGGCTATTTATAGCAAACTTAGAAATAGCGGACATTTTGCGGCAACCACTTTTTTAATCACGTGATCATAAAATGGCCGCCGCTAGCCAGCCAATCAAAGATAGCCGCTACTGGCTGAAGATCCGTGAGAGATGTAGGCGTGGGGGTGGGGGTGGGGTGGGGGTGGTTCCTGTCTCGGGATCCACATTGACGCTGGTGGCAGTCAGGATAAAATGTTTGCTGTCAGGGAGGATTGGAGAGATTTTAATTGATTTTTACACAAATTGTTAATTACACAATACCAGTGGTATACATGACAGCCACACATAGTTCATTCATCCCACAAGTTCAACCACACACCACCTCCCCCACCTTTTCAACCACACATCACCTTCCCCACACATTGTCAAGCACACATCACCCCTTACATCTTCATCCACACATCACACCCTCACATGTTCAACCACACATTACCTCCCCCACAATGTCACCCACACATCATCTCCCCCACATTGTCAACAACACATCACAACCCCCCCCCACATTGTACCCCACACACCACCTCCCCCCACACTGTAACCCACATATCATCTCCCACACATGTTTAACCACACACCACCTCACCCACATTGTCCCCCACACATCACCTTCCCACAATGTCCCATCATGTTTCACCCCCTGTCAACCCCCACCACACCATCACCAACTAGTTGGACCCATAGAACTTAGACCTCCGTGAATTATCTGTCCAAGTATGTGTGGTGTAGATTTTGCTTCTGATAGTTTTAAAATGGCGGCAAGTTAAAATAAAATGTGGCGTGATTTTGTTAAAAAAATGATTTATGATTTTATTGTTTAATTTGATAAAACCCAGAGATATACCCACCGTTTGTTGTATGTGACATTTAAAAAATTTCTGACGATTGTTTTTCTAAGAATGTTCTATGTGTTTCCCTACTTCGATCAAATTTAGCAGCCAGTCTTGATATATGTAAATTTTATTTTGTCAAACCTAATCGCTGACCACATTGTATTTGAGTCTCTGAGAGAGCAAAACGATTCAACATTCGAACCCCTCCCTCGACATGAATATTGATAAAGATAAGTTATAGCGCCGACATTTTGTGATCGACAGTAGCGTCCCTTGAGTTAAATAAGTGATGAAGTTTAGTATTAAACAGTTGACGCCTACAATGGTGTGTACACGATTCAGGGGCAGCTACTCTACAAGCCAGGGGCGGCTACTCTACAAGTCAGGGGCAGCTACTCTACAAGTCAGGGGCGGTTACTCTCAATAAGTCAGGGGCGGCTACTCTACAAGCCAGGGGCGGTTACTCTCAATAAGTCAAGGGGGACAATTCTACAAGTCAGGGGCAGCTACTCTACAAGTCAGGGGCGGCTACTCTACAAGCCAGGGGCGGCTACTCTACAAGTCAGGGGCGGCTACTCTACAAGCCAGGGGCGGTTACTCTCAATAAGTCAAGGGGGACAATTCTACAAGCCAGGGGCGGCTACCCTACAAGTCAGGGGCGTCTACTCTACAAGTCAGGGGCGGTTACTCTCAATAAGTCAGGGGCGACTATTCTACAAGTCAGGGGCGGCTACGTTATCTATGATGTAAAGACTCAAAAGTATAGAGAAAATGAATCTCTACATAGCTGTGCGTAAGAACGTGTGAAGCCTACCAGTTATGCTCATTACATTATGAATTATTTGTCCCGTTCCATTTTTTGAGACGATCACCCTGTTTAACGCAGTACCCGTCTACCTAGATCACCCAACTCCTTTCATCTTTTTCACAGTCTTAGGAAGTGTGAGGGGAACGATGGGGATGTAGTCAAACATATGCGTCGTAAGTATGTAGTCCAATACCCAAAGCTAGAGTTTGTCTGAAGTCTGTAGGCCAATACCCAAAGCTAGTTTGTCTGAAGTCTGTAGTCAAATACCCAAAGCTAGAGTTTGAAGTCTGTAGGCCAATACCCAAAGCTAGAGTTTGTCTGAAGTCTGTAGGCCAATACCCAAAGCTAGAGTTTGAAGTCTGTAGGCCAATACCCAAAGCTAGAGTTTGTCTGAAGTCTGTAGGCCAATACCCAAAGCTAGAGTTTGTCTGAAGTCTGTAGGCCAATACCCAAAGCTAGTTTGTCTGAAGTCTGTAGGCCAATACCCAAAGTTAGAGTTTGTCTGAAGTCTGTAGTCCAATACCCAAAGCTAGTTTGTCTGAAGTCTGTAGTCCAATACCCAAAGCTAGTTTGTCTGAAGTCTGTAGTCAAATACCCAAAGCTAGAGTTTGAAGTCTGTAGGCCAATACCCAAAGCTAGAGTTTGAAGTCTGTAGGCCAATACCCAAAGCTAGAGTTTGAAGTCTGTAGGCCAATACCCAAAGCTAGAGTTTGAAGTCTGTAGGCCAATACCCAAAGCTGGAGTTTGTCTGAAGTCTGTAGGCCAATACCCAAAGCTAGGGTTTGTCTGAAGTCTGTAGACCAATACCCAAAGCTAGTGTTTGTCTGAAGTCTGTAGGCCAATACCCAAAGCTAGGGTTTGTCTGAAGTCTGTAGGCCAATACCCAAAGCTAGAGTTTGAAGTCTGTAGGCCAATACCCAAAGCTAGAGTTTGAAGTCTGTAGGCCAATACCCAAAGCTAGGGTTTGTCTGAAGTCTTAGCTTGTTCAGACAATGAGCACAATAGACGTATGACGTGCTTGCAGGAATTGTTTACATTTTGTTGTTAGCCAGCTGTTACTTGAGCCTTGTAGATGCAAGATTCATTAGAATATCACGTTGTGCTAAATTTAGATTATGTTAATGAGCATCGATCCTGCTGTTTCTCTGGGGGTGAAATGTATCTAGCCAATCGAGATAAAGATACAGAATCACGTGGCTTTGTAAAAATGGAATGGTATTTCCTATATCTAATTGATATGGTGTATTAGATTGATCAGTCATGTGATGCTCAAGCGCATAGTGTCTAGCTGTCAATTTTAGATCAACCAGAAATAATTTAGTGATTGTTTTTGTACACCAGGGTATATTGTTTCAGAAACATTTGAATTAGGAATGGTTTTTTTTTAAAGTGGGCGGAGGTTAGAACGTCACAATACACTAGAGTGAAAGTTGGGGTATAGTGGGAGCTAATGTGTCGTTTGACTTTCTGGGTGGGGTGGAATGTCATTTTTTGTTCTGAGGCGGAATATCATGCTAGATCAGAAGTGGAATGCCATTTTAACTAATCTCTAAATTGCTGAAGAAGACCTTGGGTCGAAACGTCCACTGGGCTTGTAGCTGTCCTTAGATGAGTGCTGACGTCACGTTTAGCACCAGCCTCGCTGTAGCTCACAGATTCATTTCTGCTACTAGGTGCAGTAGTTTTAGCTCAGGAGGGGGTAGCGGAGTAGTTTTAGCTCTTGAGGAGAAGTGGAGTAGTTTTAGCTCTAGAGGGGGTAGCGGAGTAGTTTTAGCTCTTGAGGGAGAAGTGGGGTAGTTTTAGCTCAGGGGGAGAAGTGGAGTAGTTTTAGCTCTGGGGGGAGAAGTGAAGTAGTTTTAGCTCTGGGTGGAGAAGTGCAGTAGTTTTAGCTCTGATGGGAGAAGTGCAGTAGTTTCAGCTCTGATGGGAGAAGTGGAGTAGTTTTAGCTCTGGGGGGAGAAGTGGAGTAGTTTTAGCTCTGGGGGAGAAGTGGAGTAGTTTCAGCTCTGATGGGAGAAGTGGAGTAGTTTTAGCTCTGGAGGGAGAAGTGGAGTAGTTTCAGCTCTGATGGGAGAAGTGGAGTAGTTTTAGCTCTGGAGGGAAAGTGTGATCTCAGCTCTAGCTCTCACAACCAGACGAGTTAGGTGTTAGAAAGATAAACATTTAAAAATAATTAAACATACAATGGGGTGGGAGGGGATGAGGAAGGGGAGGTGGGCAAGCGGAGGTTGGCTAATCTATCACGTGTCTAGGCGTGACTCGGTAACTCACCCTTTTCAACTGTTTTCATGCGATTGTCTGCTGAAAGTAATATTACAATGTCAAGCTGACCTACGAGCTGAGTTTTATAAATAGATATCTGAGACTCCGTCCGTAAATCAAAACGTGGGTAAAGTTAAGTTTCCTGGGGTCAGACTGATTCCAAGAGAACATTTTCTATTGGTTAGTCAGATTCCTGGAACTGTACTGGTCTCTAGTGTGGCAGGTGATGTTTACTGGTCTCTAGTGTGGCAGGTGATGCCTGTTGGTCTCTGGGTAGTGTGGCAGGTGATGTCTGTTGGTCTCTACTGTGGCAGGTGATGTCTGTTATCTTGTGTGGCAGGTGATGTCTGTTGGTCTCTAGTGTGGCAGGTGATGTTTGTTGGTCTCTGGGTAGTGTGGCAGGTGATGTTTGTTGGTCTCTGGGTAGTGTGGCAGGGGATGTCTGTTGGTCTCTGGGTAGTGTGGCAGGTGATGTCTGTTGGTCTCTGGGTTGTGTGGCAGGTGATGTCTGTTGGTCTCTGGGTAGTGTGGCAGGTGATGTCTGCTGGTCTCTGGTTAGTGTGGCAGGTGATGTCTGCTGGTCTCTGGTTTGTGTGGCAGGTGATGTCTGTTGGTCTCTGGGTAGTGTGGCAGGTGATGTCTGTTGGTCTCTAGTGTGGCAGGTGATGTCTGTTGGTCTGTAGTGTGGCAGGTGATGTCTGTTGGTCTATAGTGTGGCAGGTGATGTCTGCTGGTCTCTGGGTAGTGTGGCAGGTGATGTCTGTTGGTCTCTGGGTAGTGTGGCAGGTGATGTCTTTTGGTCTCTAGTGTGGCAGGTGATGTCTGTTGGTCTCTTGTGTGGCAGGTGATGTCTGTTGGTCTTTAGTGTGGCAGGTCATGTCTGTTGGTCTCTGGGTAGTGTGGCAGGTGATGTCTGCTGGTCTCTGGGTAGTGTGGCAGGTGATGTCTGCTGGTCTCTTAGTAGTGTGGCAGGTGATGTCTGCTGGTCTCTGGGTAGTGCGACAGGTGATGTCTGTTGGTCTCTGGGTAGTGTGGCAGGTGATGTCTGCTGGTCTATAGTGTGGCAGGTGATGTCTGTTGGTCTCTGGGTAG